TGGAGTCCTTGACCTTGTCTTGCTCTGGCTGCTCTTGCTGCCTTCTTTGCCTTGTTTTGCAGGCTTCTCCATCCTCTGTTCCCTACCAGACAGTCGTGCTATCTCCCCAGTTCTCTGGACATTTTCCTCTTTCTAGTCACCCACCATCTCGTGCTACCAAGGGAACGTTCAAAAACGGTAGGTAAGGCTTTTGGCCTGACTTTCACCCCTCCGTCTCCAGGCTCTATGTAGTCGTGAACATCCAGCACTTGCGAATAATGTGTTGATCTGACCTTCCAGTGTTCAACCTGGTCCGCGGTTGTGTTCGATATGACCAACACAAACAAGGAAAAAACGAAAAAAAATTTTTTTTTTTTTAAACTATTCTTAGCGGTGCGCAGCTGTTGGTAACGGTAACGGTTGCGGTCGCGGTAGCGGTAGCGGCCCGCTCCCGCATCCTCCTCGCATAAAGCGAAACTTGAAGGGCAAAAAAAAAACGACCAAAGCAACAAGGAACCAAGGGACAGACGAATTCAGTTACTCCGTACTCCGTACGGAGTACACTCAATGAGATTGAGGAACCAAGACCAAGGATAATATGTTAACAAAAAAAAAAAAAAAAAAAAAACAAAACAAGACAGCCACACCTGTTGCCTGGTGCCTTCAGCGTACTGAGCAGCCCACCTGCCTGAATGCTTGGTCGGACGTGATCTTTTCAAACCAACAGAAGAAAGCCAAAGGAATAAGAAAAAACGAGGGACATAAAACGGCTAGGGAGGAGCGGGTAAAACAGACCTGGGGGAGGCAGAGGAATGGAAGGGGAAAAAAAAAAAAAGAAAGAAAGAAAGACGGGCGAAAAAGAAAACGGACAGCGCTAGATGCAGATTATTTGCTGAAGGATCACCCGTGTCTACCAATTTCATTGGCCTGAGATGCGAAAATTCAGGAGGGAGAAAGAGCGAGTCGAAGATGCTGGCACAGACCAAAAGACAGGGCTGCGGCTTGTACAGAGTACGAACCAGTCAGACGAGCGAAAAAGGAGGGAAACTATATATCGGTCAATCAGCTATAACCTGCCCACCAGGCAGGATCAAACCAATCTTTCCGTCGCCCAGATCAATTTCCAGTGTTCTGCATTGCATTGCATGACATGGCACATTGCAGATTGATCATGTGTCTTTTGAGTGTGTGCTGCCTGCTCAACCATTGGTTCCTTCCCCCCAGGAGGTCCTTGTTGCTTTCTTCTTCTCCCTCTCCTTCCTCTGCCCTTTTAGCTTAACCTGGAGACGGCATCGGGCCGGACAGGCGCGCTACGCTTCCTTGCAGGTTATGCCTTCTTACGTGGAGGGGGCGGGAAGGAAGAAAAGACAGGGCAGGGCATTCAGCTATGCTTACTCTGTACCGTCCAGCAAGCAGCCTTCCAAGAATGTTTGTCCGTCTGAATGACCATGGATGCGCGAGGATGGTCAGTAACGGTGACGACCAGAGCAACCGCCTACCCTTCTCGACTCAATTACTCCGTCAACATGAGAGCACAGGCAAAGAACATGCCGGGAGACAGGAAAAGTTCACTGCATATGCATGTTGCACGCTGCATGAGAGGGAAAAAAAAAAAAAAAAAAAAAAAAAAGGGTCGGCTCAAGTAGTTAGCGAAGACGGAGCGGTGTGAGAGGGCAGGAAGGAAGCAGCAGGATAGTCTCGTATCTGTCGTCCCACTGCATGCGCCAGCATAACCATCCCAGATGTGCCCTATCTGTTATGGATATCATCTGTATCTATGTAAGTGCCGATGCCCGTATGTAATGTGTGTCTATGCATGTGTTATTTTAAGATATTTACCTTCCCCGTCAGCCCGCACTCTAGATATTATGGCAGTTGACTCTCCACGTAGGGCGGGAATAAAATGGTACGGTACCTTGAGCAGTTATCATACGATAACAAGAACAAGACATGCTTTAACCCCATGTTCGTCCATGAGCAGAAAGACACGGGAGAGCAGAGGCAGAGAAGCAGGAGTCCTGGGTGAGTTCCAGGCGAGCCAGTGCCGGAAATCCATAGCGCGCGACGGCCCAGTCCTGCTTCTGCACCTGAGCCTGAACCAGAGCCTGAACAAGAGCCTGAACCTGAACCCGATGTCGACATCGATGCTGCATAATGAAGGTAGCCAAGTACTCGCAAGCCATGGCTCAGGGGGCTTCCCGTGGATGGTTGTACGGGAGAGACCAATGGTATTTGTATTACCGTACCCAGCGTATTATATTACGTACCATAATTAACATACCTACTTACATACCCGGTTGCATACATATTACATAAGCTAACCCAGAGTTGATTTTCTTGTTCTCGCCGTACAGAACGACGACGGACATCGAATTATCCACTCAACGAGCGTTCTTCCTATTATTGATGGACGATTGATCTGGGATGGCACCCAATAGTGCGAGCCACGAGAAGCAGAAGACGGCGGGAAGCAAAGAAACGAGACGGAGAGGGAGAATGGGAGACGGAGAAAAAGAAAAGAAAGGACCATGGCCAAACAACTAGTCGCAGGCTTGTTACACCAGACGTTTGCCCTTCCCTCTCGTCTGTCTCTGTGGCCGCCCAACCCCCTTGCCTCTCGCTCATCCTGAATGGCTTCTCTCGTCTTTAACTCGTCCATCCGACCCCCTTAGCGTCTTCTTTTTGCTTTCGGTGCTTGCAGGCCCATCCCTGTCTTCCCGCTAGGCCCGCATACGTCTCTGGTCATGTGGTTTGGCTGTGGCCAATCACCGCAAAGCGGCGACGGAGAAGGATGGGAGGGCCAGAAGTTGGGCGGTTTGGCAGCATGAGCGGCCTCATATATCAGGTCGCGGCATAGACTTAAAGTGGTGAGGGTGATGGTTGAATGAATGGCGATGGGTGCAGGGATGGCTGTGGAGTGCTGGGTTCTCTCGCTGACTGCTGGAATAGGACAGACAACTTCGAGGCTGCGGGAGTTGCTTGATAGCCGTCAGCACACCCTCCTGTTGCACAGCAAAGCAAACACCCCATCATCGCTGGCCTGGCCCTTGTTGTTGCTGCACCAACTTACACATACAACTCATTGACCGAGCAATGCAGTAGCGGGAGGGCCGCGGAGCATCCCGTGGAAAAGTAATGGCCGACGGATGGGATTGGCGGGCCAGCCTTTCATATCTATCCTACATTACTCATGCAGCAAAAATAGTCATCCACCATCTGGACTGCGGACGTCGTATCTCTCTTCCCGCCTTCTACTCCGCACATGCACAGTGAACAGTCAGCTTCAACAGGAGACAGCTACAGTGTGCATGGTATATCAGAACCTCAGGGATATCACCATGCCTCTTACTTCACAGCAACCTACCTGTTCGTTCCAAAGGTTTAACTGCAAGAACGGAGCGGCATACATAACTACATGTACATACCCGGTAGAAGCCAGGTTTATATGCCTGTTGTACGGATCTTCGACGCAACAAGTTGTTTTCAAACGCCTACTGACACCTAATCGCCTTCTTTTTCCTTTTCTCCTTTGCATAAAAGTATGCTCGAGATGCAGGACTGCGTTGTTCGTGTCCCTCGAAGGCAGACGGATGCACACACATTCATACGCTTACCCTCGAGTGGTCCCTTTTTTTTTTTTTTCGGTTTTCCTTTTCGCCCCCAAGCCTTGGGTTGATACGGAGTACGTACCCAACTCTTGCTTTGCCTGCTTGCTTCAACTGCTCGAGATAGTCATGAGCTTTCTCGTTCTCTCACTCTCCCCGCACAGAAACAAGACAGTGGTCGTGGTCTATAGTTCAGAGTTCTATAGTCCATCTGGCTAGCAAGACCAGGCAGCCACGGTTCTTCACCATGTTTGACGGGGACTCTTTCAATTCAATCTAATCCAATGCACCTTCCCCCGCAGTCCCCATCCCATAAACATCTACATACCTCAACCCATTGTTTCGATGGAATGCAAGTACCAATCGGGTAACCGTGCATGCATATACTATGCCTATATATAAACCAGAGACAAAATAGACATCCAATTTATATTTCATCGACAAGCCTGATTGATCTCTTTCCTTGATTTGAAAAATGACCAGGCTCGAGCGTGCATAACATACATGCACAGGATCGTCTTCCTCCCCCTTCATCTGTCGTCTTCATCCTACACATCCCCAGATTCATCCCCGTCTTCATCCTCGGGATCCGGCATGACAATGCTGTTCAGGTATGTGACCTGTCGGAATGAAACATGTCAGTAACATAAAATCACGGATAAACCTTATTTTTTTTTTTTTTTTTTATCCCTGGAGAGCGTGATAGATATATGGAAAATATCTATTTTGCATGGCCAAGCAGAGGCACGAAACGACCAGGACGGCCTGCTCCCCCCAGCGAATCTTTATTGAACACATTGAAACGCATGGCGGTGTTCAACAAGATGGTCCTTCACCCCATCATATTCTTTCCCTTTTGCCTATTATCCCATGTTGCTATTGCTCTGCTGATATGCTGAGCTAACAGACAGCCTGGTCGCTAAGCGAGATTGACTTCCGTACTCTTCGCTAGGACACGGTAAATTCTTTTCCTCTCTCATGGTTTTGTGGCTGGCAGGGATTGAATTGCAAGGGGGCGGAGAACATAGACCAAAATCCAAAGGAAAGACACAAGCCAGAGAGATTTGAGTAGGAGACGGAGTGACGAGGAACCGGGAGGACGAGGGCAGAGCATGAAAGGGTAGGGATTGAATGAGAGGGATAGAGGGGGACAAGAGGGTTCGATGCCCGACTCACTCCACTGCTCGTTTTACGTGAGTTGGGTGCCTCTGCCCGAATTCAGCACATTGTGCATGCATATCATACCTGCATGCGACAGTTAAGCCGCGAATGAGAGGTTACAGTGTGTGTGGATCATGTGGGACAGATGAAGGCTTTGGGACCCTGGAAATGTAGACGAGGGAAGCCGTGAGAAAGCCGCCGTTGAGTCGTTTATGAGTCTGGCGTCAGTTCGGAGTGAGGGATGCTAGGGATGGGATGGCCTGGGAAAGGGAATGGGGGATGGAGAAGGGATGGGGCTCTGGCTCCGGCCCCGGCTCTGAATATGAATCTGGCTTGAATCTGACTATTGCTTTGACTTTGGCTTTGGCTTTGACTCTGGAGTTGGCATTATTGGCTCTGCGGTATGGGAGAGGCCGTCCGAGAAGGAGGGAGGGAGGGAGGGAGGGAGGAGGGGGGGGCAAAACGGACAGGATGTGCAAGGAGACAACTCTGCTGCACATGCTGCCGGAAAGACAGATTTTTACTTACAAATTGAACCATGATCCCAACGATATGAGCCACTCGGCCCATGGCTTCTGGTCCACGGAGATCCTGGTCACCAAGTTTCTTGCTCAACGTGAAGCTTCGAAGGCGGAGAAGCTCAATATTCTCATTGTCCGCGTCGTAGCCCTATCAGATAATAGAGTTAGCCATCATGTAACTAAGTATATCTCAACGGTAAAAAATTGGAGTGGGAGGGGTGTGGTATGGGAGCCGTTGTAAGAAAAGGAGAAAGAAAAGGGAGGGTTCAATTTAGTTAGGCCCTCTTTGAAACCTGGTTCGAACACTATCTCTGACCCAAAGTCCCAGAAAGCGGAACCCAAGTGGCTGCAAAAGCGAAAGAGAAGGTTCGAAATGGGGGAGCGGCTTCCATCCACCGTGGCAACTGAGAATGGGAGAAAAGCGCAGTCAGTGCAAATCAAGGGCCGCGCCTGGTCCGCCCGTAACGGGCCTTCAAAGCCCAAAACCCTGGTGGCATCCCCGCCAGGAAGACGAGCTGGAGGGCTTGAAAACACCCGTCAGGCCCGAGCGAATTGATATAGGCCTTTCGCTGGAGCGGATTTGCCATCCTTGCTGGATGATGGGCTGGCTGAGTGACTTCCACTTCGATGAGGGAGTAAGTTTCATCGAGTTGGAGTCGCATCGCCGACTTGTTCCGGAACTCAGCGGAAGGTAACAGCTCTAGGTTGGTCTGGTAGCAAAACAACTTACTATGAGCGGGAGTTGGCCTCGTCAGGGTTGGGTCTACGGGGAGCTAGGCCATAGACGAGAGTTGGAAAGGTACGTCCAGTGGTTTGTGCTCGTTTGGTGGCTAAGTTGACTGACTCGAGCGGTGGTTGCAAATAGGTTGGCAGGCATCTACCACCCTTACTCACTCCGTCACCCACACCTCGATGAGACCCTCGACAGATATCTCCGAGCATATAAAACTATGAGACTTTTCTCTTTGTTCTTGAGATAGGCAAATGAAAGTGCCTGTGGAAAGACAACACTTTGGAGTGGCAGCGGTGATTCATATAGGTTGCAGGTGACTGAGGCCAGGACGAAAGATGTTGCTCAACAGACGAGAGCAAAATTTACCTACCTTTGGTCTAGTTTTGAGTGCACTCTCTTTATTTTGATTGACAAAGGCCTTAATAACCTTCTTTTCATCATTAGGAACACCCCCGAGGATCTCGCCCCTGACGTCTGGATGCATCAAGATGTCCTTGAGCCGTTGCGAATCCCGATCAATATTCTGGCGAATAAGAGCGAGTTTGCTAGCTTCTGGCATCCATAAACCGGACCCTGTGATTGTACGTTTGATTAGCCTCTGTACTATCCATCTATCGTTATCTATGCTCACGCGTTTTCTGAGCAATTATCCCTGGGATATGAACTGGTCACAGGGATGGAAACAGATAATGCCGGTGGCCGAGCCAGGTATTCAATGTGAATTAGGTTGTAGTGAATTCTGGGTAACTCAGAGACTCACTCACCTATGAAACACTTGCCAGGTTCTAGGTGGAGGTAGTATGCTGCGTACGGGCCTTTCCGTCCAGTACGGGACCTGCAAGGGTTGTTCATAAGGGAAGTAATATAATATATGGCAGGATATTAGTGAACATACCATGCCGCTGAGAAATGTGGCTTCGGTATAGTTAGCAAACCGCGTAATCAAGTATAGGGAGCATGATAACCTTTCGGCCAAAGCTCTCCTACTTCCGACTTAAAGCATGGAAACTCTTACCTTGTAGGGTGTTTGGTCATGGCTAAACCTAACATCTCTATATATCCTAAAGACCTAGAAAGATGTACTGTGATCAGCATATATTCTAGAGCATATTGGTACTTTATGGCATATGCTTACCAAGTCTTTTGCTGGCAACTCAGGGATTGTCTCGTCTTTCTCAGCTAGCTTCTCATTCAGTGCTTCAACGAATGAATCCCAGTCCTTCTTAGACTTTCTATAATCAACATCATGATCTTTACAATCCATGCATCAGCATATACGTAGAAATACAATTAGTCTATGTAAGCATTCAATCCCGTATTGTATGCCTCCAATGAAGATCGTGGACTCACTTTTCAACCACTCACGGTCATTGTTTTCCTTAAGATCTGCAAGGAAGAGGACGGTATTTGGATGTATAGTGCCATCCTCATAGGGTATCCCTCCATCGTCTCTGGGAGTCGGAAGTTTGATAAACACTTCTTTTCCTGGTTCAAGGCCAGTCCTGACACCTTCTCTCCAGAGCTCGTTTCCCTTGCTATTTTTTCGGGATTCAGCAACGGGATCCTTCACACCACTCTTTCTTTTCTTCACATGCACTGCTGCTGGTTTCTTTTTATTTCCTCTTTTCTTCTTGTCAAGATTCTCGTCCTCGTCTTCGTTATCTTCCGCAGACTCCTCAGCGCCTGCAGATGTAGAACTTTCTGCACCCGAGAAATATGAATCCTCTGTCTTGTTGTCCTTTTCCAGCAAGGCTCGATCCGAGCACTCTGATGCCAATGGAGTCAAGTCACTGTCACTCGAATCGGGCTCCAAGGCGTCTTGTTCAAAGTATTTGCTCCTTATTGCGGTAGATGAGGTACGCTTGGAGCTTCTAGGCTTAGACGGAAGCTCTTTGGAGGTAGTTCTGCGGCGTTTTGTACCTGTATTCTGTCTGGAGGTCGAGGTATCAGGCTGCCGTTTGGCTTGCTGCCCTGTAGGCGCTGAATTTCGAAGTGAACGGCGAGGCATGGCTGGTGAGCGGGTAGTTAACTAGTTGTCGATGAAGTGGTTATCGTCCTGGCATGACACCCGGCCTTTGGAGGCTCAACGATGAAAAAGCCTCATGGAATTAATTGTAGACGTCAATGACGCTCAATGGCATAGCTTCTATGCTCACTTTGCGGGTTATCGAGGCCTGTACCTGGAGTCGTTGCTAGTTAGTTAAAGTTTAGTCGCGCCTCGACGGGCTGGAATGATAACTAACTAACTAGTTAACTAAGTTACCGAGGTCGTGAGCCCGAACGGAGCATTTCTCTTCCTCAGCCATCCCCAAGCGGTCAATGATATATCGTCTCCTTCTAACCATTAACAGAGGAGGATATGGCGCATATTAAAACTCGCGCATATACGTTATTATTCTTGCTGAAGCTTGCCCTAACTAGTTAACTAGTTATAGGGTCGAGAAAAATTCTTCACGGCGGAGTCGTGCCCTTTTAAGCGCTAGTTAACTAACTAGTTGGCTAACTGGAGGCAGGGGAGCATCCAACAGCTGCATGCTAGACGGTGATATTAGGGAAAAGACAAACAAGCGGGCCGTTAAAAAGGATAAAAAGCTATCTCTGTCTGGTTCACATTTAAAGAGAAAGCTGTACGGGAATGGCCTCCATACCTTCCAGTTTCACCTCAAAAAAGGAGAAGATACTAAGGGACCTGTCTGTCCCTGAAGAAGACTATACAGACCTATCCCCCAAGGGCTCGGTGGATGTTGCAATTATACCTCTTATACGGGACATCAACCGGCTGCCGGGCCTTGTGACGACGAGCAGCTGCGCTGGGCGCATCAGTGTGTTCGTCGAACGAGGGAAGGGAGGCAAGGTCCAGGCTGATATCACTGCCCCTGGCACTGAGAGGGCTCTTGACGGTCGTGAAAACACCTCCTCAGAAGATAAACCCGGTCACGACAAGCGTATAAGGACAGAATATGGGAATAAATTCGTTCCTAAGGGGGGGAAAGGCAGTGGAACATGGCAATTTGTCTCCCATGACCCCCTGATATTCGATGGCGAGAAAGCGGACAAGAGTCTGCATGAACTTTTTGGGCTAAAGCCGTCGAGGACCGCAATAAACCCAAGTGAAAAAGGCGAAATACAACTGGTCAAATTCAAATTCGAGCCTATGGTATGCATCTGATATTCCACCGAATTATTATTTGATTACGCGTTTCGCTTCTCTCCATAAATATCAAATTTTGTCTATTTTCCGTCTTTTCAACATGCTGACTTTGGGTGCAGATTCTCCATATAATGGCTGCATCTCTAAGCCATGCCCAGCCTGTCCTTGCTGCTGCCAGTAATGCAGGCTTCAGAGAAAGTGGACTCCAGGGCCTTCGATGCCTCGAGGACCCGGAAGCATGTCCTATTGTCGCTGTACGATCCTCCGGCCTAGGACTTGAGTCAATCATAGGCTATATTGAAAACGATGGTTCGCCTGAAGCTACAGCCCGTAGTTTCGTAACCGAAGAGTATCTGCAATTGCTTGTTCAAATTTCGAATGAACGGTTTGCAATTAACACGGAGCGCATGGAAAGATTTAGGATGAAACTCTTGCATTTAGGTGGAGGGCAAGCGCTTGGTAACCCTAACCTGCAATGGGAGGACCCAATAGCTAGGAGAGCAAGAAAGAGAGCGGAAGGGCTGGAAAGGGGCAAAGCCGCGAAAGAAGCACGAAAGCCAGAAAATTTGGCTTCAGTGATTGATGATGATATGATATTTGGAGTTAATACGCTAGGCATATAAAGACATATAATCGATAGCCCCCTCTCCTCTGTCTTTTACCAAAAAAATTATAAACACACACATCAGTCATTATCAGTCATTCTGATGTTTCCAGGAAAATGATGCTTATAATCGATGTGCATCTCTTGCAAAGTAATATTTGGATAGAAATTAGCATCGAGGATGTCTTGATACAATAAAGACGAAGCGGCCTTACCCCCAGTCTTAGTGATGAGATGCTAGGAACAATCAACTGGAGGTACAAAAATCTGACATCGATTCGCCTGGACAGGCTACTCTAACAGTTAAAAATACATAATTACAATAATGCCAGCCGCTAGCCATTCCTTGCCGGATTGACTGCCGGCTAGCCAACTGGGAGCAACGCAAGAGACAAAGGAAAGGTGTACAATAATGCCAGCAGTTCGGAGTCATCCCAGACGGGATTTTCCGACTGCTAGCCAACTGGCAGCAATGCAATTCTTGAACAAATGAAATATACAATAATGCCAGCAAGTCAGCGCGTCCCAAGGGGATTTAACTGCTTACTAGCCAACTGATAGCAACGCATAGACAAAGGAAAAACAAAGGAAAAAACAAAGGAAATCAAGCGGCGGTGTTGACAGCCGCAAGCCCCTCTGAGACCAGGGCCTTCATCACCCCGATCTCAGTGTTTATGGCGGCTTGCAGGCTCCGCCGCGCTCCCTCGCCCCGCCACTCCAACATGAGTGGCCCGAAGGGCGAGTTGCCATGTTGAATGGCGTCCCACGAGTTGTTGAGCTCCCCAAGGTTGGGGACTCGGCGTAGGACTGCTGCCCGGATTAACCGGGCATACTCCTAAGGACAAAAAGTCAGCATTTGTTATTGTGTAGTTTCGAGAACAAGCCATAGTTACCTCCACACTCTCCTCTCGCGCATTAGCCCTGCGCGTAAGGGCATCAAAGGGCCAGAACACCACTGTTCTGGGGACGGGCCCCAGTGCTTGTCCGGCTGCCACCCGGAGAAGATATTTCTGACGTTCATTGAACGTCGAACATCGGAGTCCTGCGTTAAGGAGATCCCTTAACAGACGCTCATCTAGTTGGATGACTCGTCTAGCATTAACCTGCTGGAGCAATGCTTGCAGTTGGCGTCTGGTAGCATCAAACAAAACATTGCGGTGCTCAACAGTGTAGAGCGACTTTGAATCCCAGGGGAACTGGGCAAAAAGGAGCTGGTTAGCGTAAGACTCTAACGAAATGAAGTAAAGTACATACTTTGTCAAGGGTGCTGATCATAAACTCGTAGGGACGCTGCGGGCACTTCTCGGCGAACGGAGCCTAGAGCGGTGATTAGCAGAAGCCCACACACGGCGGTACTCATGTAAAGACTTACTCTCTTCGGTGCTTCAGCAAAATGAACCATGCAAAACAGCTCTTCATTGGTCAAAAAGCCTTGGAAACCAGTGGAGTACCTATCTGTGTTTGGCTGGATTTCTGGGATTCCATTCTTCCAAAGGACACACTTTGCACGGGGGAATATCTCACGAAGCAATGCGTCTTGCGAAGACATTTCAACATGAACATGCCGGTCACCAAGACGTGGAGAGTGAGCAGGTAAGTTACGATTAACCCATGAGAGAGCCTCTTCTGCATCAGCTTGTGTAAGTAATTCGACATAGCAGTCCATAGTCTTAGCAGTGGATCGTTCCATAATAACATGGATAGAAGTGCCTCTGCTTTCTGGAAGTAATTTGGCTCGACGACCAAGAAAATGCGTAACTTCGCGGGCCAAAAGGTTGTAGGGGATCTTTAGACGAATTAGCTCGGATCAATAGAATGTCTATTGAATATGAGAACCAGAAAAAAAAAATAGTTGGAAGTGGTCAATCCAAATCCGTTGATAATAGGGGTATCAATCAAAAATGGAGATGTAGCAAAGCAAATTACATGTAATGATATTCAATGAATTATGGCGGAAACGCTAGTAAGACTTACGTTGCTGATCTTTAATACAGCACCAGCTGGGGCTGGTTGAGGACCTGTGCCAGTCTCAAACGGATCTTCAATTGGAAAACGCTGAGCAGCCTGAGGTAAGGCTGTAGGGGTATTGTTGTTCATGTTATGAAAGCCATAGGCGTTTGAGAGTCCATTTCCTGGGAATGGATTATGATATGACCCTGGAACTGGGGCTTGTGGGTATTGAGGATTATGATAGTGAGGAACAGCAACATTGTTATTGTTCCTCGGATCATGGCCGTTTGTGGTCATATTATTGTAGATACCATATGCGTGACCCGGATTGTTCATAACAACCTGGGAGTTGAATGGTCTTTGCTGCTGAGCAGCCTGATGAACGGGCCAATGAGCAGAATGTTGGGCATGCTGCTGGGCTGTATGCTGAGCTGAACGATGAACAGGGTAATGAACATGTTGTGGAACATGTTGCTGAGCTGAATGCTGAACAGAATGCTGGGACGGCTGCTGGGATGATTGACTCTGACTTGGAGGTCTCACTGGAGATGAAGAAACGATGAGTGGGCCTTTGTACTCGCTTTTCTTTGGCTTAACAGGGGAAGAAACAGGCGCGATAGGCATGGGGGGCGCTTTAGAAACAGGAGCAGACACAGAAGAGGAACAAGCAGAAGTAAAAGGTCCAGGAGCAGAGACAATAGGTACTTGGGGGTGGAAAGCATAGGCAATTCTCCATGTAGGCCGAAGATAACGACGGAATTTCAGGGGCGGAACAGGACGGATGGATCTTTGAAAGTTACCTTGCTGAGGATACTGGACATTACCTGGAGCCGTACTAGGGATTGCTGCCATAGCCGGAGGCATCCCACGAGACACACTGTTGCTGTTGGCGTTGCCATTGGGGTATTGCCCCTGAAACTGGCTTCCAGGATACATTTGGGGCAGAAAGGATGGAGGATTTGGTAGAACAGATAGCTGAGGATAAGGAGATTCTGCTGCTGCAGCGTATTGACGGCCACAAACTGATGCTGGTGAAGGGGGTGGAGCAACTGGAAGACTGCAAGTTGATAAGGGGCTGGAAGAAGAGAGATGAGAAGGAGGTTGGAATTTTTGTTTTTGTGTGGAATGAGGTGTAGGACCGAAAAAACAGGCGAGAGAAGTGCGCGCCAAAGGAAAATTTTCAACGGGAGTTGGCGAGCTCTCGCTTCCAGAGACTTGTGCGTCGACTGTGGGATCTGCTGGGCCGTCCTCGGGCTCGACGACTTCGGCAATGGTGACACTTTGCTCCGACATCTGCTGGGCATCCTGGAGCGAGGCCACCGACGCTGTCGTTGCCACAACGCTACTAGCCTCTGCAGGCTGATATTCATCCTTGCTGTTTGCGGTGGTATCAACATTCTCTTGGACTGAATTACCAGACGAACCTGTCGAAAGCTGAGACCCATACTCCTTGACCGCGCAGGAAGCCATTTTGGGCAATCAACATATACCCTGATGATCTTGACCTGACTTGATACAAAAGCTCAACTTCGAAAAGCCCTTGCTGGTGACGGGGTAAAGATATCTCAAAGAGACTGAACAGAAGGATTGGGGTAAAATGCAGAAACTAAGGCAGGCAGAGAAAGAAGAAAGAGGCTTGTTAATTTATTTCGAAAGATCCTAGATGGCAGCCTTGACCACAAACTTGATACCACTTTCTGATAAAAGGAAAGGAGGTACTTAAAGGCAAGGTAGTGAAGGCAAAAGGAGATGAACAGAAAGAAAAGAAAAATGTCAACAAACAAGAGAAGAAGAGGCTTTTATACCTGTTATTGTGGGATGCTTAGTCGCCGCAGCGTCGACAGTGCAACATAGAGCTAGGCAAGGTATAAGGAGGACGAGCATGAAAGACTATGACAGGCTGTGATATAGGGGCAAGCAAAGACATGATATAGGATTTAAGTACCTATAGATGGAAGGATTAGTAGGTTTATAGGTATCCAAGTGGCACATAAGGAATAGGGAATGCCATATAATCCGCAGAGTGGAAGATTATATAAAGCTGGAAATAGTGAGTACTGTCTGTCACTTGCATATTATACCCATAGAATAAAGAGTCAGGCCTGGATAGATCTTGGGAGGTCAGAAGAATAGCATCCCACGCTATCTAACTGGGGATACTGAGATTCCTGCCTTGTATTCTAAACGTTGTTACTATATATTAAGGGGGTCAGGAAGCCACTCCTAGGGAAGGGGGTATGATGTGGAAGTCCTATATAGACTGACATACTCGGTATAAGAATGAAGAGTTTTATACTCTTACATTCATATATTGGTCAGTGAGTCCAGAAGTAAGGGAATAGAAGAGGTGGCTGATATTGTGGAACTTGAGAGGTGTGGTCAAAATTTCCTAATTAGGTAATTCGAGCCGCATAGTATAAAAACCGCCAGGTATGAAAGAGGGTATATATAAATGGCAACAGGTATCAAAATTGATTTACGCAGTAAGACAAATCCGGTAGGTCTGATATAATTTGAAAATATATAGGCGAGAGCTGTAGGGTCACAGTTGTCCGTAGTTAGCATAGATATTTGTTAGACCTTCCAGTTCAACTTTACGTCATTTACAAACTTATTTACAACACCTTGTAATTGAGTCATAAACAAGTTTCCATCAGACAGGTCAGAGCATACGGAACATAATGACAGAGGGATGTCTCCGCGGTAGTTCGAGCGTTTGGCTTAAAGCTGACGATAAATAGGGGAAATACCACTAGTCGAACTGTTGGGATAAAGATTAGTTGAATGCAATTTGGATGGATAGTAACTGGTGGAAGCATACGGGTGTTAGAAAGGATTCCGCAACAAATCGCGCACGAGCGTTTAACTAAAGGAATTTACGTTAGAAACCTGGCCTCATGTGAATCGGAATAGTAAAAAGGTAGAAGGATTCCAATCGGCAATAGACTCACGAATAGTCTCATCTCAGATATTTCCTTGTCAACCTCCTCCATGAATTCGATGATAAAGTCAACCAGCTTGTGTTTTAACATAGCTTCCGTGTGGAAGTTTGTGATCAAAAACGAGATATCGTAACCCTACCCAGGTTAGTAATCGATGGTTGAATCTAATAATACTATGCCAATATATGAAGATACCTTAACAGGTTTCCGTCGGAGGATAAAAAAGGCCTCTGCTCGCTGAGTTAAGAACCTGGTGAATTTATGTACGAGGATATGCTCGATTTCATCTGCCTGCTTGATTCGGATGCTAACTCTAACGCTGTTTACGCTAGGTTCTATAAGAACTTTCTCTTTCTCATTGCGCGCAACCGTAAGCGGATTAAGAAGAAGTTCTGGAGAAGTGGCTGCTTCTATTTCCGGGACGTTATGTCGTTCTGAGGTCTGGGAGGCAAAGTTCGATACCGCAAGGGCAGCGGTCAGAGACGAGCGAACGCATTGGAGGTATGGTCGTAAGGATTGTGACTTAGTGACGTTAGCCCTATTCGAGGTGTATGAAATGAATTTGGGGTCCTGTATACCATGCTGATGGCTGTTGACTGGATAGAAATCTGTATGCGAAGCTAAAAGATCTTCTGACCGGGATTTCCAGCGCTGTAAAACGTAATCACAATTCAGTCCGACCTTGAAGAGCACCACTCTTGCTTGGTATTTGGTCCGTCCAGTCTTGTCCTATCTTTGTCTGTCGATGTGTATCTCTCCTGCTTGAGGTCGGTTTCGATGGCCCAGGTTGACGTTGCTGCGGGTTGGTGGGTGTTTGCATTGTTTGCACCGCTCTTCGCCCCACATAACTAGAAATAACATCCTCCAGTTCAACGACATAAAAGAGAGGGACAGGGTACACCGCGCCAGGAGAAAGGCAGCTCCAGAGTCTCATATCTACTCGAGTTGATTCGAGAGCTCCTTTTTTTCAGTGTATTTATCTGCGGGAAGAATGGATCCTATTTCTGGTAGGCTGTGACGTCTTTGATTACTGATGTGATGAAGTAAAGCATTGCCAGGATCCTGCTAACGACTGTCTTAGTTGTCGTCAAACATCAGGGTAAACGCTACGAAGTAGAGCTTGACCCGAGCTCGAATGGCGAGACATTCAAGTTCCAGCTGTACTCTCTAACGGGCGTTGAACCCGAACGACAGAAAATATTAGTCAAAGGAGGCCAGCTTAAAGATGACACTCTCCTATCTTCGCTCAATGCCAAAGCGGGCCAGACATTCATGATGATGGGTACCCCAGCCAACGGAGAGTCCAATCTAGCATTGAGGAAACCGAAGGAAGCAATTAAATTTTTGGAGGACATGACTGAAGCTGAGGTTGCAAAGGCTGACGGCGCTACACCGGCTGGTCTTTCAAATTTGGGAAATACATGTTACCTGAACTCCACCCTGCAGACCCTGCGCCTCATCCCCGAACTTCAGGAAGAGCTGCAGAGATACAAAGGTACCGCACAAGGTAGCTCGAGCCAGTTTAACTCAGGCTGGCCTGATCTCACGGCCTCCCTTCGAGATTTGTACAAACTGATGTCACAAACCCAGCGGGGGTTTCCTCCAATAAGATTCCTAGATTCCCTCCGTACTGTCTTCCCGCAATTTGCACAACAAAGCAGGGATGGACATGGCTATGCACAGCAAGATGCAGAAGAAGCTTGGTCCCAGATTATTTCACAACTTCGCCAAAATCTCATGATAAAGGATGCCTCCGATGGCAAAGACTCGAAAGCCGTTTCCTTTGTTGACAAGTATATGTCAGGGACAATCAACTCGGTTTTAGAGTGCGATGAGCCGGCTGCCAAAGAAGGCGGAGAGATGGCCGTAGAAAGCTCTGACGTTTTCTTCAAGCTAAATTGCCATATCGACAAAGAAATCAACCATCTTCACGATGGAATCATGGCTAGTCTAGAAGAGAAAATCGAGAAGCACTCACCTACCCTGGACCGAGATGCTATCTACACCAAAAAAACTCGAATCTCGCGTCTCCCGAAATATCTCACCGTCCACTTTGTTCGTTTCTTCTGGAAACGGGAATCGCAAAAAAAGGCCAAAATTATGCGAAAAGTCACATTCCCGCAGGAAATCGACGTAGTCGACTTTTGCACTGACGAGTTGAAGAAGCAGCTCATTCCAGTCAGGGATAAAGTCCGCGAGATTCGAAAAGACGAACAGGACATGGAACGTGCACGAAAACGCCAAAAGATTGCTCATAAACGTGAACAAGAAGAGAAACAAGAAGATCGTGCATCTGAGCCCCTGCAAAAGAAGAAAATGGCCGAGTCAGCAACCGATCAGAACAAAGACAAGCCCGAAGATAAGGATGCTGCGCCAGAAGTGTTCAAATCAGATGCCGAATACGAAGCTGAAAAGGCAGCCGCCCTTTTACAGGCTAAGAAAGAGCTCTTTTCTCTTATCAATGAAGACCTTGCTAAGGATGAAAGTACAAATAAGTGTGGACTTTACGAACTACGGGGTGTCATTACCCATCAGGGAGCTAGCGCCGACAGTGGCCACTACACTGCCTATGTAAAGAAGCAGGGCAAGGTAGTGGATGGCAAGAGACGTGAAGAAGATGGAAATTGGTGGTGGTTCAACGATGAAAAGGTTTCTGAGGTACCTGCAGAGAAAATTGAAACACTATCCGGAGGTGGTATGTAGCATCCCTTGTTTTCAACGTATTGGAATAAGTTTCATGACTAACACTGTTTAGGTGAATCACACTCTGCCCTGATCCTTCTTTACAAGGCCATCGACTTGCCCACTGCTGATGTTCTTAACGAGTGAGGGGGTTTTGCTCCGAGGGACCTATTAGGTAGTAGGGCCTGAAATTTATTTTCTATTTTTATTGCTTTCTACTAGCCAGAGACCAAGGTCTCGTTTAGATTGTCCGTGGTAAAGCTGGCATAAGATTGTTTAGCAATAAGGAATATCTCTCATGACCCCGCAATGGAGCTGTCTATGAGCTTATGTAGATATCGCTTCAGTAACTCTTTAGTCCCAAGGGTTACGATACTCCCGGTTGTTCTGTTGATGCCTGCTTCTACCGAGTACAGCTTTCTAGACTATAGGTGTTGTATAGACTAACTATTAGTTAAGCGCACTAGGGCGAGCTAACTAGCGCGGTTAATTTTACTAGTTAAGTTAGATAACTAGTTAGTTAGCTGGTAGACTAGCGCCGCAAGCGACGCCCTTCAACTTCAAGAACTGGACGCTTCCAGCAGCTATGCTAAAGAAAGTCCCGGGCGAGGTTGTCTCGCACTGTTACTCCTCAATGTGCTGCAGGCTAATACAGCATGGACTACAATCCAGAGTCCGCGCATACTCGCTTCGCCTAAACCCTGTCTTGCCGCTTAGACAATTATCCAAATACCAATCTCGCCGCCTAACAACGGTTACCGTTCCTCCTCCCGGCCCCAATAAATCGCCTCGCCGACTCCGTATTTTACTTTCCATACTTCTGTTTGGCTACCTGGGTAGGAGGTATATGTCAAGTGAGATAAATATATTTGCTGGCCCAATAATAGAACCCGACAGCCCAGAAGATATAGAGATAACAACATCCTTGAATTCCCGATTTGACCAGCTCGAGATTGTGAAGAAACTACGAGAAGATCCAGATTATACGGAATGGGAGCCATATGGTAACTTTACTGAAGAAGAGAAGAAGGCGAGGCTTACTAGCGGGTGCCTTCGGGGGTCCAGAGGGCTGTCGTGCCAGGTGTGTTCAACAATATAGGATTGGGATATAATATGTTGTCAACTGACGGCAACTAACTATATATGTTCGATAGCATGTGTTCTACAATTCTAAAGAAAACACCCTCAAATCTGTCTTATACCTTGGCAACGGGCTTGATGGATGGCCTACTGTTGTGCATGGTGGTACAATCGCTACAATTCTTGACGAAAATATGGGTCGTTTAGCCATCGAGAATCTACCCGAGCGCACAGGGGTTACTGCCAATCTCAACATATCCTATAAAGCCCGCCTCGGGCGAGACCAATACATAATAGTCGAGGCAAAATATGATCGCCTCTTGAGTTCTGAAAGGAAGGCAGTTGTTGAAGCCGTCATTAAGGATGATAAAGGGAAGGTCTATTCGGAGGCCAAAGCATTATTTGTGTATCCTAAAAAACTGAAGTTGAGGACACTGGGAGAGAAATTTTAGAGTAAACCGTTCTCCGCGCTCGCTCATCTCAAACTAGTCTATGCCCCAATATCAACAGACATATATTCCAGTAATAAAACGAACAACTGATACATTATTAGTAGCAAGACATTATAAGTACATAGTAGGTTGGTATACAGGATAAATAGAACACTTGAGGATCAAAGTGGTGTAATGACGTTGAATTAGAACGACTTCACACGGTGTCCATCCTTTCAAGTGAGCTCTTGCCGATCCAGCAGGCAACCCGACTAATCGAACCGGAATTAGCAGCTGGCTTTCGAGTATTTACTCCCGGGAGCTGCTCATCGAGGCTAGCTCGGCTGCGAATCCCTGAAGAGGTCCCAGTCTGGTTTTTATCGGATTGGTCCGCGTCGTTTGTTGCCGTGGTTTGATTTAAACTATTCCTCCACTTTTTGGCACTTTTGCGGCTCCCACTTGCTCCTGGGTATAAGGGTTTGCTCTTTGACTTGGAGGGACTCAGAGTAGCTTCTGGAAATGGCGGAGCTGGTAGAGGAGGTGCAGCGGATATTGCAGGTGAAGCAGGCGTTGGGGGTATAGGCATATCTATCACCAAGTGTTCTGAACAGTTACACCCACATCCAGTGGGGCATAGTGTAGAAACGCTCTTCTCCACAGAACCTTCCGCGGTAATATTCGGCGCAAACCATTGAGAATGGCATTTGAAGCAACACATATGGCCACAGGCGAAGCAAGGGCTAAACATGCCTTGAATCACCTCAGTACATATTGCACACGACATATTTTGCGAACCCGGCAATGACAGGTTGCAGTTGAGGCATTGTACATTCACAAGTGCGTTACGTCTGCTATTCCTCCCGATAGCTTCACCCAGTGGATTTTGTGTTGGAGAAGAAACTTGTAGGGCAGATCCGCATGTTGCACAATGATGTTGCAGGTTGAGTCCTTCAGCCAGAACTTCTGTTGAAGGGTGGTGGTTAACTGCCAGGCTATGGCGCCTATTGACGTGCTTGGTCCGTGGATATTTGTTGTTCGACTTATATAAAAGGGAGCGTTCTGTCTCGTTGTCGACAATGGAGGCCATTTTCAGAACTTCAGTTCCTTGTATAGGCATGTTCCATATAAATAGAAGATGAGCATAGTTCTCTCTGTAGGCTTGATAAAGTGATTGGAGTCGAGGATCAAGCAAAGGGACCTCGGCCCTGCAATCGTTGTCAAATGCAGCTTGGTGTTTCTTGACAATCTTTATGCTTCTTCTGAACTTATTCGCGCTTGGTGAAACCGGTTTATCGCTCTCTTCTGAATCTGAGAAGGTTAGGGGTGTGCCGATTGCGGAGGGAGTAAGATAACTAGGTAATGCGGACGCTGCCTTGTTACGGAGACCACCAACAGAGCTCCAGATACTAGGTCCATGGGTAGTGAGACTGCCTATTGGACTAGGTTGCTTCTTAATGAGACCAGTTGGAGGTGAAGATGACGCAGATGGCCCGAAGGTTAGAGATCGTGAGAGTGAGGAGGCCAAGGTATTGCCAAAATTGGTATTTATCCGCATATTAGAAGGCGGGTCAGGAGACCCAGACAGAGACGTATTATAACGGGATTTACGTTCCATACTGGACCTTGCCCCGCGAACTCCGGTGGGAGGCGTGGTTCCTGTCGAATACAGTGGTGGGGTGTTCCCGTGCCACTGATCAGCAGACGAGCACCCAGAGCTGTGGGATGCCGATATATTAGGTAGGTCTTTGCTTGCCAGCGGTGTGGTATTATGTTTCCCCCTGAACTGCTGGTCAGAAAAGCTTTTATCATCCAAGAATTCTGAGACCCGGGGCTTGGACGGATCATCTGGAAGAAGTCGCTTCATGTCAGTCTCGTACAAAACGCACGAAAGCATCCCGAGCATCTGTACGTCTCCAAGCTGTTCGAAATGTCCAAACCTATATATAATTAGCGTGGTGTGGCTCTACAAAAAAAGAAGAAGAAAAGAAGAATGCAGTTAAGCAATTAAGGATAAGACGTTGCAGGATGGCTCACAAAGCAGGGATAAACCATCGGGCTCCGAGAGGATGGCTCCCCCACGTTTTTTGTCTCTCGCTGTTCAAGCAGACACCACTGTCTTTTCGTCGCAGGCTGCCCACTGGATTGCTAAGTATGTGCCGTAAACGATCCTTTACACCTTTAGTATCGGTTGTCTGCTTATTATCCAAGAGTAAATTCAGAAGCCCCCAGACGTAGGATAGATCTGAAAGCCCCGCATTCGCTGCAACTACCATATTATGTGAGCAAATCTCCGCACGGTTCCCAAATATTTTGTACTGCTGAGCAAGTTCTCGTTTTGCAGGTAATATGTCATTAAAGTGGTATATGTGGACATAATTCTGACAAGAGTCCGACGATGATCTGGCAGTGCTAGGCCCAGCAACAGACCTCTGTGAATTTCCTGCAATTGAGCGTGCTAGGTGAAATCCAATGTTACCGTGTCTCCAGGCGTGATTCCCTTGGAACTGTTGAGGGAGTGAGCCTAATAGATCGGAGGAGCCAGATGAGCTAGACGAATCGTATGAAGAGTCATCAGAAAACTCTGAGCCACCGTCTTCAGTGACAATACCACCGCTGACAGCCGATTCGGCTGTTGCCCTTGGCACCGGGGAGCCCGTTTGAAGGCGCCCAAATCCTTCAAATACCTTGTCATTGCGGGATGATCCGGCCATGGCCCTCAAGCTTATAGAGTCTAGGAAGGATGGAGGTTTTTCTTCCTTCTTTGGGAAGAAACAGACAAGCTGGCCATCGTTGGCCCATAAAGCACCGCATGCTCGAGCAACTGGAACCATGACATTGGCATTGATAGGGCGAAGAAGCTCAGAAGAGCTGAGAGCAAGATCCGAGTCCTGAAATTGGCCAACGTCTTCGTCCTCATCACTTGACTCATTACCAGCAAGTATATCAGTAGACTTAAGATGTTCGCTTGGTTGATTCTTTGCCAGAGCTACACTTTCCTCAACGGTATGTTCTCCAAGTAAGTATCGAATCACTCCTTCAAGGCAGCCTCGTTGTCTTGAAAGATATGTCTCCGCAATTGCCTGCATTCCAGTAGTAACAGTTTTGACTAGTTGGCTTGTTACCGCAGTTGTTCTTTGGACGTTGAAAATAGGTGCTTCCATTCGAGGGTATTCTGTGGGAAACTTGATATCGATTTTGAGGAAAACATTCGAGTTCTCCGATCCCCAGGGCCCGTGCATCGAAATGGTCGCTTTCCGCTGCCCAACATTGACGGATTCAAACGCTACACGGGTGAATTTTTCACCAACATGGATTATTTCATCACCCAGAGTTTCCACTTCCCATCCAGAGATTTTCACTCCTCGCATCCAGGAAATTGGGTTCATATCAGCTCTAAGAGTTGTGCGCCCACGAACACTGCTTGATTGTCCAATGGGTCGAACTTGACCCCATCCACGCGAGTATGGCATGCTCACCCCACTCATCCCTTTGAGAGTATTGTTGGCGGCAAGATATTCTGATCGTTCACCATAATCCTCACCCACTTCACCATGCTCGTAGGAGTGTTCATCATGAAAAGTTTTGTAGGCTGCCCCTTTTCGAGTAAGGTTAAGTAGGGGGTTGAATGGCTTGCCCTTTTCGTAGCCTACACCTTTTAGGATTTCTGGGTCTACACGATGAAGGCGTAACTCCTTGTCTGTTCCCCATGAGACAAGCTGAAATTCTCGCTGATCCATGCCATCTACGATGCCTCCCCTCTGCCTCCAAAGAAACTCCTTGACCTGGCCCTTATGCCCGGGGAAGCTGTGGACCAACGGCAGATCATCATGTTCACTCCTGTTATTCTCAGCTGAAACACAGCTATATAGGTGAAGGTCACTGTTTCCACGTTGTGGCATCGCCAGAACACCCCATCCAAACGGGGTATGCCGTGTCCGCCATACAGGAAATGGTGTATGGGTAACGTTCTCTGGCCTGTTTCCTTCTTTTGAATAGTTCCAGAACTTTATTGTTTTGTCTAGTGCACAGGTGACAATAGCCTCGGGCCGAGTCCTGTTCCAATCAATGCCGTAAATTTTCGTCCCATGTGCCTCAAAGGTGCGTAGGGGATATGCGCCTTTTCTATCGTCCCATATGTGAAGCGATTTATCGTGGGAGCTAGCAATAACATGAGGATCCTGTCGGTTCCATTTGACTTGAGTTGCCCCGGTAAACCAATCCGAAAAAGAAACAACAGGCCTGGCGGGTGTTCTCAGGTCCCAGCAATGGACAAAACTATCGACAGCGCAAGTAGCTAGTAAATCAGGATGGTGGGCTGAAAAATTTATATCCGTTATTGCTCTCGAGTGTGCGTGTAGAACATGTTCTATAGAATTCTGTGAAGTCCGCATAGCCAAATTCCAGACCAATGCTTTTTGGTTTGATGTGCTTGCCACCCAAGAATCCCGAGCGGAAAAGGGAGACCACTGGACATCGGCAACCTCCCATGCTGTTCGGTGAGGAAGATAACGGGGAGGGGAATACGGATTATCGAGATCTATAACATGTAGGCCTTCCTTTCTAGCATTCCGTCAGCCATAAGTGAAGGGTCGAATTTCAAGAATTATCTTACGATGCAAGCACAACATCTCTCCCGCAAGGCGATATTGACATTGACCCAACTGCTTGATCAATGTGGAATGAACTGTCCTCCCCGAACGTGGGGCTATCGTATGCCGAAGCAAGCGGTCCTGACTCGATTTGGCCCGCCATTTTTCGAGTTCAGAGAAGGGCTCCGTATGATCGCAAGGTTGAGGAGACGATATACAGTGCAGTTATAGTTCCCATGCACCGAATGTTAATCAACTATGTAGGAGATGTCCTAATCCACGCGTTGACAGAAGCTTGCACTACAGCAGTCTGCGCGTCTAGAGGTTCCGTTTGCATTCTGGGGATATCTCGGTCGGGATCCTCGCCCGTCGAACGTCTCTGAGGACTGCAAGAAATGGCCTTAAATACCCAAAGTAGAGCTGTCAAGGGCCTGGGAATGTGTCCCTCTCTATGCCGTCCTAGACGGGCTTGGAGAGTCAAACTGCAGTTGTGGTTAGTTAGTTACATAAGCAGCGCCTTACTGGGTTGGATTTAGCTCATGGCACGTGCTTCTCCTGCAACGAGAGGTCTTGGCACCTGCGGGGAGCAACGTCTGCCAAAAGAAAGGTGGGATAAAGCTGGCAAACAGTTAAGTTGAATCCCAGCAGTGAAAGACTGAGAGACCATTTACTTGTGAAGCAGGGCCGAGGGATAAAAGAATTACTCCGACGTCTCGTGGATACCGAAAACCATTTCCCGTTCCCTGGACTCTGCAGCGTTGCCGAGCGAAGATTTGACAGGGAAGGCAGCCCCGAAAATACCACAAATTATCAACAGCCATCTGCGCGATATACCGTAAAGGAGTAACAGGCATAGGCGCCATTAATTCAAACGCTCGTTACACTACCGCCTCTCGATAATATTCTTCCAGAGCCCAGTAGTACCAGTTGCAATCAGACCATGGCGGGGCTACCGAAGCGGATAGTCAAGGAGACGGAGCGGTTGATGGCAGAACCGTAAGTATGACAAGAAAATAATAATGAAATAGCTAATAGTACTTGATATATTTACTAACTAACCGTGTTGACTTGTGCAGTGTTCCCGGGATTAATGCAGTTCCTCACGAAGATAACCTTCGGTATTTCGATGTCCGAATCCACGGTCCAACACAGTCTCCCTACGAAGGTCAGCATAACGTCACCAGATTTCCTATCATCGTGTTAGTTGGACCAGAGAGCTGATTGTCACAACACAGGAGGGATTTTCAAACTCGAGCTATTTTTGCCAGAAGATTACCCAATGACACCTCCAAAGATCCGTTTCCTCACCAAGATTTACCATCCAAATATTGATAGATTAGGAAGAATCTGCCTTGATGTGTTAAAAAGTGAGATGACGCCCACCATGATGCAGTTCTCATAGCGAATGGCAGATCCTAACATGGTATAACATTCTAGATAATTGGTCTCCGGCGCTGCAAATCCGGACAATTTTGCTATCCATCCAAGCATTACTTGGCGCGCCTAATCCAGATGATCCTCTGGCCAACGATGTTGCACAGCGATGGAAGGAAGATGAACCCGCGGCCATTCAGACAGCAAGGGAGTGGACAAAAACACATGCCATGGTTTAAATTACTCGTTTGCAAACACGTTAGATCGTCCAGCGTCAGCTAGCAATTATTGAATATAAAGATTAACCCCATTCAATCGCACTTCATGGACTTGAGGAAACTTAACAGCAGGCCGCTACTGCCTGAAGCACCTACAGTCATAGTGCTATCGAAGTAATTACGCATGGGTGAACGGCACAATCATGGTATATTGGTGTGAGTTCCTACGGCGATCTCAGCTGCACGTTCACCCACTGAATTCAGTCTCACAGTATAACCCTGAATGGGGTCGCGAAGGAACCTTATATTATCAATCAATTCCTCAGTACGCCCAACGACGGTTATTCTGGCGTCTAGATACGCGCAATTTGACATTCTTGCAAATCGTCGCGCTTGGGCGAGTTTAAGGGCTAGTGAGTCACGTGACACACAATTAGCGAGTAAACCTCACACCAAACCATTACCAAGTTTGACCTTGAGTCGCAAACGAGATAATTCACAACGACGTCAACATTTCAACCTCGTACACGCCGGCTGCGCATCACCACAACTCAAGATGCGTACCTACGACGATTCCTTCAGTGGTCAGAAGATCTACCCCGGAAAGGTACGTTTTCGACGTCGCTCATCCAGCTCTCCGGAACACCATCGAACCGAGACCGAAGAGGAGCCTTCCGACGTCCATATTTGATGAGCTTATACTAATGAGGTCCTTTCTTGGTTCAACAGGGTAAGCTGTACGTCCGAGGCGACAGCAAGATCTTCCGATTCCAAAATGGCAAAAGCGAATCTCTCTTCCTCCAGCGCAAAAACCCACGTCGGATAGCCTGGACCATCCTTTACCGCAGACAACACAAGAAGGGACTTTCTGAAGTGAGTGATTCTTTGCGATATTTTTACTTTCGAGAAATTTGTGCTTGGTTTCATATCGGGCTTCTATGGTTTGGGATGTACTAGGGTACGGGATGGATGGTTATGAAGCGAAGAAATGAGCAGTGGCAATGTGTTTTGCATGGTATATTGCACATCGAGGCTGACCATGGGATATTCTCGTTTGGTTTTATAGGAAGTTGCCAAGAAGCGTACCCGTCGTGTTGTGAAGCACCAGCGTGCTATTGTCGGCGCCTCCCTCGATGTCATCAAGGAACGCCGAACCATGCGACCCGAAGCCCGTGCTGCCGCCCGCCAGGCCGCCGTGAAGGAGGCTAAGGAGAAGAAGTCCGCCGCTGAAAACAAGAAGAGAGCCGAGAAGGCTAAAGCCGCCCAGGCAGCTGGACGAGGACAAGGTGGCCGAATCCAGAGCAAGCAGGGTGCTAAGGGATCCGCTCCCAAAGTTGCTGCTAAGTCTCGTTAGATCTTGATAAATGAAAGGTGAACGATGGATTTACGGGCGGTGCGGTATTACGATGGGTGTTTGGGCCTGGCATGCTTTGTTAAAAAGGGGTTACAGAAAAACCATCCTTCATAATGAGAGCGTTTCCCGATGAGAACTGTTACCATCCATTGATGGATAGGCCTGGTAAAATGAATCATTCTCTTTTACCTATTCCAGCAGCGGTTTCAGCCATGCCATGCTTATTCTTGACAACACTCTCGACTATCTCAATTGATATCTTGCTGTTCAAGCCCCCAGCGAGGTTGATGATAGCTTCAAATGAGATTCTTCTTACATGTAACCCACTCTAATTTATCAGAATGTATGCCATATTCGTAATTCAGGAACCTATGTAAGTGTGTCTTTGTATTCATATCTGTATCCTCCTCCGCCGTCTTATTCACCCAAACTAGGTTACCTTATCAAAAGAACGGCCCCGATAACACCCGTAAAAGGAAGTTAGGGCTACAACCCTAAGAGGGAAAATTCTGTCTTGGCGTTCGCTTCCTCCAAAGAACTTCGTCCATCACCGAAACGACCACCAGCGAGACCATCGGCATCAAAAGACCAAGTCGTCAACGCATCCAAAGCACACGGTTAGTTGCACTCTTAACTCTCTTGATGGACTCTGTTCGAATAGTGTTGCTCGTGGCGCACTTTTCCCGCATGTTAACGCAGTCCAAACCCGCTTATATTCCAGATCTTTCAAAAGGCCAACCTGACTAACCTCTGGAATTTTTGTTGCTTGAACAGTTGCATCTCTACGATTTACGAACCGATCGCACATCATGGGTAAAGTCCACGGCTCGCTCGCTCGTGCGGGTAAAGTCAAGTCTCAGACTCCAAAGGTCAGTTGTACCAGCTTAGATCCCCTAATTTCGGCCGCGCATACCACAAGAGGACGAGCATCTAGGATGATGGTTGCAGCCCCTAGCAATATGGAGGGAGGAAACTCGGTGTTGTTTTTGTGGCTGCCTGGGGCCATAGGCTGTATCGACACGACAACGAAGAAGAGCAAGAAGACTGATTCATTTTTGGGAGGAATAGGTTGAGCCACAAGAGAAGAAGAAGACCCCAAAGGGTCGTGCTAAGAAGCGCCTCCAATACACCCGACGATTCGTCAACGTCACAATGACTGGTGGAAAGAGAAAGGTGCGTTTTATACATCTCAAAATGATGGATTTCTCTCGAGCACAACAGTAAACTGATAATGCTGCTACAGATGAATCCCAATCCAGGTGCTGCATAAGCATTATAACATGTGGACCTTTCTTTTTTCTCTTCACGCCTCGTTTTGTCAGCTTCGTTTTCTGTAAAACCCCCAAATCTTTCGAATATGGTGGAACGCCCCACGAATTTCTCTTTCCCTAAGCGGTTATGAAACAAGCACTCGGAGAATGAGGATGGAAAATGCTATGGATATCACAACCGGACATGGAGCGGAGCGGTTGAACATGGTATTTATCTATTGTGAACTTTGTTAGGGGAACAAAATAGAAATCACAGTTGAAAAAGGGCGCTTGATGAATGAATAATTGGTATGGGAATGAATCTAAGAAATTCTTAATTACATGCCCCCTTAATATCAAGATTATTCATGTTGAATTTATGGTATGCTGTTCTTTGTAGTATGGATGATGAGTGGATCAAGAGTCCCGGACTGCTCGATCTGTTGTACTTGTACTGTAATATTGGTTGTATGTGTCTGGTAGGCTTGCCTTCATGAGCTTCCACTGAGAATAGGACTAGACGACTTGCGCTCTGCTGGTCTTGTTGAGAGGGCGCAGCTCCGTAAGTGTGAGTGCGGAAAGTAGAAAATCAGGTTTGTTGTTGATTCAATTGTACCCAGGTGCCGCATCTTTGCCCTAGATAGTGACCATCATACATAGCTGTGCCTTGGCTTGTAAGGCAATTAGATCAATGACCCTGGCTCTGCCCATTATCATCGTCATCATCATTAGAAAGATATGCGCCCAACTAAACTGGCAGGTGTAAACTATTATATATATAAATTTCAAATACCATCAAACCCTCAAGAAAGCAACAAAACCCAGCTGGGCTTAGACGGATGTATCACCTGCTATGGCACCTTCATCCACTTTGGATAATGTACCCACGATTGCTCTTCATACGAGTGCTTCACATCGGCTCCCCGTACACCGTGTTTATAACAGGACATGGCTTTCCAGCAAACCAAATCCCTGACCATCTATGATCTATCTGGAACGTTTAATGAAATTTGCGCAAAGAGGAATCCAATACCACGAAGTTTAATCAGTAGTAATGAGCCATCTCCAATCCAGCACGTTTAAAGCCACATTTTAGGTAAAAGCCCTCGTTAGCTTCGGAGCAATCCAGGATAGACTGAGAAGAGATACAGATTAGTTCCTGTACCTTTTTTTTTTTTTTTTTTTTTTTTTTTTTTTTTTTTTTTTTTTTTTACTACTGGGTAAAAAGGGACAACCCTACCTTGTAACAGCCAACTTCTTTAGCAACATAATCCAAAGCATGGATCATGCGCAAGCCGAGCTTCTTTCCTTGCTGGCCGCTCTCAATGGCAATATCTTCAATGTGCCCCACCAAGCCAGCGGCATGGATAAATTTCCTCTCAACAATCAAACTACCAGTGCCAACAACTCGGCCGGTACCGTCGCAAATAACAAGGATATAATACTCATCATTGCGCTTGGCCATCCAGTCATATCTTTCGTTCCAGAGCTCGGGGGTGAACTCTCCAACCTTGGTGAGAACGCTGAGAACATCGAGGAAGCCGTTCTGGTAGTCTGAGCGGCGAAGTGGGCGGAGAGTATAGTTCTCCGGAAGCAAGGAGACAACCTCGGGAGATATATAGGAGGCTGAAAAGAGGCCTTCTTCAGTTTTTTCCTCGTCGTTGTTGGCCCGAGTGGCCTCGGTCACCGCTGGTTTCACCTCCTTGGCATGAATGGCAAGCATCTTGGTATCGATACAGTTATTTGTAACGGCCACAGGGACAGTGGTAGACGAAGCTTCAATGGCCATGGGAGAGAAAGGCTGCTGGATAGAAACGTGGATGGTATGTAAAGAGAAGACAAAGCTGTCGAATTTAACGCCTGGTTGGGGCTTCTCTTAGATGGAGGAAGTGGAGGATTCAGGGGTGAGGAAGCGGGGTGAAGTTTTCAACTCAACGCTGCCAGTGTGAAACAGCAACAACACCCTTGACGATAGAGAAAAGGCAGTTCAACTAGGAGGAGACAAAAACTCTTGCGTATCCAAAGAGAGGAAACAAAAGAAGCTCGATCGAGGGAGAGGTGAAAAAAGGAGCGGTAACGTAACTCCATGTCTCAAATAGACGCCGCTTAGTCACCACGGAGGAAAAGGACCTCAGGGCACCTGCGCCTAGGGCACCAATGACGTCATGTGATTCTGGCGCCTATTAATATATGAAACTAAGCGCCGACTCTGACATTGGAAGCCTATATACACCCTCGAACGTTCGATGCCGTGATATCCTGTGCCAAAACAAGGGCATACCGCTTTCTACTTCTCTTGAATAAGGACTCTATAAACATAAAAGTCGACATCAACATTGTCTGCCAGGTATGCGCCAAACTTTGGATCCGATCGACCAGGGAACGTGGTTGCGGCAAACCGAGTTTCCCCCTGAGTACCAAGTTTTTGAACCTGCCCATTCCACGAAAACTCAACCCAGCCAGGGGTACCAGTATTAATCAGGAAGTCTGCACGGTATTTGGTGTTGAGTTTAGGTGCAGTTTGCCATAGAATCTGCCGTGGTGCGTCCCATTTAGGCTGATACTGGAGCTGGAGGTTGCTGCGAGAAAACTTCAGGGCCAGGGGGACATTGGCGCCGCCATCCTCCGCATTATCTGTGAGGTATTCCTTACTTTATGCCCTAGATTAGCTTCAGACTTAATGGGGGGAACGTGCAGTTTGCATAAACTTACAATTGCCAGATGCTCAGGCTTTGCTCAATCGCCCCCAAGGAGAACTCATAGCGAATGGCATAGGTCTTGTCTTTCTTCGTTTCTTTGTTAAGAGAGTGATACTCGGCTCGTAGCATGCCCTTCTTCTTGTGAAAATGAGCCACAGGAGCACCATTGGGGTCCTTTCCTTTCTTGATGAATAGGTCTGGAATGTTATCAGGGATCATTGTCCCCCGTTTTGTTTCGAGATTCCGCAAGCCGAGCACTGATGGATCATCTCCTCGAGCAGACTGGAAGTCTACAAGGACTGCACTGAGTGCTGACCCAATGGTCATTAAAATGGGAAGGAAGCGCATGACGGTGGTTATTTAAAGGTGTAATGAGAGCAATGGACGGGGTGGGCTGTGTATATCGAGCCATAGAGCGGGATATGAGCGAGATTTATACATTTATGTCTAGTTACATGCTCTGTTGAGGCCGAGGTCGTAAAGACACTTCTCGTAGAGACTACCGTTTCTGGATACGAAGTGCAGGAGACTACTGTCGTGGCCAAGGAGAAAGCATATCCCCAGTATATATCTAGAAGATGCAGCCTTGTTGAGATGGTACAGAGCAAGCTGGTCATACACAGTATCTGCAGTGAAACAATATCGAAAGCAATGAAGGCCTAGAATCCGCTTCACCACGGACAAGAATATATCAGGATGTGCATGGGGAGGGCAGTTTGTAGAAAGCTTTTTTCGGGATTACTACCAAGTATTATTGAAAAACAAAGCATAGAAACAAGACTAAGAGAAATTCTCGCTTATTTTTAACAGGGGGATGAAATTGAACAGTGATACTCATTTCTAGAACTTAATAGGGCGTACGCTGGAAAGTTGTACTGCGTCTAACATAGATATTTACATCGCTATCTTTTATTCTAGAAATGAAGCTACTGGGAGGTATCTACTTGCGCTCCTTGGGGCTGATCATCAACTCTGGACGAACGTGCTTGTCGAAATCCTCCTCGCTAAGAGCCTTGAGCTCCATGGCACTCTGCTTGAGGGTGAGACCCTTCTTGTGAGCATTCTTTGCGACCTTGGAGGCCATGTCGTATCCAATAACGGGGTTGAGGCAAGTGACAAGCATAAGACTAGACGGGTCCACGTTAGTATGTACACTCAAATACAGCAAATAGAAAGGAAAGGAATATAGATGAGGCATACCTCTCGTGAAGAATGGATTCGATTCTCTTACGGTCAGCCTCGAGGCCAACGACAAGGTTCTTCTCAAACGACTTCATTCCGTCGCTCAAGATGCGGACGCTGTGAAGCAGGTTGCGGATCATGACTGGCTTGAAGACGTTGAGCTCAAAGTTACCGTTCATTCCAGAAACGGTAGTGGCAACATGGTTACCCATAACCTGGGCGCAGATCATGGTGAGAGATTCGCACTGGGTAGGGTTGACCTTTCCAGGCATGATAGAGGAACCGGGCTCGTTCTCGGGGAGCTGGAGCTCACCAAGACCGCAGCGAGGGCCGGAACCGAGGAAACGGATGTCCTGTGCAATCTTGAAGAGCGAGGCAGCGAGGGTGTTGAGAGCTCCGGAAGCCTCGACGACAGCATCGTGAGCGGCAAGCACTTCAAACTTGTTTGGTGAGGTCTTGAATTGCTTGCCGGTCATCTTGCTGACTTCCTCAGCAATGGCCTCGTCGAAGCCCTTGAAGGTGTTGATGCCGGTTCCGACAGCGGTACCTCCCTGAGCCAGCAATCGGAGGTCTGGCAGGGAATTCTCAACGCGAGTGATATTGCGCTCGAGCTGGGATACGTAGCCGGAGAACTCCTGGCCGAGTGTGAGAGGAGTGGCGTCCTGCAAATGGGTTCGGCCGATCTTGATGATGTTGTTGAACTGGTCTACCTTCTTCTGCAGGGCGTCCTTCAGGCTGGTCAGGGCCGGAAGAAGAGAATCCTCGATCTCCAGAACGGCGGCAATGTGCATAACGGTAGGGAAGGTATCGTTGGACGAGGCGGACATGTTGACATGGTCGTTGGGGTGGACAGGCTTCTTGCTGCCCATGGTCCCGCCCAGGATCTCAATTGCACGGTTGGAGATGACCTCGTTGGCGTTCATGTTGGACTGGGTGCCAGAGCCGGTCTGCCAGACAACGAGAGGGAAATGGTCAACCAGCTTGAGGTCGGCAACCTCAGCGGCGGCCTGCTGGATCGCCTTGCCAATGGTAGGGTCTTCAAGTATATATTATTCCAGTCAGTCCAAGCCATTCATATTATGCTGTCCGCCAGCCAAACATGTATGCATAGAGAGAGAGAGAGAGAGAGAAATACCGAGTCCGAACTTCATGTTGACGGTTGCAGCGGCACCCTTGAGGATACCAAGGGCACGCACGATCGGAGTAGGCATGCGGTCCTGGGGCTGCCCGATATCAAAGTTCCCAAGGGATCTGGAGCCTGTATCAGCATTCTCCGTCCAGTTTCTTGCACCAGCTCCAGGAGGAGCCTCTGTCTGCGCACCTTTGAGTCTGGGCTCCCCAGTACTTATCTCCAGGAACCTGAGATAGAGCGTATTAGGCCAGCTGCTCCATTGCTATCGACGCTGTAGAAACGGCCGACCTACCTGGATCTCGCCAAAGGCGTCGGTTTCCGTACGAGGGGCAGTCTATATATCACCGGCCGGCGGGTCAGTATAATCACCTCCATGAAGGGCAACAGCACAACAGCGAAAGACGAAGCGGTACCATCATTCTTGCAGTCGAGGCAAATCCTCTGGCACAAACCAGCTGGCACTTATTCGAGACAGGCGACGGCCGGAGGGCACTACTTATAGAGCGGCAGCAAGAGTTCCGCAGGTGGAGTGTATGAGGAGAAGCGAGCGATCGAGCTGCGGACTTGGAGGCACAACGCCCGAGGGCTCGAACGGCCGTGGAATTAAGCATTCTACCGGGAGCTAAAAGAGAAAGTAGAAAGTGAAAAAAAGAAGAATTGATATGGTACAGAACAGAACGCAGGACGCAGGCAGCTGAAATGGTACACGGCCAATGCCAATTGGGGGGGAAGGGATACAAGTACACAAGAAGCTGAGATGCAGTCCAGAAGTTTTGGGATGAAGCGGAAAAGAGCTTGAAAAAATAGTTAAGAAGCTGTCCGTTTAATTCTATCTTTCTTTTTTTTCCTATGGAATGGCTATGCCGGGACTAAGGGAAGATCCCGAGTTTTTCCGGTCCGTCGAAACAAGGGGCAAAGCAAGATTTTGACGGGGAGCTTTGAAGATTGATCGTTACGGTCGAGTCTGGGAGATTCAGAGGCCGGTGTCACGGAGAGCGTCAGCTAGGGCAGCGATGGACTGCTTCTTGAAGAGTTTGCCGCCTTCGAGGATGGCGTCGTGGTGGGAGAACGTATGGGGCGCTCCGGGGACACAGATATGCTCGACCTTGACCCCTGCGGACTCCAGCTTCTTCACATAGGCAGCGCCTTCGTCGCGAAGGGGGTCCATCTCAGCTGTCCAGACGATGGCAGGAGCCAGGTCGGCGAAGTTGGGGGCAAAGATGGGTGAGATCATCCAATCCTGAAAGATATCCTATATCAGCATACCAAAGTTCGAGAGGAGAGCGGAAACCACTCGGAAAGCAACTTACGTCTTCAGACGACTCAGGGCGAGGAACTCCAAGCCATTGGCGATGGAAGTACGCCATACGCTCGGCTGGCAGGGGAACGGTGTGCTCCATCTCGCGGTACGACTCGTATGGGGTATTTTCGCGATCAAACTTGCCGTCTGCAGTGAAGGAGCTGTGCATGTCAACAACAGGGACAATGAGGAGCTGCAGCTTGAGGGGATAGCCATAGTCTCTGCACAGATGTGCCATCACAGCCGCAAGATGACCACCAGCAGATGCACCTCCAACAGCCAGTCTGGAGATGTCCAAGTTGAACTCGATGGCTCTGCTTCTCACCTGTATTTTTTTTCACATCGTCAGTCCTATGTGACAGGCAGGGCAGGGTGCAAGTTGAGGAGACACGCTGATACAACTTACCCACTGGACAGCCGCCCAGCAATCCTCAATGGCGGTTGGGTAAGGATGCTCGGGGGCAAGACGGTAGTCGACATCGAAGACAACAACCTCGCCCTGAAGCTCATTGGCGATCCGCTTGCACTTGTGGTGGTCGGCGTCGAGGTTGCCAAACACCCAGCCGCCTCCGTGGAAGTTGATATAGGCCCCACGCTTCTTGTCTCTGCCTGGGGACAGCTTGATGGGCGCCATCTCAAAGATGCGGACGGTGATGGTCCCTCCGTTGACAGGGAGCTTTCTCTCCGTGATGCAGAAGACCTCTGGCCCTGGAGTCTGGCCATAGTTGATCACATACTTGCCGGGGTTCTTGCGGAACTCCTCGATGGGGATCTGGTGGGTATGAAGCCGGCCCGCGTTGTGGCGGTTGTAGTGCTCGACATACACGGGGTCAAACCGGCCCACAAGCTCCTCTGGGATGCTATTGATCAGTGGCTGGAGAGTCTCCTTGGGCTGCATCTGGAGCAGCGCCGGGTCTGCCACGCGCTGTGTAGCCTAGATATGATTGCAGCAGTCAGCATTTCTCGCTTCTCGTAGCTCCACGCAGCTATATCTCGGTATTATCACCATTTCTATCACTTTCCAGGGAACTTTCGCTTCTTCACAGCAAGGACTGGGAAGCAGAAGAAGCCAGGAGAAGAAGAAATAACAAGCAGGATGTCAATATCAAAATGTCATATGCAGGGCCGGGCAGGGATAACGAGCTGCAGCGTCACCCACGCGACCCCTCTCTGCGTCCTCGTCTTCGGCTCTTCTTCCAGGGCGTCTCGGGGCTTGCTCCAGAACTGCTAAGAAGTACAAGATACAAAGGTACAAGAGAAACCAGGAGCAGGACTGAAGAGAAAAAAGAAAGACAGAAAGACAGGACTCACATTGCTGACATCTATCAACGCGGGATAGTAAGGCAGATATCTGCTCTCGGCAAGGCCCGTAGCAGGCTGCAGGCGGCGCTTGAAGCCAGACATGATGGCTTGTTCTCTGGACTTGTGTCTACCTCTTGGTGGTTGTCTTCACCTTCACCTTCTCTCTCTCTCTCTCTTTCCCTCAAGTGTAGATGTATTTGGTTGTGTTCCTTTGAAGGCCTTCTTTTATATAGTTCTTTCTCCTTCCTCACGTGGCTGGACGTTCTGGCCTGAGGCTGAAGGCAGAAACAACCACAGACAGTGAATTTGTATATTTGCCCCCCCTGAAGCTGCGACTTCACCCTTCACGTAGTCACACAGCTAGAGGCTATAGTGTTCTTCTCTGGTTTACTTCACTCCAGATCTGGTACATTCCCACTGGGGTACTCCTGGCAGTGCAGTGATTGTCATCATGGGGCTGAGGGTAGCCATCATCGGGGCCGGTAAGGGGGCTACATACACCTTACCTTCGACGGCTCCAGGGGCCAGCTACTGACGGTTGGCAGGAGTATCGGGCCTGGCGTCGTTGAAGACGTGTCTGGAGAACGGCGTCACAGAGGCCACCGTCTTCGAAGGGCGGGATGTCATCGGCGGCCAGTGGAACTACGAGGACCCTGACCCTGAGACCGGGGAGACAGCCTCGTCCATCTACGACAATGTGACGCTCAATTCGTGCCGTGATACGTCCTCCTTCAGTGACTTCCCCATTGACCCAGCCAGGTACCCTGATTACTTCGGCCATCGCCAGTTTCTGCAGTACATACACGAGTATGTCGAGCATTTTGGGCTGGCGGCGTACATCAAGCTGCAGACAAAGGTCATCTCCTGCAGGCAGCACCAGCACCAGCACCAGCAGCAGCAGCGGAAAACCGGCGATAATCCCGGCAAATGGACCGTCGTCTACCAGCAACAAGGCCATGAGCCGGTAGAGGCGGTGTTTGACGCCGTGCTTGCATGTACCGGGACCCTGTCGAAGCCGATGATACCGGACTTTGCCGGCAGGGACAAGTTCCAGGGTGAGCTCTTCCACAGCCACACCTACCGAAAGCCAGCGAGGTTCGAGGGCAAGAGAGTCGCCATCATTGGGTTTGGCAACTCAGCCGCGGACCTCTCCTCCGAAATCAGCTCAGTGGCCAGTGAGGTGCATTTGATTACTCGCCGGGGCGGCTGGGTGATTCCCCGGTACGTCCTCGGCAAACCCGCTGAGGCGTGGGACAGTAAGTCTTCCGCCTATGACTATCAGTGTCACAACATAGTTAGGTATCACTGCTGAAAATGTATGTATGTTAACCTACGTAGGTCGACTATTTGAGACAATACTTCCCAAGTGGGCCTCGGAATGGTGCCAGATGAAGCTATGCGAGGTCGTGGTAGGCTCGCTGCCGGAAGAGATCAAGCCGCAGCATTCGCTCTTCCAGGCCAATCTGACTGTCCGAAGCGACCTGCTGGAGAACATCCGGACAGGCCGTATCACTGCCCACAGGGCCAGTATTGACAGGATGACAGAATATGGCATCGTTCTAACCAATGGGACGACCCTGGAAGTAGATGTCATCATCTGCTGTACAGGTTATGACATCGACCTGCCGTACCTATTGGACGAGTACTACCGGATGCAGGAGAAGGATAGCGTGCTACCAGCCAGAAACAGTCTTAACCTGTATAAGCTCGTTGCCGCCCCAAGGTATCCAAACCTCTTTTGTATCGGTTACGTGCATCTTGAGGGGCCGCTGGTCCCAGTTGCTGAGGCGCAGGCAAGATGGGCGGTGGGTGCAATTACGGGGAAAGTTACGCTGCCTTCCCCAGACGAGATGGAGAGATCGATCTATGCGTATCAGGAGGAGCTAGCCTCTCGGGTAAGCTGTTGATATGCCCCGCTACTTCATTTGTTCCATGTCCTCCGACTAAGAGAGATCGATGGTAGATGGTTTCTTCGGATAGACACACCACAATAGTCAAGTACTTGCCGTACTGCGATGACCTGTTCAGTCAGCTGGACGCCGCCCCGACCTTCTGGCGTTTGTTCCAGCGGATCTTTACTTCTAACCCAGTACAAGCTTACCAGGTGCTGATAGCAGTGTACTTTGGCCTCAATTCGGCTGCTCAGTACCGGCTCTTTGGCCATGCAGGGAAGCCTGACCTGGCAGCTCAGATACTTCTCAGGCTCTCCAGGGGGGATAACAAGATGACAGAAGAAGAGAAGGCGTATATCCAGAGCACAGCACAGGTCTGAAGGCAAAACACTGTAGAATTTCTTTTTTAAAAAAACACAAAATCATTCTTAAACTATATACGTATATATGTTCTTATCAAATTTCATTCATTCATAAAAAAACAACAATAAAAATCATGGTTCAGGAGCAGGGGTGATTCTCAATTTAAGCCCATGTGTAGGTTTCAACGTAAATCCGGACCAAGGCATCTCGAGCTCCTTCTCAATGGGATGGAACTCCCACTTGAGCAAAAGCTTGGTAAGGAATGTTTTGATCTCGAGCAAACCAAACGCTCGACCAACACAGACTCGCGTTCCGCTGTAGAAGACCTGATACACATACGGGTCATGCGCGGCACTGGGCAAGTCATTCCATCTATCTGGGTTGAACTCGTTTACGGTTGGACCCCAGATAGTCGGGTTGTGCTGGGTCACAGCAGGGTACATCATTAGCAGAGTGCCGGCAGGTATGAGAGTGCCGCATATCTCGATGTCATTTATAGGGGTGCGCAGCATAGACACGACTGGTTGCGCAGCGTTAGTAAAAGGTGAGCATACAAATTTATTTGGGGGAGGGGGGTTCCTTACATGAAGGGTAGAGGCGGGTGACTTCTTTAATGACGCAGTCTAAGTAATCGATTGAGTTGACTGCCTCGTAGGTGAAAGAGTCCTCTGTGATCACTTCGCGTATGGCTGCGCGCAGACGGGTCTGGACAGACGGATGAATAGCGAGCATATGGAGACACCAGACGATTGAGTTGGCGGTAGATTCATGCCCTCCCACCATGAGAGTTCGTAACTATGTTAAGGTTAGGGATGCCCCCACGATATAGTTATACACAAGAACAAGGGGAGCAGCGGGACGTACCTGACAAACTAAAAGCTCTTCGGATAAAGGATCTCCCCTTTCGATCAACTCCCGTACGATCATGGTGAAGATGTCCGTGTGATCGCTATCGAGGTCCTTCTCGGCATCCGGCTCCTGCTTGATTCTGGAGATGCATTTCCTGACATGATCGGTAAGCAACTCGCTGATGACGTTACCTGCATGCAAGAAGCGGCGGTTGGCCTCGATTGGGATCCACTTGCGAGCCGGAAAAAAGTTGTCTAGGGCGAGCATGATTTGGTCGGTGGTCGACAAATGCATGACATCCATCGTTCTCAGGTAGAACTCCGCCTTGGATGCATCGGCGAGACTGTCGACTTCGTAGCCCATCACAGCCTTGGATATTATGTCAATGGTGGCCTTGATAATAAGCGAGGATACTGCGTAGGTGTTAGCCTGGTCTCTTATACAGATTAAAGTCAGGGGGGCGAGCGTATGGAGTATATTTGCCTTCTACAATATCGTCATTGCCAGCGGCCGTTTCCCCTACGGCGTTGGCTAGTTGTTCTCCCTTGGCCAACATTGCCGGCATCGACTTTTTGACATTTTTCACAAGAAAGGGGACTAGAGGATGTTAGTCTAGATAGATTGAAGTATAAAAGCATCTTCGAGGAGAGAAAAGAAGAGCGTAGTTACCGTTGAAACATCTTCGCTGCTGGCGATGAACATCTCCCTCCGCAAAGCAGATGCCTCCCTTGCCAATGATACCCTCCGAGGTACGGGCAAGAAACTTTGGTTTGACGAAGGAGTAGCAGTGCGTCTGGATGACTTCTTTCAGCGCCCGGGGACTGCAGACAAGGATAGACTCGCTGTTCCCCAGCATCAAGGGCCGGATGAGGTCCGCCTCCGGGAACTCCAGCATCCAATCAACGGCTGCTCCGTGGGGACTGTTGGCACGGAACTGCTTGACCGTCTGGCCAAGCAACCAGTGTCCCTATAGGAGAATTAGTTATCCAACCATATCTCAATGTAAAGCAGGGTGGACGCGACGTATGCAAGAAATGTTCTAACCTTCGGAGTTGGCAGATGCCGCAAAGGGGAGACCGCAAATGGATAGATCAGGATTTTGTAGACCACGACGCCCAGGGAAACGAGAGCAGCAACGAGAAGGTAGATGCGCGGATCGATAGAGAAAGGCTGGTATCTGATAGCATGGAGAAAGATGGCGCCTGCAAAGACGACCGCCACGAAAAGGGAGGTAATCATCTTGGTGTCGTAGTAATAGTAGTGGTAGTGGCAGTGGTATAAAGTAGCCGTAAACGCTATCAACACACTGTTCAACAGCAGTTCTATAGTCGTAATAGTCGCGGAGAACAGCTTCTAGAAGGTGACGAGAAGCAAAAGAGCCATCCCGAACAGCAGGGAGACGAGGTGCCCCTTAAATAGGCAAACGGCGCCATGAAGGTAGACTCGACTTGTCCCACTGCGATGGACCAAAGTAGATATCTTCAGCCAGAGTGACGGCAGACTGCAGGCGAGACATGTCCACCCGAGTCGCTAGCTCGCCAATTGACAGACTGCTCCGGCTGGGGACGTCCGCTCCAGCGAACCCGGTAGGAGGAGCATGTTATAATAATAACAATTAGTAACTAATAACTAATTATGTTGTGGTAGATGTCGTAGAAACATGGAGTAGCCGTGGATGTCGCTGTGGATGCCCTGCATACGCCAAAACAGGCTGTGGTCAGGGGGACTGCCAGAGGGTATATCGGGTATATCTCGTCTTCTTTTCTTCTTTTCTTCTTTCCCTTCGCCTTCGTCGTCCTCTCGTTCGTCCTCTCGTTCGTCCTCTCGTTCGTCCTCTGCGTCTCTCAGTCTCATCTCATCGTCCCATGCTGCCGGCAGTCGCCCGACCTCCGCTGCAAGGTCGACCGCCGCACAGCATCACAGCATCACAGCATCACAGCATCACAGCATCACAGCATCACAGCATCACAGCATGGCCGTAGCCAACGAAGAAGAAGATGTCAACTCGGGATGCCAGCGAGCTGCTCTACGGAGCAGCAGCAGTGTCTGCAGTAGCATAGCATAGCATAGCATAGCATAGCAGTCCGTCTCAGCTTTATCCTTCGTCCCTCCCGCCGCCGCCGCCGTCTCGTTGCTTTTGCGCAGTCGCATCGTCCCTGGCCCCTGGCCGTCCTGTCCTGCGCCTGTCTGTCCCATCCATCCTATCGTTATATTATTATTGACACGCCTGATCCTCCAGCCGGTCCCCTCCCTCCGCTGGAGCTGGAGCAGGAGCTTGCCTCATCCCTGCCGCTCCGTCCGTCCTCCGGCCCTGGCCCTGAGCCAGTCGTGGCCGGGCGGGCGTCTGCCCTCGACGCTGCGACGGCCTTCGTGCGCTGCTAGGCTTTGGGCAGCTCCACCGGCTCTCCACCGGCCATGGAAGATTTCTAACTTAGCATCGTCTCGGGATGGCGTCTTTTCGACCTGAGATAGCGAAGATGGAGCCGGGGCGAAGATCGAGCGGCCATCGACCTCGAGGGGCCCTTATAAGAGGCGTCTGGCCGCCGCGAGACGGTGAATCGTCGTTGCGCACCGCAGTGAAGCAGGCGAAGTCGTTTGGAACCATGGCAGACCCGACGGCAAAGCTGCGCAGCTACGAAGCTGAGGGTGAGAGGCCTCCTTCGAACAGAGATGCAAGAGAAGAAGAGAAGAAGAGAAGAAGACTGACTTGACTGGTAACTAGCAGCCAACGACCGCCATGAGGAGGAGGAGTATCACACCAGCGAGTCGCGCCGCCAGATCGGCCTCGTCTCTGCCGTCTTCCTCATCTTCAACCGCATGATAGGCACCGGCATCTTCGCGACGCCCAGCGCCATCTTCGCCCTCTCCGGCAGCGTCGGCCTCTCGCTGCTCATCTGGGTCGCCGGCATGCTCATCGCGGGCGCTGGCATGGCCGTCTACCTCGAGTTCGGCACCGCGCTGCCTCGCAACGGCGGCGAGAAGAACTATCTCGAGTTCGTCTTCCGCCGCCCGCGCTTCCTGGTGACCGGCCTCTACGCCGGCTACGTCGTGCTCCTCGGTGCGTCTTCGCCTCTTCTGTGTACTTGCTATCTATCTATCTGTCAATTGATGATGGCATCTGTTGTGCTGGCTGACTGACTGACTGACTGCAGGATGGGCCGGCTCGAACTCCGTCATCTTTGGCGAATATATCCTCCACGCCGCGCAGATCGAGGTCGACCGCTGGAACCAGCGCGGCGTCGGCCTGGCCTGCATCACGGCGGCCTTCCTCATCCACGGCCTCGCGCTGCAGTGGGGGCTGCGGCTGCAGAACCTGCTGGGCGTCATCAAGCTGCTCGTCATCCTGCTCATCGTCTTCTCCGGCTTTGCGGCGCTGGGCGGCGCCCTCAAGATCGACAAGCCAGACAACTTCAGCAACGCCTTCGAGGGCACCACCGGCAGCGCTTACGGCGTCGTCACGGCCCTGTACAGCTCGATCTGGAGCTACATCGGCTACAGCAACGCCAACTACGCGCTCAGCGAGACCAAGAACCCCGTCCGGACGCTGAAGATCGCCGGGCCGCTGGCTCTCGGGACCGTCGCTGCTCTCTACATGCTGGCCAACGTATGCTCCCCTTGTTTTATCCAGCTTATTAGCTACTTGCTGCCTATGACCGCCCATCGTACTGACTGATAGCGTCTAGATTGCCTACTTTGCCGCAGTGCCCAAGGACCAGATCGTCGCCTCGGGCCGCATCCTCGCGGCCTCGTTCTTCCGCAACATGTTCGGAGAGCAGGCTGAAAGAGCGCTCTCCGTCCTCGTTGCCCTCTCGGCCTTTGGCAACGTTCTCAGCGTCATCTTCTCCCAGGGCCGCCGTACGTCTCTTCTTCTCGCTGTTCTTCTGTGTACAAACCATGTCTAACGTCCTGCAGTCGTCCAGGAACTAGGCCGTGAAGGCATCCTGCCGTTTTCCAGGTTCTGGGCGAGCAACAGACCCAGAAACGCTCCCCTGGCTGGCCTTTTCGCCCACTGGCTCGTCTCCGTCGTAATCATGCTAGCTCCTCCGCCAGGCGATGCCTACAACTTCATTCTCAAGTATGTTCTCTCCCTTTTGCTCTATCCCTCTCTATAAGTTGGAAAGAATCACAGCTAACGAGTCTGCAGCGTCATCTCCTACCCCCTGGCAGTCGTCAACGTCTTTGTTGCAGGGGGCCTTATACACCTCTACCTCCACCGCGAGTCTTACCAGTGGGCTCCCCCCTTCAGCGCCACTCTGCCCATAGCTACCTTCTTCCTCCTCAGTAATATCTATCTCACCGTCGCCCCCTTTGTCCCCCCCACGGAAGGGCAGAACGTATACAAATCGCTGCCGTACTACCTCCACTGCATAGTCGGAATCTCAATCATCGCAGCAGGCGGTGTCTATTGGCTTGTCTGGGCACGCCTGCTGCCCTGGCTCCGAGGCTACACGCTCGAATGCGAAGTCATCACTCAGGAAGATGGCTGGTCCCGAAGACGGTTCTACCACAAGCAGTAACTCACTCGTTCGAATCTGGTCATTCCGACCGGAACAGCCCAACAGCATCCCTACACCGGCTGCATCAGCCATATCGGTTGCCCCAATGGAGAAAGCCCAAGAATTTGCCGCTTGGGTCGGGATGTCATCTTATGGGCTGGGCTGGGCTGGGCTGGGACAGGATGGGAAATACGCGGCCCGTCCTTTTACGCTTCCTCCACTCACTTAGTAACGACTTGACGACTATCCTTTCAACAAGCATATCATCTGCCATGCATACATACTCATAGACTGCACATTTCCTTGGGAGCTGGCTGCCATGATTCAAAGCATGGACTTCAACATGCTGATACGTATATATGTTCTATTAACTAGCTAGCTACAACAAAAAAACTTTTACTCTGTACATAACTAACTAGTTACTAGGCAGAACATCTTTCAATCCATCATTCCATCCTAACAAATGAGACCCCCCGATCCCTATCCTTATCTTATGTTTATACTTCTATATATGCCGGCCCGTATTCCCAATATGCACAATAAGCTCGAGCCAAGGCGGATAGGCAGAACCAAGAGTCTCGGTGTCTCTCACAAGGCCATACAACTGGCCCTGGACGGTGGGTTCTGGGTTCGGCAGCATGGGAGCTTAACGGGCTGACTGACAGGATACCTGCTCTCTTGCGTGCTTGCGTGCTTCCTGCCCAGGCCGCCGTCATCCAGTGATCCGAGAGCTCTTGAGAACTCGTTTTGTTAGAAAAAAATGTTTCTCTGACCATCTGCGTTTCAACCATCTATATTATTGTTATCTACATGCTACACGACACAGATCATCTCAGTTCTCGATATCTATCGTCACCTGCTGCTGGTGCGCCATCAAAATGCGGATAAACTCATGGACTGCTTCCGGTGCTGGATTCGTCAATCTAACCGTCATCACAGAACAGTTTGGTAAAGGCAAGCCCGCGTCGTTGCTTTGGCACTCAGACATTCCCGCCGAGACCAACGAACTGGTTCCCAACCCGGATGACAGGCTGAGATGGTCGATTGTCGACGAGCTGCAGGGGTTGAACGGAAAGCCATCCTCAACCCCGGTGTGATCCTGGAGGTAACTCCCGATATCGGTGTTGTTTGTGAAGCCTGCCATGGTAACGTCTGCTTCATGGACGCAATCAAATAATGCCAAATGCGGCAGAGTGCAGTCTGGCATGACGGTGTTGTCGTTGTTGTCGTTGTGAGAGGCAGCAGGGAATAGAATCGTATCCTCCATGGAGGGATATAATAGGTGGGTGTCGTTAGATATCACGCTGTTGCTGTCGTTGAATGGCTGGCTTGTAACGGTGCAAAGATCTTCAATATGTGAAGCAGGACTGGATCCAGCAACACTCATACCCTCATTTTCAACAGCACAGTTCCTTTGGACCTTGCAGCAATGCCGTGACATGAATGCGTATCTGTGTCAGGAGGGTCAGTTGAGTGAAACCGGAGTTGATGTTTGTCCAAATTGACTAGCAGTTTAACTCACTGGTTTTTTAACGAGTTAGGGGAACGCTGGGGAAATAGATCGTTTCTAATCTGTAGCCATCGACGACCCTGTGTCTGCACTGCCTCCCATAGTATTTGGCACTATCAACTTAGCTCCGGATTTAATTCATTAAGAATGAATACCTTAACCTCCCAGCGCCCTGCCTGTGCTTTGACATACCTCTGACTCTGTCCATTCGGATCTATCTAAGGCAGGATCAAGGAAGTGCTGCCACCTTTTGGCGCATTCTATATATACATCAGTTAGTGTTTATCCTTAGCTATCGCTATCACAATTCATAGTTAATTGGGCCAGACTTACGATCTGCCGTACGCCGTGGGACATATGTTGATACCCGCATCCATCTAAGCAACCATCAATATAAGCATTCAATCTCGTATATGCCTGGAGGATCGATCAACCACCCAAACAAGGCGCAGCAAGTGGCAGCAAGGGTCACTCATTACACTTTGCCTTCTGCCTCGACGGCATGGCCCAGCAGCCTGTCTTCCTCTGCAGTCCAGGGACCCTTTCTTAGATCTCCGTTGAGCACATTAAACCACCTCTTTCGGCAGTCTTTGTTCGTCCTTCCTGGAAGCGCTGCTGCAATCTTCTGCCAATCTACCACTTTATCTGGGGGGCTTTCTGACAAAGATGTTAGAGTATTACGGCGGATCAATGGTGGTAAGTTTTTACTTACTAGCTTGTTGTTCCTGGAGTCTCTGGAGCAGGATTGTGTCTTCATCCTGAGTCCACTTGTTGATACGCCGCGCAGCTTCCATGGCAACGGTTCGGAGAACGAGGCCCAATTGGTGAAGATTCCGTGAGTTCGAATATCAAGGGGTATAGATGGAACGGAAGGGTGGGAGGTGCTGAAGATTTATAGCCGCATTTGGTGAATACTATGCAAATCTGACACGATATCACAATCTCATGCTGAATCTTGGAACACCGAGGGTCGCCTACTCCCGTGTTTTCTCGTGGTAGACAAGCATAACGTACTTAAACACCCACATGCCTCATAGTCTTGAAGTAGTTCCGCTGTGAACTCTTGTAATGTGATGGGATAAAGAAGTAGCTGAAAGCACTGCCTTCACCTTGCAAGCCCCGGCCTGCCGAGCCCCTATTGAACACGACGTCCGGAGAGCCGCTGCAAAGGGCATGTATCCCGGTTTGATGCCTGCATGCCTAGGTAATATTCATGCATAGCAATACGGCCCATTATGTGGGATTCGGCCTTGAGTCACACCCAGGTGTTCTTTTATTCTCCATTGATTACCATTCAGGCTTGCTTGGGCGGTGAACCAAGTCAGAATCAAGGTAGACAAAGGCTCTTATTGCGTGTCCAGTGTAAGCGCTAATGCCCTTGGTTCATATGTAGAATCTTGTCTTGAAACAGGCCTATTTATATCCTCAGACATGAAAGATGTTTCGAGATTCAAATCCAGGCTTTAAGACTAACTCAGTCTGGACTGGGCCGATGAGGTTATGAGTCTGATGGAAATGGGACTTGGGCCTTGGTATCGTTCTCTTCTTCATCCCTGGGTAGTCTGGCCTACCTTAGGTATTACTGATAGCTAGCATTTGAAAGGATGGCGGCAGGCTCACTAAAAAGTACCGGGCTTTCCAATGGATATTGGCAGGTTTCAGCACGCTAATGGTCGTGATCCAAATAGTATAAAAAGCCAGCTCGAGGCCTCCATGGTAATATTGCACTACAGTGGCTGACGATGAGCACCTCAAAAGGACAAATAGAAACGAGATAGGCAATTTCCGCATTAGCTCTCTGGGTGAGGGTGAAGTCATCACTCAATGGAGTCAACAACATCCACTAACTGCCTAGGCAAGGGTTTCATCAAACGGTTTCCCATGTGGCATCAGGTATTTAGCTATCGAGGCTGGAGAATGCATATACCTATAACCAGAACCATTAGCCAATAGCACAGCATTGAAGTAACAAACACGGCAGAACAGCAATACGTCTAGGTAAATGCAAGGCGGCATCATGATGTCACTGGCCTATGGATAAGCTTACATTGAGATATTGGTAACCCAGAGCTTGGTCATAGTAGTAGCCAATTAAAGGTAGGTATACGGGATGCACCTCAGCATGCCGGCCTGGCAGCGCCACCTCGGGGAAATAACTAGCCAAGGCCGTGAGCTTCAGCCGTAGCAGGTCCCAAGCATTTAAAGGCCGTTAGCACGCCGGGCAATCTCCTAAAGGAGTAAACGTTGGATGAGAAGGAGCGGCAGGAGATATAAAAATAGTGCTTAACTTTGCCGCAGTGCAGGTTTTCTTCCCTTCTGGCGGGCGCAACTATGGGGGTATGGACTCTATATGTCAGAGATTTAGTTATCTGTGCCAGTCTCGCGATACCCTCCTCCTCCTTTAATTCAGGGGTAATTCAGAGCACAGTAGGTATTCATGTTTCATGACTCCTTCGCAGCTTGATATGTTGTATGGGGTTCATTGAGATCATAATATGTTTAGTACTTAGTTTATTATCTCCGGTTAGAGACCATATCTTTCGAGCGCCCGCGGTGTGTCAGTCTGGTATTCACCTTGATAAACCTTCAGTTTTGGAAGGGAAAGGTGGCGTAGCCCTCTTCGGCTATTGAACGAATCATGGTCTGGATAGATACAAAACCATACAGGGGTAAGCCTTGTATGAGCTAGGATATCGACTGCTAAATTAACCAGCTTGGGTACTCAAACATAGCTAATAGATTCATGTAAATAGGAAAGCATCTTACCGCTGCAAGATTCAGCCCAGTCAGCTCTCCGCAATTCCCGCGTTGCAAAACAAATTAGGTTACGATGTGCTGCTAGGATCTGGGTATATGGGACCATCGGTGTAACGATCGATATGTTCTCTTACTCCGATTGTATCTGCGGACGGTACGTAATAAGCTGTTGGAATATGTTTGTCTCGAATCAAGCCAATATAGGTCGACCGGTACGGAGTATGCATCTCCACTCTCGAGCAGGGTATTCTTAAGGCCTAGACTCCCTGAAGCCTATGCGTTACTATAGTTATGGAGAGTGGGGGATTCCAGACGGCCTCTCTAAAGGGAAAGCTCTTATGCAGAGCGTCTATTTCTCGTTCCACGAGTTTTTAGGGGTTGTTACAGGAACCAGGATCGTAAGCCATGGCGCTATGGGGAGTAAATCTGGCCCCTTTCAAAGACATACTTCAGACAGAAGAAGAAGGATTGTTTACTCCTTTTTTTCAATAAGCATAGTGGGGGCTCCTTGGGTGGCTGCTTGCGAGAGCCGGGTACGCCAGACATGTCTCTTGCCTTGCACCCTGCAAGAGTGTTGGATATCAATAAGGTTGAGTATGAACCGCGACCGACGGGTCCTTAGTAATCACTCTAATTCTACCCCATCTCCCCCGAATAATGTTTCAGGCTACAGTGATTGATTGTTAGCAGGTTTAATGTCCCCTATCTTGACGTTAATATAGCTTAAAGCAGGCGTATGGCCTTTCTGGATAAGCTAGTTACACTGGATATTGGGGACTTATACATTAACGGCCGCAGTCCCTGATGACTAGACGTAAACATGAGAGCATTTCATTAGCGTGGCCTCCCACAGTGTTATCTGTATATAAATTTGGTTAAGAAATGAAAATTTTCCCGCACGAGAGGGTTGAGATGATGAACCACCGAATGTACCATTGTACCAAGTACGTCTAAAAGAGAACAAGCGAAAACAGTAATGTATTGAAAGTGATATACAATTGGTTTATTTCTTTTGCTCCTCAGGCTTCTCCTCAGGCTTTGGAGTAGGAAGTTTGAACTAGGAAAAAATAGAAGTGTTAGCAGCGTGTTCCCGTATATGTAATGAAGAAATAAGGTCGTTGGTACTGACGTTGTCTGGTTTTCTGTCAATGCCTTGACCAATTCCTTCCCAAGCAGATGAGCCGCCCTCGAAGTTTCGGAATGCCTGTGTCAATTCCAATGGTTCAACAACGATCCGCTTCTTCTCCTCGTCATATCGGATTTCAGTATATCCGGAAAGAGGGAAATCCTTTCTCAGAGGGTGACCGTCAAAACCGTAGTCTGTCATGATTCTTCGGAGGTCAGGATGGCCGGTGAAGAACACGCCGAACATATCATACACCTCACGCTCAAACCACAGAGCACCATCGTACAGAGAAGTGATGCTAGGGACTGGAGTTGCCTCATCTGCGTACGTCTTGACTCTTATTCTAGAGTTATGGCGTACACTGAGAAGATTGTAGACAACCTCGAAACGGTACTCTCGTGTGGGGAAATCAACAGCAGTAATATCCGAGACTTGAGTGTATTCGGCAGCGGTATGGTCACGAAGGAAGGTCATGACAGGCACGACACCAGCCGGCGGAACATAAATGGTCAATTCATCTTTCCACACCGAAAACTGTTGGATGTACTTCGGTAGGCAAGAGATAAGGTATTGGCCGTAGGTATGTAATTTTGCGGATGTCTCCTTATATTTGTCTGTAGGGTTGACGATCGGCCGGTTCAATTGACCGACGGCTATCAAAATGGGTCAGCCATGTGAAGTTCCTTCAGGGCAAAAAAAGGGAAAAAAAAGAAAGAGAAAAGAGAAAGAGAGAGGTCCAAATCAAACAAGATAACAGGGTCCGGTTTACCAGGTCGCGGCTCCTCGCGCGGGTTAGGGACTCCCTCCTTCGATACAAACTTCGCATCCTGGAATTGTGCAGACACGGAGAAAAGACGCAGCGAATTGGAAGTTCTGCCTGTCTGGATGGAGGTCAATGGGCGGCGGCCTCCCAGCCGCAGGACAGATCGCCTGGACGCCATCGTTGTGAGAGCAATTGAGCTGCAGCCCGATGGAATTGTGTGTCGCGGAGGAACGAGGTGTCTTGGATATCTCGAGTGGACGTTGCTGGCTCGACGTTCTTCTCTGGTCGCAAATGCAAGTCGCTGATTGGTCAAATCATGTGATGCGCTAAATCACGTGAAGTATCATATGACACCACGTGATAAACGATGACTAAGCTGGCGCCTCCGCCGAAAAAGGAAGAAGACGAAGAAGACGAAGAAGACGCCAAGACGCTGCGCAGAAAGCTCATCTTGCACTCCCTCCTCGTTTTTCGCAGCGCATCCCATCTCGACGTCGACGTCTTCCTTCTCCCGCCATCTTTCCTCTCTCCTTGGTGTCTCTCCGTTTCTCACGGCAGGTTTTCATTTCTTTGCATTTGTCTTCGGGGGGCTCCAGCTGGTTATCTTGTCCAAATTCAATCCCGTGCTTGTTCATGGTCCCTTTCCTATTCGAAACCTCAGTTTTTTTTTTCCCACCCCATATTCCAACAGTCTCTGAGCCGGTGCGAGCAGCTCTCACAACATGTCTTCAAGAGCCCTAAACGACTCAGTCATTGATGACGATGACGAGCTCTGGTGAGTCTGCTTCATATCACGGGACAGTTGGCCACTTGTACCGCAGTTGCTAATCTTGAAATCCTGTCATCCACAGCCCGCTCTGTATTGAAGAGTTTGATCTCTCTGATAAAAACTTCAAGCCATGCCCGTGTGGCTACCAGGTACGCGTTGATATATGAAGACAAAAAAAATATAGCCCCTCCCTGCCTCTAGTGAAACGCCAAAAACTCTAGCAGAAGATTAACCGCTAACGAATCACTGCTAGATATGCCAATTTTGCTATAACAATATCAAGACCCATAGTGAAGAAGGCCGTTGCCCAAATTGCAGACGCGTTTATGACGAAAGCAGCATTCAATACCGTGTCCCAGATGTTGATGAGTGCGTGGTTCATTCCTATTCTTAGCCTCATAATTCACTCTTTACTGACAGGGGTTTCTTACATATAGGTTCAAAGCAGACTTGGCTCTAAAACATCGAAAAGCCGCTGCAGCCAAACGAAAGGAGGCTGAAAAACGAGAAATCGAAGCCTCAAGTAGGAAAAACTTGGCTGGTGTCCGGGTGGTTCAGAAGAACCTCGTCTATGTTATCGGGCTTAATCCTACAATCCGGGACGAAAATTTACTCTTACAAACGCTCCGGGGTGACCAATATTTTGGCCAGTATGGCGATATTGACAAAATAGTTGTCAGCAAGGCGAAGCCGGGTGGCAACCCAAACCAAGGTATCGGTGTCTACGTGACCTTTGCGAGGAAGATAGATGCGGCTACATGTATTGCGGCAGTTGATGGCTCACCTAACGGTGACAGAGTCTTACGGTATGTACATGCCCCCTGTCTTGTTGATCATCTGTTTTACTAACATTTATTGATAGAGCGCAGTATGGCACTACCAAATACTGTTCCTCCTTTCTCCGCAATGAACCGTGCAATAACAGAAATTGCACGTTTCTTCACGAAACCGGGAATGATAGTGACAGTTTTAGTCGACAAGACCTTTCATCCATGAATTCAATTTCTTCGCAAAGATACCCATCGAACGGATCGTCCTCCGCAATCTCACAAGCTCCAAACCAAACCACCCAGCGTCCATCCCCTGCGATTAGCCATGCTAGGGCCGTTAATGCTCCAAATACCCAGTGGCCCGCTGTCAAGGACGACGGCGGAGTGCGTTCTTCGAGTACGGATTCATCTGCTCTTCCATCGTCTGCAAGTTGGGCGAATAGAGATTCCTTGGCTCAGAGAACTAGGAGGGAGAGTATAGCGGCGAGTCGATCATCTCCTAGCCCTAAGCCGACGAACGAACAATTGGCTTCTCGACCCGTAAACGGCTATGGAAAAGATTCTCAACGAACAGCGGAACAACTGAACACTACCTCGGACTCGGCTGGTCCCAGTGAACAGTCGAATACAGCACGCCGACCAGAATCTCCGTCTCCCACCATGATTTTCGATAAGCTAGTAAAAGCTGTCAATTCACCGGAGTTCCGATTTCACTTCTCAACTGAAGCTGTCCCAGACAACGAGTTGGTATTTATCGAGAACCATCCGTCTCTAATAGACCCGTACGGGGGCGTCAAACGCCGGGCCATGCGTGAGAAAGCTGAGCAAGAACGAGCAAAACATGCCCTCGATGGGAAACTTCTACAAGCCCCAGCCGAAGAAGAGAACCTTGAAAGCGGGAGTTCACAGCTAGGTGGTGAACCAGAGGATGTCCATGGTGGTGTTGGTGTTCCCGGGCGACATCAAAGAGAACCACAATCTGCTATTCAGCCTCCTTCTCAACAGGCAACGGCCAACAACTCGGTTGTGGGGTCCCCGGTTCCAAACAGCCATCAGTTCCAGAACATCAATGTCAATGCCCGAAATCTTTCCCAGCTTCAACAGCAGCAACTCATGCTACTCAAGTCTGCTGGGGGCCAGCAGCATAATATTATGGATCTCCAAGCCAATACCGCGTCTGGCACCTTTGATCAAAATGTCCGAACCTTCCAGAACCAGATGGCTGGATTGAATAATATACCCGGTCATACAAGGCAGTCTTCGCGGTTTTCATTTGCCTATGATGTTAATTCCAAAAACCCCAGTGGCAGACTTGTTGGTTCTCAGGGTCCTATGATGCAATCATCCAGCCCCAATCCTCTTTCAATCCCTACTACACAACACAATCTTGGCAATCAATACTTTGTTAGCGGTATTCAAGGCCCGCCACCAGGATTGAAGAGTGCTGGTACTCCTCCAGTTAGTGGTGGCGGCATGTTTGCCCAGGGCCATGGTTTCACCAGCACGATGAACAGTAACCTTGGGCTCGGTACCAAACAAGATGGAAATGCTGATTTGATGCGTGAAATTATTCGTGCCAGGGGCACTGCAGGCGGGAATGTTCAGTCCCATGATGCAACAAAGCGTGAGTTCCTGTTTCCTTTACTCCAACAAAATAGCACACCCCCTCCTCTGGCTCCCGTTTCAGGCCTTTTGAACCCGCTCTATGGCCAGCAGCTTGGTCTATATCAAGATCAAGTGCCACAGAAGCAGAAAAAGAGGGGAAAGAAGCATAGACATGCTAACACTTCCTCCGGCGGAGGCGGTGTAGTAGATCTTGCAGACCCGAGTATTTTGCAGGCGAGGATGCACCAAGGTGGCGCCAATGCTGCCGCTGGGCAGGGGCTGTACGGGAGTCAGGGTCAAGGTGGGTACAACCATTCCAATATGGTGTACAGTGGAGGGTTTGGAAGGTGGTAAAAGATAACCCTTCTCCAAACTGTGTGGCTCCCCCAAATCAATCCCAAGCCTTTTCTACCCCTCTAATCATCTCCCTTCCTGTGAACCACATTTTCTATATCTTTCCCATTGTATGAGATTTCATATTCTTCCAATGTCCTTATCTAAGCGTTTATGTTTTACATGGTTTCTTCCTTATCATTCCCCTTCGTTTACCCACCACCCGCTAGGAGTACAGAGGCTGCTGTTTAATTTTCCTTCCTCATTTGTTTTTTTATTTGGCATTTATTTCAGCACTGCATACGGGGAACATTCGTTGAAACGCGTGCAACTGGGCGTTCACATCGCATGTTCGCGATATTTCTTGATGAACTTGGCTGGCGGGAGGCGTCATACACATTACATTTATCCAGGAATATGCTTTTCGAAGGGCTTTTTCGCGATATTGGGAAAACGTTTTCATATTGCCTGCCATATCTATGGCTGGGGGTTCAGGTTTCCTTTCGCGCCAACCTACGTTTCTTCGGACTATACCCAAAAACACACTTTCCTTTGAGAGGAAATCTTTTTGTATGTTAATCCTCCCTGTTCTTTTGGGCTTGTACCCAAGCCCAGTCTTACTATGTCGAAACAAAATTTCTCACTGTTATTTTGCCCATATAGATGTCTCCAACTTGTTATGTGTGATTCGAAGTATCCTCTGCCCTGATCTTGTAGCGCCGACTGCAGCCAATATGTATATAGAAACAAAGGAAGCCCCTGGGCTACCCATGTAGCTGCACTTACCTCCCCTACTACGCTCCCTTCCTTGCCATCACAGCTTACGCCACCTTCGTTAGACAGGACAGAAATCTTTCAGGTTTATATGCTAACATTTTGATATTAGAAGACGAAGATTTCCCGCCGTTGGCTCCAGCATCTAAGCCAAATTACGACAAACAACCTACGGACCCCATTCGTCTGCCAATTAGGAATTCTCTTCCGGGGGAATCATCGCTGACCTCAAGCCGGTCTGGAACTCCCGCTGTGCCGCCTGGGTTCGGCTTACCCCATGCGCATCCACCTACATCGCTCGTTCGTGAATCCAGAACGTCAAGTCCTTCACTCCCAAAGACTCCTTTGACCATAAATCCACCCCCAGGACTAGTGCATCCTCAAGCATTTACAGAGTCGAATGCTGCACCTGAATCAGCACGAGATTCTCCAGCTACTCCCTTGAAACAGTCAGTTAGTAGAGCTGCCGAAGTATCTCTCGGGTCTCCCAAGTCCAAGGCTGGCAGCGCTGCCAGAACCAGTTCATTAAGTGACACTTCATCAAAAACACACCAATCATCCAGCCACGGGAAATCAAAACCCTTAAAACTTGATCTTTCGACATTTGAGAAGATTCGCGAACCTGTCTCCAATTCGACTCCCGTGCAGAGTGTTGCACCGCCGGCTACTTCTTCAGGCGGTCCAGAGTCTAGACCAGATACTCCAGGGACCAACTCTCGTACTTCAAACTCTCCGGCTCCTCGCCAGCCAAGGGTTTTACGAGTCGTTGATACGCCGAAGTCAGAGCAAACACCACCTACAACATCGACAAGCACATCTGTATGGGGCGTGAAACAACGACCAGGAATACATAATCTCTCTTCTGTCAGCAGACCAACAACACCAGTCGGCTCTGAGTATGATGCCCAAACGTCCGCCTCAGTTTCTCGAGCGAATTCGCCACCACCATCTAGAATTGGATCTGCGCCTGTTCGAACGGTTACAAAGAGTCAAGTGAAGAAGGACAGGAAATTGAAGGCCAAAAACGCGGAGGCCAAAAAAGATGAAATTCTGCTAGCCACTGCAGCAGCCAACAGCGAGACTCAAGCCCCGATCATCGGTCGTAAACGCAAGACGAAGAAGGCACCAAAGCAGCCAAATGGTGACGTTGATAACAACGCATCCGACGGAGAACAGAAAGAATCATCAAGCAATGATGCAGTGAAGTCTCAAACGGAACCTGAAACGCCATCTAAGTCAAATCAGGAGGAGCTGCAGAAACAAGAATCGAAAGCTCCAGGAGAAAGCGAACCATGGCGGGAGAATAACACCCTCCAGCAAATGACAATGGATGCCGAGTCGAAAGGTGTACCGGTCAAAGATCTCTTTCTTGAGCGTACGGCACCTCTTCCCACGCTCCTTGGGCAGCTTCAGCAACTTGGAGGTTTTGATTTGAACACCCACTTACTTTTCAACCCACCAAATCTCGGCCAGCGCACAGATATGAAATGCAATGCCGACGACTACGACATGCTGCACAATCCACTTGAGCTGACAGAAGAGCACCGGAAACAGCTCCTCCGTGGTGAACCTGTACGTATTAACAATGGTGATCCCGATAAACTCAAGCATCGTGCCCTCATCACACCTAGCGGCTGTATTCTCCGTCATCTCTCCGCCGAAGAAGAAGACCGGTATCTAGCATTGGAGAAGAGCCTCTCGTCTGTTCTAGACGTTATTCAGGATTCTTACCCCTCCCTTCTCATCTCCGAGCCCGATATCACAAACCGCGGAGGTGGGTTGGATGCCCTTTTCGCTACCCCTGAGAAGTTCAATATTTGCTGGGTTGATGAGGACTCAACTCGAAACGGTCTAGTGTCCAGCATCACCGCCGAAGGCTCATCTGCGATCCTGTCCCACTCGCCGCATGCAAACAATGGGGTAAACACATCCACATCCGAGCCTGAGATGGTGCGTTCTCATAATTGGGCTATTAGTAGTGGCGGCGAAACCGTCCCTATTCGTTCGTCTGCGTCAAAGTTGATGGGTGGACGTTGTCCTAGCTTTGGCCCTGGCCTTGAAGAGCTAATGAACATGCCTGATGTTGAACTACGAGCTATGATTAACGCTTCTCAGACTGAGCTGGATGTATCGAGGCGGGAAGTTGATGCTATCGACAAGAAAGTTATGGCTCTAGTTAAGAGAAACAAGAAGCTTGTTCAGCAGGCTTTAGCAGCTGCAGCAGAGTCAATGGCCCAGTCGCAGTAATTTACGATGAAGTGATGTTGCCCAATATTGTGTTGACCACTCACAAGAAGTCTTAATCGGACTCGCTTGTTCCATTCTCTATGATTTTCCTTCCTTTGTAACGTGCTGTCCCCCTTCTGCATTATATGGAGTCTGTTTGAATTGCTATTGTTACTATCATTCGTGATTTTATGTCTTCTCTGTAGCGTTATCTAAGTCTCCCTTTCGCTTTTGTATGGTATTTAGGTCTGGGTTTGAGGGAAGCCTCTTAGCAATTGAAAATAGCGAACTTTGCAAACAATTGACTGTGCCATATTTGAAAGCGTGTATTTCTATATCTAGTACTCTCTGCTCCAAAGAGAGAATCTTGATCTATGGTATGTACATTTTGGCGTGCTCTTCAAGGCAAAGGACAGAATGGAGGGGAAAAAAAAGAGAAAAAACCAAGCCAGTCAACCAGTAGGTTCCTTAAGGGAATGAAACGCCAAAACAACGCTATATATTATTCCGCGTATAAATAAGACTGTCTGTTGCAGGGTGATGAAAACATGAGCCATATGGTATATCGGACATCATTCCAAAATATCCAAGGGGAGGAGAAATGGCGAACAGAGGGAGCGATTGATGGTTTGGAGCAGAGGTTGTCTCATTTACAACCCCTTTAGGCCACCCTCGAACTCAGTAAGGTCGTACTCCTTGGGATATTTCTCAAGGATGCGCTTCAGCTCTTCTCTCTGTTTCTTTACTTCAGGGGTAAGCTCTGCAAAGACGTCGGTGAACATTTCCTTCAGCGCAGGCTTCTTCTCTCTCTCAGCGGCAGCGAATTCTGCAAGGACATCCTTACGGAGCTGTTCACGGGTCTCGCGCTCCAAGTCTTCGTTCCAAATGCCCTTGTTCTCCATCCACTTGCGGAGACGAGAGATAGGGTTATCACGGCGCTTCCAATCCTCAACCTCGACGCGGGCACGGTAAGCGAAGCTGTCGTCACTAGTACTGTGGTGAGAAATACGGTAGCTCATGGCTTCAATAAGAACAGGACGCATTGAACCCTCAAGAGCTCGCTTCTTAGCTTCAAGGGTGGCTTCACGGACCGCAAAGATGTCGTTTCCATCAACACGGATGGTGTCAATTCCATAACCGATACCACGGCTTGCAATTCCATCTCCTCGGTACTGCTCTAGGGTTGGAGTAGAGATGGCGTAGCCGTTGTTCCGGCAGATGAAGATTACAGGGCAGGAGCGCGTGGCAGCAATATTGAGAGCAGCGTGGAAGTCTCCTTCACTGGCTGCTCCCTCACCAAAGTAGCAGGCAACTACTTGTTTCTCGGCATTAGGATCTTGCAGAGCCTTCATCTTAAGTGCGTAAGCAGCACCAGAAGCATGAGGTATTTGAGTGGCGAGGGTTGATGAGATGGTATGCTAGAAGTGAGGTGTCAGAATGAGCATAAAGCAGATGGTATTATTTTACTTACAGTGTTCACATCCTTGCCTCCGTAGTGGACAGGCATGTTACGACCCTTCCCGGAGTCGTTGCGATTGGAAAAAAGCTGGCTCATAAACTGCTTCAAGGTGAACCCACGCTGCTGGAAGACACCAGTTTCCCTGTACTGGCAGAAAATGACGTCTTTCATAGATAGCGCAGCTGCCGAGCCAACAGCGATACCTTCTTCTCCAGCAGAGACCTAGATGCACACTGTAAGCCGATATGCCAACACGCCTTCAATTAGACAATCACAGCTTACCATATAGAAACTGAGACGACCCTGTCTCTGTGCCTCGAACATAATCATATCCATGATGCTTACTATGTAAATTCATCTTTCGGTCAGCCGGAGCGTATTTTCGGGGCCTAGCGCCGAAGCTCTCTCCTTACCGCTCAGCATATTCTTGTACCAAGTGATAACCTCCTCATCCTTAACGTCCGGCGGCCCTCTCGACTTGTCAACAATGACACCCTCAGAGTCCATCACCCTATATGTCGGAATGGCTGGGTTCGAGGCAGGGGTGACGAAGGACATCTCAGAGGTGAATTTACTGTTCACGGCGCCAGGAAACCGAACACTAAATTCCGAACGTATCAGTTAGCACTCGCCCTGCTTAGATGTTTGACAGAGGGCAATTGCTTCTCTGATACTGACTGGTCTGAGCCTGGTGGCTGCGACACTGAGCTGGCCCATCGTACCCTGCTCACAGGCAGTCTGGAGGCGCGCAGCAAAGCTCCCTGGGCGGGGCGGACAAGGCGAAGGACAGGCATGGTCGGCTGTCGGCTGTGTGTCTGGTCGTCTGTCTGGTCGCTTATTCGTCTCTGCTGTCTGTCTGCTGTACCGTGATGGTATCAATTGAGACTCGCCTTGACTGCTAGATGTTGGCTCTGCTATCAAATGAATCTCAACGCATGGGAAAAAAACCGACGGCAGCGAAGTTGTTTCTCTTCCCGCTTTGGGCGAAAGGTGGGCAACTCGGCTGGCGTCGGCCTGAAGCAGGTCATGTGAGAGTTAGTCATATGTTAATAAGCAATAACATTATATAATCTGCCAAGGCAGTCAAACCTCCGATTAGTAAAAGTCAAAATATAAGTATGCCAAGAATTTGGATTATTAATAAAGTTTAAAGTTTGCGGGGACCAATCGCATGATTTTTATCTGCCAGCCATTGTATTTGCATTATCAAAAGCTCCTGATTCTCTGGTCGACTCTATTCAATGGGGGGGAATTCCAGCCAGGTAAATAGTACCGTATTGGCTGTATAGGTGGCATAGGGCTGTTATTTTATGGGGCATCTTCGTGTGCTCCCGACAAACTGGAGAATAAGGATATAGAATGTTTAGTTCCACCAACCAGCTAACTTAGTTAAATAACCCGCTCTCCAGTTAAAGAGTATAAGAGTAAGATAGATCTGAAAGCTTCTACCAATCAAAATCTATATTGTCGAAACTGAAGTTCAAATTCGGGGTGCTGGCACAACACCCGCCCAGCATGTAAGGAAGGGCGCGTAGCAACATGATAAGTGCTGACGATGCTACAAGTTGCGGGAAAAAAGTGCCTGGGTGGACTTGGCACAGCTTTTCAATTATCAGACGAATTTAGCGCGGGATTTAACTGCTTCCTTGAAGCACGGTTTGTTCGCGATTTTTATGTGCGCGACGAGGTTATTCTGGTGTAACTATCTCCTTGCTAGGTTCAGTTTATATACGCGGATCTGCTGGGAAAGCGGCCGCATTTGCTCAATTAATTATATGTTATCAATGTACGGAATACTTCAAAACACGTCCAATTACCCACTGCATATTACATGTGTGACATGATAGTTTTCTTTGATTCAACGTTTGACTCTCACTCTAGGTCAATATAGTCAGTCCAAGCACGGAGTAGGGCTCCCCTCTTCCAACATATAACAATGAGTATATTTTATACTTCTTTTGGACTTTGATATGTATTGGGTGGCAGGATTGGGTAAAATGGATGGCTCCTCCTGGAGATGATAGGCTTTTTGCAGGGCGTATTATGCAAGGAAAACATGGGTGTTAGTCACTCTTGCTGCTTTACTTGTAAATATTGTATAAGCTAGACCGTCCCTTGAAAATAGCTCATTTCATACCGCGGCGTATAGCTATCCAGTGGTTAGCCAGGGTGTAGTCAGCATGCCCAAATCTGTACTGCGAAGCCACACTTCACATAATGCTCCATAGATGCACCACAGCAGCGGCTACGGCAGGCCATGTAGAGCTAGATGATCCATAACTGATAGAAGGACCTTACTATTATTAGGCGAATGATGATCCATGAGTACTTATTCTCCTTAGGTAATGTGGCAGTCATGCAACTTCTGAGTCAGTCGTAAGAGTATCATCCATCCATTTTGGTTGTCTTTCTATGTTTGCATTATTCTCAGAAGTCGAGGACATTGAAGATACTTCGAGCAGTCGCTATATGCATGGTTCCTTCAAATGTATCTTCCATGTATACTGCCCGCAACTACCAGCATGCAAGACTTATAGCCAAGATCAATTACCTGGACAGGTGCATCACCTAGCTACTCAAATGTAAGCTAGTACTTATAATGCCTCACAGGTGATATGAAGGGGCATAGAGCCATTACCGTGACTGGCAATCGGGTATTTTCAAAGCAAAGAACTGTCACCTCCTTACTTTGCCAACACGGATGTCGAGACCTCAGCTCTTATATATATTCTCATTGTTTAAGAATAGGAGTTTCAAGCTAAAAAGATTGAGCAGACAGCTCCATCCCAGGCTATTCCACTTGCTATAGGCAATATAAGAGCTGGATGAGTTGAGCTGTCCTGGCCCTAGAGAGACCACACAACTGAGCCCAGTTAGGATATAATATTGAGATCCTAGGTATATTTATGTCATAGGATACAGTGAAATGTTATTTATTGTTCATTGCACATTCATACTTGAGAGTTGTTGAGGGTAAAAAGGACCTAAAAGCAGACTTTCCACAATTGGTTAATAAAGTTTTTGAGGCTCATATTTAATCACGTGATATAACTCGTTGGGTTACATAATCTAGAGGAATTAAATTTCTGGAGCTTTTTCGAGCTTCAGAAAAGCAGCAAAAGCGCGACTGGACAAACGAGGGAAAGCAAAGAGAAAACAAGGGTTGCAAAGAGATATATTCGTTGAGATAATGAACATGTCATCAAGAAGTGCGTGGCGAGGACTGCATTGGAGTGCAAAGAGACGGCCGATGGTGCCTCAAGCCCCTTACAGGTGTTTCTCCTGCACTGCTCGACTGCAGAGCCCAGGTCAGCAACCTGATGAGCGTAAGACTCATTTTGGATTCGAGACGGTGCGGGAATCTGAGAAGGAATCTCGAGGTAAGGTGTCTGCCTGCCTTTAATTAGTCGAGTGACGCTCTGTTTGTTGACTCTCCCATGCAGTTGGTGCCGTTTTCAGCTCAGTAGCTCGCTCCTATGACACGATGAATGACTTCATGTCACTCGGCATTCACAGACTATGGAAGGACTATTTTGTACGGTCGTTAAATCCTGGCCGTCAGTACGCGCGTGAAGGCCCCGGCAAGAGTGGCAGCAGTGAGGTCGAGCACCAGGGCTGGAATATACTTGACGTTGCTGGTGGGACGGGAGACATCGCATTTCGCATGCTGGACCATGCCACAAACATCAAGCATGATCAGTATACTCGGGTTACGGTTGCTGATATCAACCCGGACATGCTAACAGAGGGGAAAAAGCGGAGTCTTGACACTCCATATTATAACTCCGATAGGCTGTCATTCATGCAAGGCAATGCAGAGTCAATGCCGTCCATCCCATCCAACTCAGTCGACCTCTACACCGTTGCGTTTGGCATCCGTAATTTTACCAACAAGCAGGCTGCGTTGGAGGAGGCTTACCGCATCCTCAAGCCTGGCGGAGTCTTTGCATGTCTCGAGTTCAGCAAGGTGACCGTCGGCGCTTTCGATGAGGTATACAAGCGGTGGAGCTTTGGTGCCATTCCACTTATTGGACAGCTCGTGGCCGGAGACCGTGCCAGCTATCAGTATCTCGTTGAGAGCATCGAGAGGTTCCCCAGCCAGGAGAAGTTTCGCGGCATGATCCGCAAAGCCGGTTTCCTTACTCCAGGCGATGGCTACGAGAATCTGTCGTTGGGCATTGCAGCAATTCATAAAGGAGTCAAACCCTTGAAGTGATACTCTTCCCGCCGCTACCGCCTACCCTCCTCTAGACCACCGACGACGGCAGACTTCCGTTCGGTGAATAGTCAGCAACTCTTTGCTTTTTTGTTCTTGTTCATCCCGGACAGACAGGCAAGAAGACGACGCTCACATTTGTACTACTATGCCATGTAATTTTCTGTTTTTTCATGAAAAAATATCGAGACCTCGCTTCTGAAGCATTGACCTGCACATAGTTACATCCAAGATTCCATGTGGTGGTCGGAAGTTGCTTTTTTTTTTTTTTTTTTTTTCTTTAACATCAACAGATGATTCCATCATTGTTTCCATCCAACTGGCGCCTCTCGCACAGCATGCATGTCAACATCCATCCCTTGGCTCTGCGCCAGACTATCATCTTCGCAAAGAGAGTTCAAGATTCCTCAGCATCCGCCGACTCTATCTGTTTCATCCGTACTGGAGGTGCGAACAGCCAACTGCTCCGTCCGTAAGGCGCACCCCGTCCTTCTCGTCTTTTAGTCTCTGGAGAAAAACTCCGCCAACCAAACTTTTTGCTCAGCCCCTTAGTTACTCTGGATCCCATTCATTATTCGGCAGGCAGATACCTCCCTCTCCAGCGTCCTACCTCAAAGAAAGGTGGATGGCGAAATACCAAACCACGGGCCAACACTTCCCGCCTGCGACTGACTAAGCAGTGAACCTTGATCTTATCAATCTAAAACCCGCAGACCTTATTTTTATTTTTATTTTTTTTTTTTCCCTCTCGGCTCTTCTCAAAACGCCTCTCTCGCGGTGCCATCCCCTCCAACAGACGCAAACACCCTCACAGAAGGCTGCGGAGGCTGCGGGCTTGGTTCTGATTCCAGCCTGTCACACTTGACCTGGCTGCTTAGCTACAGGTCCCCCTTAAATCCGCCGTACCAGGTGCCGTGCCTATTGGCTGGCGTGCCGTTTGCATCATCCCTGCATCGCAAAACGGCCCTGGGGCAAAGACCCTGTTGGTCTGGAGGCCTTCTCGGGGCTCTTCTTTCTCCTCCCTCGGATATTTCATTCCTCCGTCTATCCTGGGCCTTGGACCATTTTTCAGACTTCTGGGAATATGAATATATGAGACCAGTTTCTGTCTGGATCCCCTATCTTTGCCGTTGTTCCGGGTTTCGTTTTAGCCGAACGGCGCTCGGATTCCATTACATTTTTTGTTATCTTTACTCTATAATTTATTTTTTATCGCCGCGATACTGATACCAATATCTTTTGCGCCCCCGCTACTGAGAAGCGGTCAATAAACACCCCTCTACGATCAAATTCTCTCGCAGGCCTACGTCTACGTTGCCTTTACTGCTGGGACCTAAGGAGTGCTCTTCACGATATGGTGTCCACTCTCTACGCCAGGAAACGCACCCGCCAGCTCTCTCCTATGTCACCTCCGATAGTTCCTTCGAATCCACAGGCCATCAAGTCGAGCCTCATCCCACCACTACCCATGACTCCCCCAGACCCGGGCGTTGATTCCGCATCCTCGTCATCACCCCATCCATCGTCTGTCGATACGGCAATCCATGTCATTGCTACGGAACGGGCCGCCCTGGAAAACCTTGAGCGAGTCTATAGCACCAACGAGATGGCGCGGAATAACATGGAACGAGCTGTGGAACAGATTGCTAACACTATCAATGCGGGATCCAAGCTGATTGTATGTGGAGTTGGGAAGAGTGGTAAGATCGGGGAAAAGGTCGTGGCTACAATGAACAGTTTAGGGATATACTGCTCGTTCCTGCATCCAACGGAAGCGCTACACGGAGACCTTGGCATGGTGAGGCCGGTAAGTCCGACGGCTTTTTTTTTTTCCTTCTGGAATTTGCTCCCCCTTGCTGGATATGAATGTGGTGCTAATACGGGGCCTCACATAGACGGACACCGTCCTCTTCATCACATATTCTGGCAAAACATCTGAGCTACTGCTCGTCCTTCCACATTTCCCCCCGACAACGTCTGTTATTGTGATAACAGCGTACAAACAGCCATCATCGTGTCCACTACTAGCTGGTTCTAGTAATGCCAACACAATTCTACTTCCCTCACCCATCCATGAACCAGAGGAAGTTTCGTTCGGTGTTTGTGCTCCTACAAGCTCGACCACTGTTGCACTGGCTGTTGGCGATGCTTTGGCTCTCGCCGTGGCTCGACGGCTTCATACCACACCTGGAAGAGGGCCCGCTGAGGTTTTCAAGGGATATCACCCCGGTGGTGCTATCGGAGCTGCTACAGCTGCCGCCGCTTCGACATCAATATCTGGGAGCTCAACACCCCTGACTTCTACATCAACTACCCCTTCACAGTCGATGTCTGTCAACGACATTCAAGATGAACCTGAGCCAGCATTACCACCTACTGAAACAACACTTTGTCATTCAATAACAGATGTCATGATCCCGGCAGAGTTAATCCCCACGGCATCACCAAGGAATGGTTATCCACTACGTGTAGTTGATGTGATGCGTGCGTCCCTTCGAGGCTCGACTTCCAAGCCTTGGGCTTTTATACGGCCTGGTTACATTGTTTCACCCCGAAGGCTGCGGAACATGGTTGCGTGCAATGACCCAGAGGATAATATCGGAAATGTCGACCGCGATATGTCGATTGGACATCAAACTGAAGAATGGGTACGCGTACCCAGTACCAGCACGGTTGACAATGTCCGACAAATCCTGGACCGGCAAAAGCAATCCAACAATGCAAGCCCGCTAAATACAGCCATGAAGCGAGATTCAGAAGGAAACACAGTACACCGCAAACGACGTGTCATCAGCGTCATCAATGAGATGACCAACACGGTAGTTGGTTTCGCCGAAGAAGAAGATTTAGAGCACAGCGAGGACATGTTCAAATGAGCGACTCAGAACCCTACATACCAGATACCTGCACATTAGAATTAATTTTTGGCTTCATTGGGACTCGTACAGCGTTGTTTTTTTTTTTTTTTTTTTTTTTTCCATTTAGGTTAGACCATCATATATACAGAAATCTGCGCGTTAGCGCTTAATTAAGTCATTATCCAGTTATGGAGCGGTTTCTGCGCCAGCATAACTATAAAACCTGACATACACTAATAGCTTTTCCCATTCCATGCTCAAAGTCATTAGGTACCTAACCTACACAGCCTTGGTTAGGTACCTCAGGTGAGTTGCGTTCATTGGTAATAATAGAGTAGTTAGTTATAGCTCTTATCGCAACTAACTAGCTAGCTAGCTAAGTTAGTTCAAGATAAGGAGGGAAAAAAAATTGTCTTGGCGCAAATAACTAGTTAAGTCTTCAACTTCCAACAACTTCAACTATCAACTTATTGGAACTATCACGGCCCATCCAGAAAACCCTGAAAAAAATGGCGAAACGAAAGCGCGATGTATTGGAAGAGGACGGCTCATATAACTGGGGCGATAAGAAACTGAGAATACAGAGGCTACGCCTTGACCAGGCGGTCCAACATGGCGTGGTGCTTCTTCATCGTGCACTCAAAGTTGCCAGAGGATTCGAACGGCAGAAGTTAGGTCGGAGAGAAAAGTCTGCAAGACAAGAGAGCGATAGAATGCTATTGAATCGGCGTTTGAATGAGGTTGAAGCTTTGAAGGTGCGACAATACTGCTCTAATAGCCCGGATGTTGAGCTCGAGACCAATTCCTAACTACCGCAACTCCAGGCCTTGGATCTGCATAAAACCGCCGAAAGATACCTGATAAAACAGATGGTTAAAACGAAACGAATTGCCGAATCACCTGCATTTATTCATTTGAAGCTTGCGGAGCGCATATCAAACGAGGAAAAGAAGGGTGATGCTGAAGCCAACGTTTCTGCCCGGTTGTTCAACTCAAATCCAGTGAAGAAAGTCTTTCCAGGGGTTATGAATGATATAAGGGATATACTTGGTTTGTCTGGGGACACGGAATCGAAGAAAGTCGCAGCGAAAGGGGGTCAAAAACGGCTAGCCGAGCGTATGCGAGAAGATATAGCCATGGGCGATAATGATGAGAGTACAGATGGAGAATCAGAAGGTTCTCATGGCGACGAAGAGATGAACATGGCCCGTTTTGATGGACTTGTTGCGTCTGGTTCGGAGAATGGGGATGGGAGTGACTATGGGGACAATAACAAAACGAGACCAGCAAGTGCAAGATACAACCCAATGGACGACATGTCATTATCACCTACATCATCAGACACGTCTGACGAATCAGATGTTATTACGACAAAGTCCTCGAAACCCAAACAAAAGTCTACTACAGCTACAACATTTCTCCCGACACTCATGGGAGGATACTGGTCAGGCTCTGAATCTGAGCCAGAGCAGGATTACACATCCGCCATCCCTGAACGGAAGAATAGGATGGGCCAACAGGCAAGACGAAAGCTTTGGGAGAAGAAATATGGAAGTAATGCGAGACATATCCAAAAGCAGGCGAAGGAACAAGCCCAAGGCAAGAATCGGGATAGCGGCTGGGATTTACGCCGTGGAGCTACAACAGAGGAAGATACAAGAGGAAGATATGGAAGAAATAAAATACGTGGAGGTCAACGGAAGGAGGCTACTGGATCAAATACAGCCCAGGTACAAGCTGTGCAGCCTACTCCAAAACCCGCGCCCCCTAACAACAACAAACCGCTTCATCCTTCATGGCAGGCGGCAATTAAACGCAAACAGTCAAAAGCACAAACTTCATTCCAGGGCAAGAAGGTTGTATTTGACTAGGATAGGTCGACAGCCTCGCTAGTCAACAATGACTAGATAAATATGTTAAGAAATAACCGAACTGCAAGCCCACCCATCAGATACGCCGTAGCAGTGTGGCATTGGCCAGGCAAATTTATACGGAGCAGGTTCTCAGATGCGCCAGAAATCTCTTCCTGGCAGCCGAAGACCCTGCCCTTTTGTAGTAATATGGCTTTCTGTACACCGAAGATGCCATTGCTAATAAAAAGCGCGCCCTGATATTAGCGCTATGTGGGATCTAGATAGGGCATGACACAATATGCAAGCCTACCATAACATATAAAGGTATAGGTCTCTTATACCTACTGTCCACCCAGCCTATCCTCATTAATTATCCCATCAAGCTCGAGAGCCCATAGCGAAAAAATCTCCGCCTGAAGACCCCCTATACTTCAGGGGCGAGCTGAGTCAGCGGTAAAAATCGGAGAGTAGCAAAAAAGTAACTAGCTAGCCCCTCGATGATAACGACTTCAAGACTTCAAGCTACAAACCACAAACCATAGACGCATAATCACCATATCGGTCTATATTACGGACACTATTCACCATGACTATTACCTCTGACACTTATAAAGGTATCTACTACTCCTAGCCATGTCTTCAATTGCGTTACTACCTCTACCCCTCTATGCCCCTCCGCGGCCGGCGAACAGTTGATGCGAAATTTAAGGCGCCGATCGATATTGATAGCTTTGAATGCGCATCATTGATTAACAATTGTCCCTTTTAGAGCCCGTCCATATCGGCGTCATCGGCGGCACCGGGTTGAGTGAGCTCCCTCATTTCACAAAAGTCGCAACCCTCAATATCACAACCCCATGGGGCGAACCATCCTCACCGATTTCAATCCTTCACCACACCTGTTCCACTAGCGGCAAGGTTGTCCCAATCGCATTCATTAGCCGACATGGCCTTCATCATCAGCTTTCTCCTCACGAGGTTCCAAGCCGTGCCAACATTGCTGCTCTACGATCTATCGGAGTCCGTAGCGTTGTAGCATTCTCCGCTGTTGGCAGCTTGCAAGAAGAAATTAAGCCCAGAGATTTTGTGGTCCCTGACCAAGTAATTGATCGTACCAAAGGAGTTCGGCCGTGGACGTTCTTTGAGGATGGAATTGTAAACCACGTTGGATTTGCCGACCCGTTCGACGAGAAAATGGCCAAAGTTGTTAGGGCATGCGGCCATAGTCTGGAAGGGGAGGGAGTCGTTCTCCACGACCGTGGCACTTTGATATGCATGGGTAGGTTCATTCTTCTCCGCTTATCAAACTAACCACCAAGTTACCTACGCTGCTCAGTATTTACTGTATAGCTTCGAGGGAAGGGTGAACAAACGCTGACATCTCGATTATAGAGGGCCCACAGTTCAGCACCCGCGCGGAGAGCAACCTCTACCGTAGCTGGGGTGGCAGTGTCATCAACATGTCTTGCTTGCCAGAGTCCAAACTAGCACGTGAAGCGGAAATGGCATATCAGATGATCTGCATGTCAACGGATTATGATTGCTGGCACTGCGGCACTGAGGATGTCACCGTCGAAATGGTCATGGGCAACATGAAAGCAAACGCTGTAAATGCAAAAAATTTCATCAGCGCTGTCTTGGACGAACTGACCAAGGACGAACACGCAGACCTAGTTAAGGGGAAGCACCTTGAAGGTAGTGCAAAATTCGGCTTGAGTACGAAACCTGGCAACATTAGTGCCTCGGCACTTTCTAAGATGTCGTGGCTCTTCCCTGGATACTTTTCTAACTGAGTGCTGGTTCTCGACAGCTCTTTTTGAAATGTTCCGATGGTTAGCCGGTTGCTTCTTGCTTTTGCTTTTAAGTAGTAGCTAGATGTTCCCCACATGTTATCGCCTTTTTTATACAGAGAATTATTAGGCAGTTATCCACTCCATGCAAGGCTATAGATGTAGAAATGATCTCGGTGGGATCATGACCTAAAGGGGCTCGTGGCTGCTTGAATATATTGTGATACAGCCTAGCTAAAATAGTTGACCTCCTTAATCAGTTAGTCAGCTGCTAGTTAACGAACTCGTAGCTCCAACCCCCTTTTTCCCCTCTCAATGAATGCTACATCATGCTAGGCATTGAGTTGGAGATTTTGCTCGACAGGCGGAAATTTTTGAAGAGCCCACTCTATCTATGGAGAACACGCAACGGGTTACTCCTTAGAATACAAGACAATAGTTTACCAATTACTAACTATTTATTTAGCTGATTCAAATTGCAGGGCCACACCACTTGATAGGTAAGCATCATGGAGTGTGTAACATGATACAAAACACATGATGCCGAAAACGAGCCTCCATCATGGGTACAACAACCAGTTCTGCTGATCAAGTAGTTAGAAGAATCGGAAGTAACCTTTTCTACCCCTCCCTACGGAGTACTCCGTATATGCAATAATAATGGCCATGGTTTGTGAAATCACATTCAACCAGAGTTCGAAGCCGAACAGGGGCAGTGGCGATCGGCTACAGATGGAGTGTGATCAGCTAGCTGCAGCCTTGGTGGCTGCAAGCATGGGAGATGGAGGAGACCCCATTGCTGGGTATATGGTGCGGTTCTCCGTAGCATGGGCCACCCTCACAAGGTGAAATTGTATAGTGCCAAATGTTTAAATAATAAGGCTTGCATTCCCAGGCAACGGCTGGATGTAATCATCCCTGGCCCAATATTATAAACGAAGAATGAGAATTGACCATGTTGTTCATTAGCGAGACATGGAGATTGGTTCTCCCTCTTCTTCTTTTTGCATGTCTATTTACCACTGCGTCTGGATCGAGTTCAGCGACTCTGAATGCACGCGCTGATGTCCCTCCCGGTTATAACTCGCCTCCTTACTACCCAACCCCCAAAGGAGGTTGGGTCCAGGAATGGCGGGCTGCATACGCAAAGGCTGCTGTGGTTGTCGCCAATATGACTCTTGCGGAAAAGGTGAACCTGACGACAGGAACTGGGATTTTTATGGGTCCTTGTGTCGGCCAAACAGGCAGTGCTTTGCGCTTCGGTATACCAAATCTCTGCCTTCAGGATGGGCCTCTAGGCGTGCGGAACACAGATCATAACACTGCTTTCCCTGCCGGAATTACTGTTGGAGCGACCTTCGATAAAAAGCTCATGTACGAGCGTGGAGTTGCTATGGGCGAGGAATTCCGTGGCAAGGGGGTGAATTTTCATCTGGGCCCCTCAGTTGGTCCCCTTGGACGTAAACCTCGAGGTGGTCGAAACTGGGAAGGCTTTGGGGCCGACCCGTCACTTCAAGCCATTGGTGGTGCCTTGACTATCAAAGGTGTCCAGAAGGCTGGTGTTATAGCAACGGTGAAACATCTTGTTGGGAATGAACAAGAAATCCATCGCATGACAAACGTGGTGCAGCGCGGGTATTCATCGAATATCGATGATCGAACATTGCATGAATTATATTTATGGCCATTCGCGGAGGCAGTCCGGGCTGGAGTTGGAGCATTGATGATGGCGTATAACGATGTACCGCTACCACTATATTCATTATCTCAGTTTAGATGTTATCTGTGGAGGTGGTGATGCTAACGGCTGTTTGACAGGTAAATGGCTCTACCTGTAGCCAGAATAGTCTTCTCATAAACGGAATCCTTAAAGATGAGCTTGGTTTCCAAGGGCTAGTTATGAGCGACTGGTTTGGCCAAATTGGCGGAGTCTCCTCGGCCCTAGCAGGCCTTGATATGGCTATGCCTGGTGATGGCCCAGTCCCGTTGGCGGGTGGCGCATTCTGGGCATACGAGCTGTCCAGGTCCATTCTCAATGGGACCATTCCTTTGGAGCGCCTTAACGACATGGTAGGGGCATATTCCTTAAACATTCCAATTTCTGGTTCAGCCTTTATAAGCTTATAAAGTTGTTAGCAAATTTTTAACAGTGGTACGTAGGTAACTAGAATTGTTGCGACCTGGTTTCAGTTTGGACAAGATGACAACTACCCGGAACCAAACTTCTCAACCAATACCCAAAAAGAGAGTGGCCTTATCTATCCTGGAGCCGTGTTTTCTCCGAGGGGCATAGTCAACAAATTCGTCGATGTCCAGGGGAACCATAAGGAAATTGCGAGGGCTATCGCGAGAGACGCCATTACCCTTGTCAAGAATAAAGATAACTTGCTCCCACTGAAGGCAAGTGCATCTCTAGCAATATTCGGTGAAGATGCAGGCACAAATCCAAACGGGATTAATTATTGCGCCGATAAAGGCTGCAATAAGGGTGTCCTAACAATGGGTTGGGGTAGCGGAACTTCCAGGTTACCATACCTAAGTACGCCAGAAGAAGCCATCAAGAACAGGTCGACAACTTCCAAATCCTATATCACGAACAAATTTCCTTCGAATATTAAGGTAAACCCCGAGGATGTCGCCATTGTCTTTGTCAACTCCGACTCTGGAGAAAATTATATTACGGTCGAAAGAAATCCCGGAGATAGAAGCTATGCTGGCCTGGAACTATGGTACGGAGGCGATAAATTGATCCAAGAAGCAGCCAAGAAATTCTCAAGCGTTGTTGTCGTCGTACACACTGTTGGGCCGACACTTCTGGAGAAATGGGTTGACCTGCCCGCAGTAAAAAGTGTCCTTATTGCCCATCTTCCAGGCCAAGAGGCGGGGAATGCAGTGGCAGACATTCTCTTTGGTGATGTCAGCCCCAGCGGCCACCTTCCTTATACAATCCCGAAATCTGAATCGGACTATTCTCCAAGCTCATCCCTTTTAAACCAGCCATTTGGGCAGATCCAGGACAATTTTGTTGATGGGTTATATGTCGACTACCGCCACTTCCAGAAAGAAGGAAAATCGGTCCGTTACCCATTCGGCTATGGGCTCTCTTATACAACTTTCGGGTTTAACGGGGCTACGATAACCGCTGGAACCCGACTATCCGAGTATCCTCCTCCTCGGATGCCAAAAGGCACGACACCGATATATACTGATAAAATTCCAGATGGTTCCGAAGTTGCATGGCCGAAGAACTTCCATAGAATATGGCGTTATCTGTATCCATATCTTAATAATCCAGCTAGCGTCAAAGCCGACTCAAAGTTCATATATCCCAAGGGATATCAGACCACGCCACAACCTGATCCGAGAGCGGGAGGGTCTCAAGGTGGGAATCCAGCTCTATGGGATGTAGTATTCACCGTCGCAGTCAGAGTCAAGAACACAGGACGAGTTCCTGGTCGTGCCGTGGCTCAACTGTATGTTGAATTGCCGGCTGAACTGGCTGCAAACACACCCAAATTGCAGCTACGTCAATTTGAAAAGACCTCAACACTTGCTCCAGGGCAAGAAGAGGTATTGAGAATGGAACTCACCCGGAAGGACTTGAGTGTTTGGGATGTGGTAACTCAGGATTGGAAGGCTCCAGTTGATGGGAAAGGGGTGAAGTTACATATTGGTGAGAGTGTTGAAGATTTGCATATCATGTGTGAAATCAGTTCCGGGACATGTAGAGCCGTTTCATAACCTTTTTCATGGTTCGGCGTAGCTATCTTTGAGTATATTATAAGTATAGAATAATTGATATTTGAAATAAGGTAGATTCTCAGTGACAGGATTTTGGTTGGGGTGCAATATAAATAATTGTGAGAACTAGTGGGGACTGTAGTTGCCTATATGGACCCGACTAGTTATGGTCACGTGTAAATGCGGCTCAAAATTAGTTTCGAGTTCAATGACGTCGAGTGTGCATATTTTAGACATACAAAGCACTAAGCGCTTCCTCTGGATACGATTGCTTGTACATGCTGTGCAGTTCAATATAGTCTCTGGGTAGCTAGTTTAATAGAGGCTGGTCTCTATAACTTCCCACACGATGCAGGGCTTTAGTAAGTCTTTTCTATGGATCACTCATTTTCAATGATAATTATTGACACAAGTTCTCTAACAGATATGGGACGGTGCGTTCTAAAATCTTCTACCCCCAAAACATTGATCGAATAGCCAACGAAGATACGAATAATCTAACGACGAATTAGATATGTCCCTCCGGAGTACGAAGGAGTCGTCTCTGGGAATAAGCTTGCTGGCAAGCATGCACTCGGCGCTCGCGCTCGAAACCTGCAAACTACGGGAGAGCTTACAGTGAGATTTGAGATGCCATTTCCAATTTGGTGCTCAACTTGTCAACCTGCGGAATCCGTGATCATAGGACAAGGAGTACGATTCAACGCTCTTAAGAAGAAGGTTGGACACTACTATTCCACCCCTATATATAGCTTCCGCATGAAGCATAGCGTATGTGGGGGTTGGATAGAGATACGGACAGATCCCCAACACACAGAATATGTGGTTACTGAGGGAGCCAGACGGAAGGTTACTGCGGATATAGGAAAGGGGGAGTATGAGGAGACTTCTACTGGAGCTGGAGAAATTCGAGTACGAATGCCTGGAAATGAAGGAGAAAATGAGACAACGGACCCGTTTGCGGCCCTAGAGGGGAAAATTGCTGATAAAAATAAATACATGACTGAAAAGATGCGGATGGACGAACTATTAAAGAGACAGGATCGGGACTGGGAAGATCCATATGAAAATTCAAGAAAGCTCAGAAAGGCATTTAGGGCAGACAGAAAGAAACGGGAGGCAATACAATCCGAGACGGAAGCTATTAAAGAAAAATATAGCTTGGGGGTCGATTTACTTGATGAGACTGAGGGTGACCGTGTTCGTGCTGGGGTAGTTGAATTCGGGCAAGAAAGTGACCCTGGCTCTTCCCTGACCTTGCCATCGAACCTTCGAACGAAACCACTTTTCGAAAATACCTCCTCGCAACATAAGCAGATTATTACTTCCAAATCTGGTCAAATGAAAAACCGGGAAAAAAAGGGGGGTCTGATTGCTAAGAAAAAGGCTCAATTACAAAGGAAGCTTCAAGGAAACACGAAAGCAGCCATCGATCCATTTCTTCTCATAGATGAATCTATTTGGCAACATTCACCAAGTGCTGCAAAGAAAAGAAGGCCAAGCAAGTTGGAAAATGAGATATCGACTGGAACACGAGATGAAAGCGATGATGCAGCAGACGATAAACCCGCCAAGAATAAGGAAACCAGAAACAACGAGACCAGAAATGAAGGTAGCGCTAAGGGAAATGGCCGCCTGTTAAAACCCTCCCAGAAGCCAGAAGGTCAGATACCCCTTAGTTCCGGGCTGGTGGATTATGGGTCGGAGTCGGATTAGTACCTTGATGAACTCATAGACATCGAGAGAGCACCTTAAGTTGCATGTTTGGAGTCTGGTATTTATTTATTTTATTTTTGTTTATTTTGATACCCATATATTAATTTCTACTTAAACTGCATAACCATTTACCATATTACTAGCAGTAGGAAGCATACATCAATAAATACTTGTGCGTTCGCCTCACTGCAATATTACACTAATAATGTACCAGAACACCAAATTTATGTGGAGAGGTATATCAAGACAAATTCCATATATTGACCACCATGAGTATTATATATCTATTAGATATAATAGGGTCCTCTTTACTAGTAAATAATACTTCCTGATATATTTTTCTAACTTAATTTAAGGAAATATAGTAGGAAAACAACACATAATATTTTCCCATATAATCCAGTAACTAGTAAAAAAGTAAAATTATTTAATTTAGAGAGGCTCTATTTAATATAGTGGTGGAGATATAAAATTTGCCTCGATATCCATCCCTATATAAATTTGGTGTTTTGGTATATTATTAGTGTAATATCATATCGGTGTAATTTCATTGCGATGAGGTGCATTCATCAGCGGTGGGTGGCGAAGGCACGACTATTTCTTTATTTTTTATGTACTGCTACAGGTTAACCAAACGTGCGATGAGCATTCATCTCTCTGAGGAATTTGCAGGTGGAAATGGCTCTCGCTGTGGTAGGTTTCGCTGCTGGCTACCTTGGCTGGCCCACGGAGCTCTTGTAGCTGGCACTTGGTGAGACGACGGTACTCCTCCTCGAAGGTCCCCCATTTCAACACTAGTAGGTTTCGAAGCCCATGGAGCTCGGGTACCCGCGTTTGATTGAGCAGAAAGGGATGGAGACGCCGGGATCTGAGTTCGAATCTGTGGCCCACTTGATGTATGTGCCGATGGAGCTGTTGAGGTGGCATTTGGGTCCTGTTTCCAAACAAATAATGACCCAAAGGGAAAGTGCTGTACCACGGGGAACTTTGACAAAACCTCCGCATTATACATTTTGATCATGCCCTATTTTCACATCAATAGTTAGAAATTGTTACGCGGTTCCTAGAAAGGCTGGAAAATTTGGATTCATTACCTTATTAATCTTTCCCCAACCATCTTTTATTCCTGAGATATCATATAACATCGGGCTATGTTCCCAGAACGGGCCCTTTTTGACATCGTAGATAAAACCAATAGCTGAAAAGTACATATTTGACTTTCGCTCCTTCTCAACAATGTTTGACTTAGTTACATCGCTTGTGGCTGGAGCATTCGGTAAGGAGCCCTCTGTAGGAGTTGGATCTGTAGGACCTATGGGAGGGGACAATTGAGCCGATCCTAAAATATATGAAATAAAAGAATGGTCATCTAGGCCCCACACACCATGAGAGCCTGCAGGCTCTAGAGTGTACGTGAGTATTAGACGTCGAATAAGCCGAAGATATCTAATCGAGAAAAGTAAGCCATAAGGAACATGCATGAGATAAAACGGGGAAACGTACGGTTCAATAACCCCAATAACTATGCCCCTCTCTTCTACCCCAGGATCTGCTTGGGCAAACCCATTTAGCTTCCATAGACAAGCAAGAAAGGCTAAAAAGCTAAGCTCATGCCCCGTTCCATAATCAAGCCTCTGTGAGCTACCAAAACTACCAGTTAGATAGGCCATCAGCTCCTCTTTCGCGGTTACGGTTTCTTCCTCCTCAGATTTCTGCTGAAGAATTTCTGGTGGCAAACATTCATCCATAATGGAAGCTGCACGGGATTCCATCTCCTCACACCATTTTCGAAAACTGATATTTCCGAATCGCCGAGGTCCAGTATCTGGAGCTACCTCATCAATGAGGGACTCCAATTTTGATAACAGTAGCTGTAGGCGACGGACAGGCTCTGAGAAGTCAACAGAATCGGAGTCCAGTGTCCACACCTCCACATTTGAAGAACCGCTTTCACTGGACGCCTTGGAGGGAAACATGCAACGGTTTAATTGCAAAACAAAGATCATAATATCTCTGTACGCTACAGAGGATAGAAATGTTTCCACATCCTGGTGATCATTGATCTTTTTCACCGGGCGCATGAAAGTGTGTGGTATAGTAGGATCCAACCGTTGCAGCGACGGTGCAGCTGCTGTGGTGGCCATTTTTATATTTTGCTCGTACTCAAGACACTCGGATTGTTATTTGTAGTAGGTATATCGTTAGCTGGTCGCGGGGTTAGGATTAATGACGTCTAGTTAACTAGTTAGTTTGTTTGTTATGTTAGTAAGCGCCTGCCGCGTTTAAAAATGACTAAGTCAACAAGTTAACTAGTTAATTAACCATTTAACACCACCCAGCTAAGGTTATTAAGGTTATATAAGTTACGTTCTCCAACAGTTCACAAACTAATTACCCATAAACCGACACGATTTGATGAACTTGGCTATTGAAGTAGAAACAAACTCAGAGTGACAGACAACTGACTACGATGCTGCGACTACTCATAATATAGACAGAAAGGAAGGGAGCAAGCCAAATCAGCTCAACAGCATCGCTAACTACACTGAGAAGGATGCCCGGAAGTAATCAAATTTCGAGGACGCGTGACGACAAAGGTCCCGCTGCCCAGCTCTCCTTCGACTTGAAGACTATCGCGAAACGGACGGCAGCTAAAAGAATCGGCTCAGATTCGGTGAACCAGTCTACTGCTCTTAGGGAGACATTCGTTCCAGAATCTAGTTATAATATACCCTCCACTAGCCCACTGCATGACGACGAAGCAGCTGAAACCTCAAAAGGAAAACTAAAACGCCCACAAAGATACCCGAAGCGAAGGCTTAGAGGTAGTTCCAAAGGCATATATGACCTAGACATAGATTCACCCAGCGCTAGCAAGGTGACGAGCGTGACCCCGGCAAAGCATGCCGGCTTGACTGTTGACACCGAATCGAGTGAAGATGACGACTCTAGCAATTCCTATATGGAATCTGGGGATATGATTGGCACTGGAAACTCTCCCGAAAATAATCCATCTGACATTCCTCTCGTGATTATTGATAATGCACCCACTTCGTTGCTGACTGATAAATCAGCTATCAACCGTGAATATGTTCGCGTTGATGATAGCAATTATGGGGAAAAGCTGACTATTTCGGCACCTGTTAGTGATTATGAATCTACAAACACGGATGAGGATGAGGATGAGGATAAGAGTGAAGGCAATGATGAGAAGGAAGAGGATATATTAGGGACCTTGGAGCATGAAGAAGCAATACAACAGAGTGACGCGGTTGATAATGGCCTAGACTCGGAAATTTCACTCACAGATGTTTATTCCCAACATTGCCTCCGGGATGATGCGGATTTCTGGGATGCATCAACGTTATTTGATCAGGAAAGGAACTGGCGCGAACTGATCTCCGAGGCGCATCTGCTAATTCAACAACGATCAAAGGGCCTGGAAATTGAGTCTACGAAGAATTTATTTAGAAGCGTCTCAAACGGGATTGACACTTATCGAGAAAGGATCAGCACAAGGGACAGCCGCGGAAATTTTGCTTCAACTGATACAGAAGAGGGCTCGCTTGCCACATTAGAAAAGGGGATTTCCCAGGTTATGGCTGAATCATATCCATATAATGCAGATTCGCCTAGCAAGTTAACAACACTTGTGACCCTGGCTTATGAGGTAGCTGCTGGCATCATCCCCGGAATGATTGGCCTATTACAGTGGTGCCTGGTAGCTCATTATTCTAATGACAGTGTCACTGATAAAGGAACGGACCAATTGGTGCGGATATTGGACTCCGTTGAAAGGCTTTGTGAAGTAGTCCAAGCAGAGCCGCCCAAGCCACCACCTGGACTTGCAGCTCAAGTAAGAATTATAAGTGTATTGGTTCGCTTCATGGCCTATGTGTTTAGGCAGCAGCTGGCGAACACGCGGCAGCCAACAACCACGCATCAACCAGCCGATTGGTTCCGAAACTCAGAACCATCTCATGATCAGTATGACGAATCTGTTGGGTCAGAAGAGTCGAGATCCGTTCTCAACGAAGGCTGTTCCTGGAGCAGGGCTGAGAGTGAAACGCTTTTTGATGCTTTGCGAAAATATCGAGGTAGGCTGGACATACCCGCTGCTACTGATTTGTTGTGTTTTTTGTAGATAGAGTGCTGACGATAGCTTGAACTATCGACAGGCCCTGAGCGGTATGAATTGATTCTCAGAGAGTTCAGAGACACCCTCGGTCACCGTAGCATAGATGAGCTACGAAAGAAGACGGTAGAAACGCGAGCTGGTCTCTTAGCTCTGCCTGATGAAAGGCGGCCGCACTACAGCCAATGGAGCTTTCTTGACGATTAACCTTGTTTTTCTAAGGCCGTAGTCGGTTTGCTTCAGACTTGAGACTGGAAAAAGAAAAGTAACAATATACATAGTGTTGCCCTGCATGATGACGATGTATTTTTTTAGTATGCAAGACCCTCGAGCTTCCCCCACAAAAGGCGCGCCGTCTTGACATTTTTATCCAAGACCTGCAAGCTAGCCAGAATGCCAACTATGTAAGAATTAGCTTGGGCACCTGCAGCTGCGGTCAATCAGGGCCACTCACAGACATGGATCTCGCCCTATCCTCTTAGGCACCAAATCAGAGCAGCCTGGCGATCAACGGCCCAAAGAAAGACGTGCATGGCTGGTTGACTGGGAGCACAGCATTACTGGAACCACGACAGGGCGCAGCTCCACTTCCGCCCATCATCCCCCTCCTCTTCCACACCTCTCCTCTCCGACCTCTCTTGCCTGCCGCTGTCTCTGCTCCTTGATATCTCGAACTTCCTCTTTGCTTGCCCCCCGGATAGTTATTTTATAAAGAGCAGCAGCGCCTTGGACGTCGCGGCGCAAGTTTCCGTCATTGGAACCTGTTTAGGTAAGCTCCCGTCCCGTCCAGGGGATATCACATGACCGGAACATCTTTCCGCCGTCCTCCCGGAACAAACCTTCCGCCGCCGGGCCTCAAAACGGTTTCAACCTAGCTTAAACTAACTCGAAGGAAGCCATCAACCAGCGTTTGCCGTGGGGATTTGTTGATAGTCGGCCGCCCCCTTTTTTTCCCCCTTTGCTGTCTTCTTCTTTTCTGCCTTTCTTGCTTGTTCTCTAGCATTGTTTCTTTCCAGAGCGTTCCTGTAAGTCCTTCTTCTCTCTACTAGATTTCGTGTTCATGCTGGCATCAGGGGACAAGGGGTTTGGATTACCCCCTGTTTTTTTTATAAGCCTGGATCAAAGGAAATGTTTCCCCTGGTTCAGCTTCAGTTCAATTGCCTCCCCCCCTTTTTACGTGGTCAACCGTGCTGATTTATAGTCTTGGGGACGATCTAGGAGAAGCTTCTCTTACTCTGAGCTTTTATACACTGTCAGAACTACCCCAGAGGTGGCTGGCCAGCTCCATCTACTATAATCCTAATATTACAACTCCCGCGCGAGGGAAAAGCAAAAAAAAAAAAATTCTCAGCTTCAGGGTGTCTGAGCTACTTGGTCAGTCAGTGATTCCCGTTGCGTTTGACGAGTTTCATCAAACCCCCCTGGATGGGATTACATTTGGGTGGTTTGAGCCTGTATGGCTGCTTCCCGCTTATATTATGAGCCAGCATGATAAAACTAACTCGTTGGCTAGTTTCTAGGTCCATTAAACTGTCCATATCTAGTTAAACACGCATCGGACACGCTGTCGAAGCGGCAAATTAGAAAAGGAAAGGAAAAGAAAAGGACTAGTCTACCAATTTAGTTGCCAATATGTCCTCTACTGAAGATCCAGTTCCTGTTGCGGCTGAGGAGGCTGTGGACACGGTTGTTTCTACCGAAGAACAACCGGTCACCGATCAAGAAGAAGCTCAACAGTCTGTTGCAGAATCAATGGGTTCTCCCACAAGGGACACACCATCTGGAAAAGACGAGCCGATTACGTCTCCAGCACGTAGCCAGGCATCTTCAACAGGCCAAAAACGCTCCTTAATCGCTGGCGGCCCAAAGCGCCCAGGCGGTGTCTCTACGCGAACTACGAAACCGTCCGCTGCAACAACTGGTAGGTCAACTTCGGGGAGCACTCTCAGCAAACCCCCAATTAGACCTGCGGCCAATACTGCCGCCAGAAAGACTCCAGGCTCTACGACTCTTGGCGGGGCCGCAAGTACTACCCGTGCATCACGCATGTCCATCGGTAGCTCGGCTGATGAACGAGCCAAGGCTGTTGCTAGCTCTGGTGACGAGTCTCGAAAGAGTGGGATTTCAGGAACTGCAAAACGCACTTCAATGTCCGGAACACTGGGATCGAGGACTTCTACTACTGCAAGGCAGTCTACCACTCCTGCGGATAGAAGGTCTTCCATAACACCTGCGACAGAGAGAAAACCAGCAACCTCCCGTCCCTCAACTGCATCCTCGCAAACGCCAACTAAACCTGTAAGACCCACCCCGGCAGCCTCTACAACTCCGCGAACCACTAGAACCATTCCTACTTCTGCCAAAGCCCCGTCTAGTACGGATGCTGCAAAGAGACGTATCGGGGCGCCGGGTTCACCCGCTGTTACCAGGCGGACTGCCGGAGCTCCTACGCTGGATGAAGGGGCAGAGAATGACAAAATGGCTGAATTGGAATCCCAACTTGCCGCCAGTGAAGCGAAGCTTACTGAAGCTCAAGACAAGATCTCAGAGCTTGAGAAATCCGGTGAAGATAGTTCCAAACATGAGGAGTTGGCGGAGTCTTACTCCCAGGAGATCAAGACCTTGCAGGGTAAACTGGAGGAAACGGAAGCCAAGTACCAGGAGGCAGTCGAGCGATCTGTCAAAGAATTGGAAGAAGCCAAGCGTGAGGCTGCCGATTTGGGGGAGTCTAAGAGCACCGAAGCACTTAACCTGCAACGCAAGGAGCACGAGGCCGCCGTTCAAAGCCTAGAGGCCGAACTTGCTACCAAACATGAATCTATCTCCGAGTTAACTAGTAAGGTTGACGCCTTGAATAAGGATCTAGATGAGGCAACCAAAAATGTTGAGCAACTGAAGGAGGCTGAGAAGGAGGCCACGGAGGCTCTTCAGCTGAAAGTAAACGCTCTGGAGGAACAGTTGAACTCTAGTAAGAAGGAGTTAGAGTCTGCTCAAGAATCGTCTACCCAAAGTGTTGCTGCCCTGGAAGAAAAGGTTTCCAGTCTTGAGAAGCAGCTGGAGGAAGCTCGATCAGAGGCCGAAAAAGGGTCCGCTGATTCAACCAAAGCATCACTGGAGAAAGAGGAAGAAATCAAGAAACTGAAATCAGAAATTCAGTCCCTACAAGATGACATTACCAAGTCTCAACAGACCAAGGCTGATGAGCTCGAGAAACAGAAAGCTGAATTGACAGCTGAGCACGGCCGTGCCCTGGCTGAGATGGTAGCAGGTCATGATGCTGCCCTTGCAAAACTGGCTGCTGAGCATAACACAGAGAGAAGTGAGGCGGAGACAGAAATAAAAGCGGCAAAGTCAGCTTCGGAGCAAGAAATCCAGAGTTTGACAGAGAAACACGAAGCGGCTATTGCGGAGATAAACAAAATGGTGGAGAAACTGACTGCTGAAAATACTAGCCTCAGCAGCCAGGTGGAAAGTTCTCAGTCATCTTTCGATACTGAGATTCAAAGCCTCAAGGCTCAACTTTCTAAAGCTGAAGAAGCCCTTGCCAACGAGAAGGTTAATGCCGAGAAACGGAGTGCTGATGAGACTGCAGCATCCGCTGAGATTGAGTCCCTCAAAACCACCATTCAGGGTCTTGAAGCGGAGCTTGCACAGCAGAAGTCAGTTGTTGAGACTTTGACAGCGGATGTTGAGGCTGAAAAGGCTCAAGTTGCAGTTTTGCAGAAAGCTCTTGAAGCATTTGAAGCCGATAGCAAGAACAAAGATGAGCACAACGTCAACATGAACAAGAAGCTCAGCACCGAGATCGAGAACTTGAATAAGTCACTAGAAGAAAAGACCCAAGAAATCAACTCTACCAAGGAGCAGCACTCTGAGGCTCTCGAGACCATGAAAACCTCCCATGCGGCTGAAATTGCCAAGCATGAATCGGATACAGTTGCATTGCAAGAAAAGCTCAAGACATTACAAGAGGAACAAGAGACACTCCGGACAGCGAAGGAAGAGGCTGAAGCCGAGCATAAAGCTAAGATTGAGGCACTCCAAACTGACCATGCTCAACAGATAGAAGAGCATTCCGCCAAATTTGCAGCTCTATCTGAATCACACAAAGCAAACGAGTCTTCGACTAAGGAGCTCGAGGATTCTCACGCGAAGCTAAAGGAAGAGTTTGAGAAAACTCTGGCAAAGACCAAGGAAGATTTAGAATCTACCCACTCGAAGGGAGTTGAGGAGCTTCTGGCTGCTCACGAGGAGAAACTTAACAACCTAAGATCCGAATATGAAGCCAGTTCTGCGGAGAAGCTTTCTGCCGCAGAGAAGAATCACTCAGAGATTGTTGCTAAACTTCAAGCGGACCTTGAGAAGGCTAAGGAGGCTGCTGCTGACACTACTTCCCTTGATTCTTTGAAGGCAGAAATAGAGGAGTTGAAAGCTAGCCACGCTTCACAGGTGGAAACCCTTGCGAAGGAAAAGGCAGAGCTGGAGACACGTATCGATGCTGCAGGAAACTCTGCCAAAGATGCGGAAGCAGCTCGAGAAGAGTTGATTGCTAAGCATGCTGAAGAACTCAAGGCAGCTCAAGCCGACGCCACGAAGAACAGTGATGCTCATGCTGCTGCGTTGAAAGAAATCAATCAGCTTAAAGATGCAGCTTCTGAGGCGCATACCAATTCCCAAGAGGTAGAGAAGAAATACGCCCAACTTGAGAGCGATATGGCCGCTTTAAGTGAGAAGAATATGGAGATGGTGGAGAAGATCCAGGAATACGAAGCATCTGTTGCCAAAGCAAATAGGAAAATCCGTGAACTTGAATTCGATCTTAAAGACGCACAGAAAACGGCCTCCCCAACCTCCAATGGAACTACCAATGGGAAATCTGGCCTAGGAGCAAGCAAGTGGGCTACAACGGAAGAAGAGACGCAGCCTACCAAGGAGGAGACAGATGGCAAGCAAGAGGACTCTGTTCCATCTGCCACGGAAGGTGAGAAGCTTAGCTCTTCTATCGCGGGGACGGTGCGCGCACCTCATTTCCTATCCTTAGTTACAGGCCCTTATCCTCTTTATTTTTGGGGGTTCGGGCTTCTATGCCTAATCCTACCGTGGAGCCATTTGGGACTGCCTAATTTTACCCTACCGCGCGGATTACGCACTATTTATCGAAGGTTTTGCTGACTATGATATCCCTACGTATATAGGTGGCGAGCATTCAGGAGCAACTGCGACAGCTTGAGGACATGAGCGGTGACATGGTGGAAGACCGTGAAAAGTAAGTGCACTTTATTCCTGGGTCCTTCATCATTCTCTTATTTATGTTTTACATATAGGATTGCAAATGTCCTTGCGCAGGCCAGCCTGAAGGGAGAGTCTGGCTCACCTAATCCTACTTTACCTGGGCCCAATGACAATTCCAGCGAAGCCTTGTCTGCGTAATGGCTGCATATAATGAGCTTTCCGATGCCTTTGACTGGCCGTGTTTTCATTCCAGCTACATACCTCTTCACTCGTCCGTTTCACTATAATATCCTGTGAGAGAGATTCCCTTTGTTATGAGATACCTCGTCCCTTTCCCTGTATCTTGATTGACCCTTCCTCATTATTACTTGTTCAATAATAAAACTTCCTCGAATAATACACTATTATGGCCATATATCCATTCACCCAGCTGCCCCCTTTTTCCGAATACAATTCCTACCTTCTGTTTATACATTTTTATCCTTCGTATCTGCCAGATGTTGCATACTCCACATAGCTCTGTCGCTTTCAATTTGTGAGATATATGTACATGTCATGAATTCTGCTACTCTCGACATGTTATCTTTGTGCAGACCTCCATACGAATAGGAACTATGTAAAGTAGAAGTCAGAGTCAATGTCACCAATGAATATTTGCCTCGGCTTAGCGCAGGTTCTATTGGTGGAACCTTCAGGCTGTTGGCCGTCCACTCCCGTCCACCAATGGCAGGATCACGGAACAATGAAAGTGCGAAATCCGAGACTTTAATATATTTTCCCGATAGCTGACCTTGGGCTATACAGACGTGATATTATAACAACGTCTTGCATAGTCACCATAGACGAAAGCAGGAGAACGAGCAGCGATGGACAGCTGCCAGTGGATCGTATTCGCCAAGTAGTGTGTGCATAAGTGTATCCTAGCTTAACCGGTTGTGGTCCTGACGCCCTAATGAACGAAAACGACAAGAACTCATCTGTCCGGGGTGTATGTCCCGGCTGAGCAGACATGGCAAAGAAAAGTCATTCACCTGCCACTCACCGGCCCCGACGAGGTGGACTTAGGCGAAGGATTTCGTCGCCGGGCTCTCCGGAAAATGGAAATAACGACATACCCGAGATCTATCAGGAAATGCTGAATGAGTCCCAGGCCTTACCCCAAGCCTTACCCCATAGGAACAACCCACCTCATAAACGACGGAAGATAGGGGAACGTGGGGAGATCAAAGCTGTTGAGGGCACAAACCAGTCTGAAAAAGCGAAAGAAAAGACTGCGGCCATGCCCCCGCAAACGGTCTACGATCTTGATGCCTCTGAAGAAGAATCAGAACCGGAGTGGGAGGATGTTAGCCTGCCCGGTCCTGCCACCACATCTATTTTACCTTCCATGCTTCCAGCGGGACGTGATATAGATCAGGAGCCTTTGCAGATTACCCTTGGAAAGGAAGCAGCGGACCAAGGAAAGAAAGGGGGCGTTATCCGACGGAAACCTGTAACTGGAGCTGAAAAGAAGCTGCGCTTGGAAATACATAAAGTTCATGTCCTTTGTCTTCTTGGCCATATTCGACTTCGGAACACTTGGTGTAATGATGAGGAGACCCAGGTTCGTACCATCCCTTATATGTGGAGTTACGCCTGCTAATATTATTTTTGCAATAGAAAAAACTGCGCCGGATACTTTCAAAACGTATCATCATGTGCCTGAACCCTAAAGAGGATCTTCCGCAGTTCACCCGGTCTACTACCTTTGCAGATGGCCTTTTACAGTCGTCAGAAGCCTTTCGGCGAAGATTCAGAGTTACAGGACCCGGGATGAGGAGGCCATACTGGCTGGAGGATTGCTCCACCGCTCAGGATCCAACTGTCTGATTTGCCTCTTTCCTTTGAAAAAAAAGTTACTTTGATGATTTAATCCGGCATAACTAACACTCTAACACTCAAGAACAGGCCTTGCAAGGGAGTACCGAAATATTGCAGTCAAAATTTGACTTTCGGAAACTTGCTGAGATAATGCAAGGTTCGAGAGACTTTGGTGCCCAGCTATTCTGTGCTATGCTGAGAGGAGTGGGTGTTGATACACGCTTGGTTTGTTCCCTTCAGACTCTGCCATTTACTGGCGTGGCCAAAGGAGAGTCTCCCAAAAAGCGAACAAAAGGATACATAGTCGGATCTGAAGATGATGATTCAAGTTCTAGTGTAACTGCAGCAGCAAAAGTTGCTACTACAAATACGACTACTCATCGAAGGATCGGGCAACCGCAATTCTCATCAAGACATACAAGAAGCCCTGTACCGCAGACAAGAGGTGAGGAATCGGGCCCGTCTTTCCTTTCACTCCGAAATAAGTTAATAGCTAATTTCTTTCCTAGACGATGCGCTACACTCTGACTCTCCATTTCCAGTTTTCTGGGTTGAAGTATTTAATCATGCAATGCAGAAATGGGTATGTGTTGATCCGCTGGTTACAAATACCGTGGGGAAACCTGCGCTATTTGAACCACCCGCAAGTGATAAATACAATAACATGAATTACGTAATTGCGTTCAATGAAGATGGCTTCGCACGAGATGTCACCCGGCGATACGTGAAGTCGTTCAACTCAAAAACAAGAAGAGCCCGAGTTGAATCCACCAAAGAAGGAGAAAAATGGTGGAACCACACCATGCACGCGCTTGAGTCACCAATCCCAGAGGACCGGGACCAACTAGAGCTTGGAGAATTGACAGCCAAGGCGGCAAGTGAAGGTATGCCTAAGAGTGTGCAGGACTTCAAAAATCACCCTGTATATGCCCTAGAACAGCATCTGCGGTGGAATGAAGTTATATATCCGAAGCGGGAGATTGGAAAAGTTGGGCTGAGTAAGCTATCATTGAACAAGAAAGCTCCGCCATTGGAATCTGTATACCGCCGGACAGATGTACATTCCGTCAAGAGTGCGGATGGCTGGTACCGACAGGGGCGCAAAGTCAAGGCTGGAGAACAGCCGCTGAAGAGAGTCAAAGCGCGAGGCCAAGTGCGCCAGCATATCTTCAACCCTGATGAAGAAGCCCCTGAGACACCTATGTATGCCGCCTATCAGACAGAGCTCTATATTCCAGAACCAGTCCTTGAGGGCAAGGTACCAAGAAATGAATATGGGAATATTGATGTATATATACCTTCTATGGTCCCGCGGGGGGGCTTCCACCTCAGACATCCGGATGCTGCTGAAGCAGCTAAGATATTACGCATTGATTATGCTGATGCAGTTGTTGGCTTCAAGTTCAAAAAGCGACACGGTACAGCTGTCATTGACGGAATTGTTGCTGCCACTGAGTACCGAGAAGCTCTTGAAGCCATTATTTCAGGCATTAACGATGAAAGGCAACAGGCTGAAGAAACCCGCCGGACTATGGCTGCTCTTCACATGTGGAAACTGTTTTTGATCAAGCTCCGAGTCCTTGAGCGGGTGAACAGCTACAGAGTTGAAGGGGATGATGGTCGAGGAGACATGGTGCAAGGCGCACAAGAAGCGGAAGAACAAGGAGGCGGATTCCTACCCGAAAATGACCCTGTTGGTCAGATGATACCTTCTGCCGACGACTCTATAGACGAGCCGTACATCCTGTATGAATCGGTAGAAAACAGGGAGAATTTAGAGGAAAGCATTGGTGGTGGCTTTTTGGCGGAACCGGAAACACCACAACAAGCCTCTACAGGAGATATGGCTCATGGGCCCTTGCAGGAAAGGGAATCTGTGGTATCTGCCTCTCATCCTCGATATACTCTAGCTGTCGTCCCCGAACAAGACCACGCCCGGCGACACCTTTCTGTCACATCGGCCGAGCCTGAACGGCAAGACAACGTGGAACCTGGAAGCTCTCAACCCGCAGATGGCACCCGCTCAGTTCCTATGACAGTTGATTCCCCTGAAAGAGAGGTCTCGGGACTGCCCGAGCTGGTACATGTCGATTCTGACAGCGATATAGACCGCAGCTCCATGATATCCCACGACCCCGAGGATGATGATGCGGAGCCAGAGTGGCTGCTCTCTGATTAACGTATCACGAACCACTATTTATCTAGAGTAACAACCCCTGAGACTGTACTGTACATACTATACTGTTATTTAACAAATAAATCTACTCTGTATATATACTTAGCTTCATCCCGTCATGCGGCTCTTCTTGCCAAGTGTTATTCGTATTATGTAATAAAGACGCGTCGCGAAGATTTTCAATTTAAGAAACGCGAAGAGCGCCAGCGGACTTTATTTGGACTCGACTTTGGACTCGACTTTGAACCCGACTGGGGCTGGATCTGGGCTCGACTTGGGCTCGACTTGGACCCGTCCCGGCGTACCAAAGCTGCCTCATGTTTTCGTTATGACCCGGCCGCTGTCTGCCAGTAGGGCTGTTGTTAGACAGCCCAGCGTCACAAGATCTCGATATGCCTTTCGCAGAAGAAGCTATCCGTCGCGTACCCGCAACCTGCAAAGGCAGCATCGCCTTGCCCTCGGTGGAAACTCCAGGAGTCAGAAGACGTTGACTCAACTCAACTTCGTCCTACCGCAGGATTATCCAGGGAGTGAGGATGATGATGCGGGCTCCCAGCTTGAAGCGGAAACCACCGATGGCGAAGAGCGTGGAGGGCCACGACCAAAGAAACAAACCATAAGGGATCATTATGGGAGGAAGAGGAAGAGGCAGAGAGACGATAGGCCGAACAGAACGTTGACGCAGATGGTGAACGTTGACTGGACTCTTCCTCGTGCTGATAAGAATGACTCTGGGCACCACAATTCTAGGCACCCACGAAAGAGACGCGGCGTTGAGATGGAGACAATCTTGGAAGATGTTGAAAATGACGTTGATGAAGGAGATGGGGCCCCAAACCCACCGGCTGATAATGTTCCCAAAGAAGGTGAAAACAAACTGGAGGAGCTGCCGGCAAGAAAGGGCCAGTCTCGCCGGGAAATATCCTCTGAACAGGCAACGAGACATGGCAAAATGCTACCACCGACTAATCCTGTCACGCCCCGCAAGCAAACACGCTGGGTTATCCCCTCGTCTCAATCTCCAGAAAGTCCTGAAATCACCTTGAACAGTCCGAGAACTCCAAGGAGTGTCAAAAACAGCCCCGTTCGACTGTCATTGGCTTCCCCTGCAGCTCCATTATTCAATAAACGCAGGTCATTGCTCAGGTTCGATGCAAACGATTATGACTCGCAGGTTGTGCCAGATGATGGCTACTTTGGTATTTCTGCTCCAGGAAGTCCAGCCTCTGCACTCTCTTCCCCAAGAGCTATTTCCGACCCGTCGATCTCGTTCGGAGAGGATATCAATGCTCGGTTCAATGCCACACGTAGAGAGCGCCAGACACAAGAACTCCAGGCTTCAGAGCCAGGACAACCGGAATGCATTGTTTATGAGACAGATGGCGAAGCAAAGCCTGAATCTATGGAAGATGTTTGTCCAAACGCGCCTGGAATTAAGGGGACACAAAAGTCTGGATCGAGCGATCAGGATGGCCCTCAGCTCTCTCCTGAGAGTAATATCGAGCAGTCAAGCCAGAATATCCCAGCTTCAACTTACATGTCTGATACAATGTCTGTATACTATACACGCCAGCCCATGAGCTATGCGTTTGAAAAGTTTCATGCCTCACAGTCTTCAAAGGACGTTTCCGAATCCGCGAGGTATACGGAGATCGTTGAATCTTCGCAGTCTAATCTCCTATATATCGGTGACTCCGATAATCAGGAATCTCTGGCAAAAGCACGTCCACAGCATGAGGGGGAGAACACCAGCTCAACTCGACGGAACGATACTGAACCTAATCAAGCCGCGTCAGCTCTATCGCCAGTGGTCCAAGTAGAATCATCTCAACGTTCCGAATCAGAAGTGGAAGTGGAGGTTCCCGGCTCACAGGCTTTGGAGACAGGGACTCAGACACGGAGGATAATAACATGCAGCCAACTCCTCACTGAGAGCTTAATGGAGAGCATACCTGGACCACCTACCTGGGCTCCGGGGCCACATAGTAACGATATTAATGACCTTAATGATGACGGCACGGCGCCGCATGAAAGTTAGCTATTATTTCCCTTCAATCCCACACTATATTGGCCATTTTTGCTGTTTCCTGCTAGCCCCATGGCAGCTCTGCGATCTCTGTGACTATTGCACTGCTGTGACCATCAGATCAGGTTGGTTGGTGCCATAGCCCAGCCTCTGTCCTTGGATTAAGACACACTAAAGGCTAGAGTGATGCATATGTTCATATTTCAACCCAATATAATAATAATATCGCGATATCACTGGGTCATATATTTGGTATATAGTTCGGCAGTTGTCTCGATAAAAATAAACACAGAAACTTAGCTAACAAAAGGCTAAACTTGACTAACTAGTTGGTTAGTTAGCTTGAGCCCAGGGGCAGCCACAACCGGCCATGTGATGAAACCCTCGATATCAACAACAGACCAAGATAACAACACAGCTTCAACCGACAGCGTCCTTCGTCCCGTTAACATTTCGCCTCGCGCTCCCTCACGTCAGTCACGCATGGTCGTTCTCTAGCTATGGATGTAGCGTACGACCACATCCAAGAGGAGAGTCTTGCCTCCTCCGGCAACCCCCATGATTCCGACAGCCCCGGCGAGCCATCGTCATCTTCTGGCCAGCGGCAGGATTTAACTAGCGAATTTCAAGACTCCCTTCGTCTATTATCAGCCCAGCCCTGGGGTGCCCGCCTTGGTGGGCTATGGAGCAATGTCCGGAAGCAGTCAGAGACGTATTATGAAGGTGCTCGCCAGGAGTACAACGCAGCGAGTGAGGAAGCCATCAGGGGGTTTACTGGACTTAGAGCAAGCTTAATCGACCGAACGAGAGGCCTTTCAATTAGCGGACTAAGCGCGACTGATGAAACGGATGAAGTGGTTGGAGATAGAGAAGAGTCATCAACGGCAGACGATGCGGCAACCATAAAGCCAAGTGACAAGGCAGGTACTGGAAGCGGTAGTGTGGACGCAGATGGTGAAGGGTTTATTTCACGGTTCCGTTCAGAGGCTGCCAAACGACTAAAGGACCTCGAGAAGGCTGAGGATGCAGCAGATGAAGCTCTACTGAAGTTTGGCACAAATATTCGAAACTTCCTACGTGAGGCCGTCAGCATCGCCCCGCCGAGTTCAACAGACGAGAAAACGGATGGAAAGGTGCTTTTTGAGAGCAGAGACTCCGACGGCAAGAGAGTTATTCATACTACCCGTTTTGAGGCTCAGCTTCATGCCATCCATTCTAGCCTAGAAGGGTTCTCTGAAGACCCTGCTAGCAAGGAGTGGGACGCGTTCAAGGACAATTTTGAAGTTGACAAAAAGACGGAAAGCATTGCAGCAGATTTAGAAAAATACCCTGAACTTCGTAAGGCAATGGAGTCACTCGTCCCGGAGAAAGTCGAGTACGGCGACTTCTGGCGTCGATATTACTTTCTACGGCTAGTTATTGAGACGGAGGAGAAGCGACGAAAGGACCTGCTCAAAGGTAAGGCCATTCCCTTTTACAGCAACGCATCCATAACGATATACTAACTGAAACCAAAGCATCTACGGATGAGGACGAAGAGGTCGCATGGGATGAGGATTCCGACTCAGATTCCCCTGCTACTCCACAGGCTGCATCCCTCTCTAAACCGTTTAGTAACACACCAAGCAATGAACATTTACAAGCCAAGGAGCCGCGCCGTTCGAATGACCTCCAATCTCAAGCTGGAAGTGATGCAAGCTATGATCTTATCAGCGGTGCCACGAGCCATTCTCCTAGCAGCCCAAAGGAGAATCAACCTGGCACACCAGCAAAAGACGATGATAGCGACGAGGAAGACTGGGAGTAACTGTACATTACAGTCTGCGCTTCGTCCTTGAGAATGGATTTTTTTTTATTTCACTTCTGGTTTTGGTGTGTTTGGCGCAGACGGTGTTCTGTTCCCTTGGAATTTCAATTTGATTATTCTTCATTGACCGCCTTTCTAACTAATTTGGCGATTGTTTTCCTCTTGATATCCTGAATTTTCTGCATTTAGTGTATGTTGGATTGGTTGGTAAATGATATTCCTGAGCTATTGCTCTGTTTATCCCCCGGGAGTTCCGCAGTATTGCACCCAGGGCCGTTCCCGTGGGAGAGGTTCGTATCTATATCTTCCGAATTCCCCATACCTGAAATATCCTGAGGGGGCGGGGAGCCTCTCGTATTTATATAAAGCCACACAGCTTCACATGATGCCAGTAACCATTGGATATAATTACTTTTTCCCTGTGATGGGAATTAAGCTAAATTTCTTCGACCACATTGCAGAAAGGAAGGTTGCGAAATGCGCTCTGCAAAGACTGACTCAATATTATCTTATACTACCCTGCCCATTGTTCGACCTTCATATATACGGCGTGGAAAAGTCATAAATAACCATGAGCACTGCAGGTTTGGCCTTTAGGCCCAAGGGGCCTGCAGCAACCGCGAAACCACCTGCTTCTGACCGTGAGATACTTGATACCCGTGTATGTTATGAAATGCGAATTTACTTAAGGATGAATACTATCTAGATCCTGCTATGATGGCAGAATTACTGCCTCTCGGTAACGACCTCGAGACACAAGAGCAAACTCACAACACTTGGACGATTCCAGATTGGACTAGCTTACAAACGAAAGAGCTTGGTAAACCCTTCCAGTGTGGAAGTGGCTCATGGTATGTTTGGAAATATTCTTATGGGTAATTTTCATGTTGAAGTCAATAACTATACTGATAGCCGCATCCAGGCAAATTCTTCTCTACCCCCAAGGAAATGGCGTGGACAAAGTATCCATATATTTCCAGCGGTACATTGATACTACCTTACCATCGAAAGATTGGCACGCCTGTGTTCAGTTTGCATTAGTTCTATGGGATCCAAAGAATCCCTCAAATTATGTTTCTCATGGTTGATTTATACCCCAGAGAACACCCCTATTTGTCAGTCTGAACAATCAACTAATCCACTTACCAGCTGCTGCTCATAGATTTAACGCCGAAGAGCCTGATTGGGGGTTCAGCAAATTCTGTGAACGTAAAAAGTCATCCACATCCTTGGAACCCCCTGGATCTCCGTTTTCAGGCACCGAAGGTGTTAGAATAACCGCCTATGTCCGGGTAATCAAAGACCCGACGGGTTTATTGTGGCATAATTTTGTCAAGTATAACTATCTAGTATTTGTTTTCTCTTTTGTCTGTGGGTTGAAACTGATATTTGCCAAATTAGATATGATTCAAAAAGCGTAACTGGCCTGGTCGGGGTAAGCAACTTAGGAGCAACCGACTACCTGAGCTGTGTTGTTCAAATTTTATATCACATCTCATTGTTTAGAAAGGTCAGAATATCCTATTAGCCTAATTCTACTAGGTTTATTGGACTAACATTTAATAGATAATATATCAAGCGCCCACAGCTATACATGAGCCAACAGATAAAGCTTGGGCGCTGCAGCATGTCTTTTGCTTACTTCAGACACAATCATCCGCTATTTCACCTGTCAAACTTACAGACTCCTTTGGTTGGAGATCAATGCACCTTTTTGAACCGCAGGATGCGCAGGAATTCTCAAGCATTTTACTATCATGTGTTGAGAAAAGGCTCGAAGTTACCCCTTGCCGTGCTACCTTCAAAAAACTGTTTACCATCAACGGTATAACGAACTTATCTACCGTCCAGGGTTCCTATGAATGGTCTAAGCAGGAGGAATTCACTCACGTCGAGCTTAATGTCCGTGGACATCGAACACTGGCGGATAGCTTCAAGGAATATACCTCCGCAGTTCTTTTCAAGGACTTTTACACCGGGGCCATGTTGGAAACAAAAGATGTGGTTAAACGCAATACATTTTCTCACCTTCCATGGGTTCTCACTATTTACCTCAACCGAGTTGAATTCGACATCAATGCTGGAGAAATGAAAAAAATCCCGGATTATCATGAATTTCCTGAAGAAATCGATATGTCGCCATATCTCTCCAGTGAAGTTGATAAATCTCAGTCATGGGACTATACACTCTTTGGTGTTGTGGTCCATGCAAGTGGCCCGTCCAACGCTCACTATTATACTTTCGTCAGGCCGAAGCCTGATGGACATTTCTATAAGTTCGATGATGACAGGGTCACGCTGGCTACAATGAAGGAAGCCATGAATGACAATTTTGGAGTCTTAAAAACTAATCAGGAACAGCAACCTCCCAAGGTTTTGGAGCCTTATTATAATGCAACGAAATACCAGGAAAAGACAGCCACTATGTTGATTTACATACGGAAACGTGAAGCTAATTGTGTCTTAGCAGACGTACTACAAGATGAAATTCCTGCTAGAATTTATTCTTCGCCGTCTGACTACACACAAGAAGATCACTTGAGAGATTTCTATGGTTCCAAATTAACGAAGGAGGGGGCAGCGGCAATCAACGCGCAAAGCAAGGAGCTTAAGTCTAATTATACTGATAATAGTGACATTAATGTTAGGCTCTTCTCTATCAATGACTTCTACAAACACCATGGGCCCGATATTGTTCCCAAATCACCAACCGATGATAAATCAGCTAGCTCCCTATCTTACAGCCACCTTCAAGAAAACATGCTGGTGCAGGAACTTGTTAGCACGGTAACTCAGGCGCTGAATATACCTGGAACAGCCATCAGAATTTGGCCAATGATAACTCGACAAAATGCCACCCTTCGACCAATTGGCCCTCCTCTGGACCCTGGGATGACGATGGGAGATGTAAGGAAAACGCATTATCCCAGACTTCCACATGAATTCCAGCTCTGGGTTGAGAGTGATGGTTGTCTATATGGGGACAGGAATGGACCTGATTCATCTCTCGTGTTTCTCAAGTACTTTGATGTGATAAAACAGGAAATTACAGGGTTCTGCTCTGTCTATATCAAGCCTAATGACCGGCCTGATGACCTGTCTCCTATGATCTGCAGAGCTATGGAGTGGAAGCCCAATACCCCTATCTCTTACTACGAGGTGTGTTTGGTCATAGATATTATTTTTCGCATGCAGATGGGCTAACCAGGCAATATTATAGGAAATCAAACCCACTTTGATAGATAAGATGGACGGGGAAAAAACAATGAAACAGTTAGAGATTGGCGACGGGGATATTATTTGCTTCCAGCGCGCTATGGCTTCTACTGAGTACGTTATCACGATCAAATATTTCTCCAAGCTATGCTCACACTCCCAACTTGAATAGGTTATCCGAGAATATAAAATATGACAACGCCCGTGACTTTTATTTCTCTGGATTAGTCAAATGATACGGTTGCATAGGACTTATATAGATATCTGTTATGGCATCTTGGAATACGGTAGGACACACTAAATACTTGTATGAGAGCCTCTACTTTGTGCCAGTCGGAGTGGCATGCAAACTGAGGCGAAGAATTCAAATTGGACATTTAAATAAAAGCAAATAAGAACTTAACAGCCATTAAATATTCACTGCTTCTTCTTTTCCTTTTAAGGTTGCGGGAAGTGGGTCAGTGCCAAGCTCTTTGCAGGCCCTCATCTGAGCCTCCTTCTAGTACGACCCGAAACGATTGCTGTGTGCGGCTATATGGAATACTAGTTTCCCAATAGCGTTTGACTTTGATTGTATAGCGACAAAAGTGTCATTATTCTTGAGCCTTGAAATAATCAGACACTTGTTAACGCGGCTCAAGGAAGCTCAAAACCACGACGGTAACGTTCTCATGTACTGGGCACTGCCGATCATGAGTACCTAATTTAACAGCTACATGAACTAATATTGAGAATGCCCGTACTTGCTTCTTCTTTTTTTTTTTTTTTTTTTTCAGCCATTTAAAACAATACTATGAGTAAAGCCCCTATTCGTGGGGTGATGCTAAAGGACGATTTGACACTGATTGAGGGCAGATAACTAGCCATAAGGTATCAAAAAAAAAAAAAAAAAAAAAAAAAAAAACCAAATATTATCTATTCACGTAAATAGCCATCTAACATTTATTGAGCCCAGATATCCTTTACCCATCATTTTTTGCTGGTTTGTTTGTAGGAACCTGCCGTCTGAGGCTTGACGGTTTCCTATCATTATTTTCAGTGTAGTTCTCTTTAGGGGATGGCGATGCAGGGGTTAGGGGACGGGGAGTGGTTGGAGACAATGCCTGTGACGATTCTCTCTGTCGCCTAACTTGTGGCGAATCCTGATATCTACCAGCATATTTGCTCCTTATTTGAGCAGGGATTTCTTCAAAACTTTCATCTGTATCTACAGACTGCGGCTGGTATCTTGATGGAGTACTTGCCACGGATCCATGCTCATTCTGATACTGATAATCTTCTCCGCGAGGCTTCAGCGGACTTTCATCATATGGGTCCCATCCAACTTTTCTTCGAGCTTCAGATCGGACACGCTGTCGATGTTGTTCGTCTCCACCTGCGCCTGTGGCAGACGATTCTTCGAGGAAAAATGTGAGAAGTTCATCTGTGATCGAGAGATGGGACTGTTGCTGGAATTGTTGGAGGGAGGTAAGCCGTAGTAATGTTTCTAGCAGCGACAGTGAGGTTCGAATGTTATTGAATAGAGGGTTGGAGACTGTCGATGAGGACATTGGATGGTCTGAAGAAAGGGGTACAGCAACTTGACTTGAGGATGACTTATGTTTATTGGGAATCCTCAGCTTTGCTAAGTTCTCGGAAAGTTCGTCTTCCTCTGTGATTGTAGCAGAAGCTGCCTCTGGTTCATCTTCTTCATTCTCATCATCCTCCGATTCAGGCTCCTCTTGGTGAACCTCGAGAGCTATCCACTCTAGATCAAGGCTCGGGGGGAACCGCCAATGTTCAGGGATGTCATTCTGGTATCGCGCAGGATCAGAGGGATTATGAATACCCTGCGATGCCATCAGTTGCGCATCGATCTGTGCCTGTTCATCATACGGCTCCTGTTCAGGATCGTGGTTATCCTCAGGGTCAAAGTACCCAGCGAGGTCTTCTCGTTCAATCATTCCTCGTGGAGGTATCGCATTTACATCTCTCTTTAGGAGAAGCACGGGATTATTGGCTTCACCCTCTGTCCCAATGTTTAAAATCTTTCCTGTGTCTGCGTAGAAGATCTTGGATATCTGGTGTACAGGGATAACATCCCTGATGCCGGCCTGGGCCACACCTTCAAAAGGTCCCGGCTTGGGTTCATCATCTTCGAATGAATGAACTCTTCCATCATCAAGATCTTCAATGATAAGTATCTGGTAAGCAAATTCGTCTGCTCTAGCCTCTCCTCGAAGGTTGCGTCGATCTCCGTATTGATCTGCAAGAACCACATCAATAGGCACACGGCATAGCTTCACTCTAGCCTTATGTATAACCTCTTTCCATGTAGTTTCTCGGATACCCTCTTCATCCGTGGGTCGAACGTGACCTGCAAAAAGAAGATATATGGATAGCGTGAAGGTGGGACCAACTTGCACGGAACGGTTTGGCGTTAAAGAGAACTGAGTGTCGCCAGCCGTTAAAAACGTACTAGCCTGTAGCAACCGTGACGGTGAGACGGTAGAAGGTAATGTAGTTGATAGCCTTGCCCCTGAAGTGGTGATGGCTAGGTTTATGAGAGGTACTGCATCCTCGATGCGATCTAGAAGAGTCCTTATTTCTCTTATGACAGAATTTATCTCAGCATCAAGTTGTGCCCGACGCTTGGCTGAAGCTCCTTTCCCATGAGCTTCTTCGTTACCAACGACCTGGGCTAATCTCTGTCCTAGATTCTGAATGTCTAATCTTAACGTTTTTGTAAGATTGACGGCAGATTCTAGAGACGTGTTTCCTCTTGCTGCACTGTATTTACACTCACATTAGGGTTGGACAAGCATAATATGTGGCGGTTGTGCAAACCTACATGAGTTCAATCATATCAATAGCAGGAGATATGATCTAGTAAAGTCAATGGAACCGTTTTCTCGCAGAGGAAAGGGATAGCGTACTTACTTGTATCTTGCTTTGCAGACGAATTTGGAGAGACCGTAATTCCTCTCGCTCGGCTCCATCGACTTTCTACCTCTACCTGTTAGGAGGAAAACCTGGGAGAATAGAGTATGGTGAAGCAAACAGGTAGCTCACCTTGAGGAGCTTGGAAGATTGGCGTATTGCATATGTGGCAGTTATGGCGATACCAGATCTGCTATATATCAGCATTCTCCCTTGCCCTCCTTTTTGTATATGAATTATCTAGGCTAATAATACCTGATAGCATAGTTCATAGCCTGCTGGGTGACCTGTGGGTGGGAGGGTCAGTTAACTGTAAGACTGTCTTCCATTGGGGGGTATAATAATATATTCTAGCATTGCTGAATCACCTACTTTCGAAAGAAGAAGATCCATGGCTCCAAATACCCCAGATATCTACCCTTTATAGTAGGAAATATCTGGTTTCCCAGAGCTCTACCTTTTTGTAGTCCACGCGCTGCCCAGACGGAGCTTCTCTGACACCGCCCCAAACGTCACAGCCGAGTAAAGTAGGTATCTATAACAAGCTCTAGACCATTAAAGGCGACTTTCATGCATGAGATAACTACCTGGGGGTATGTCGTTCCTGTCAAACCCACCCCTAGTTATCCTGAGGGGCGAACAAGCCGTATAACGAGCTAGTAATATGAGGTGAAGCGAGCGACCAAGACCACCTCCGAGTTTCTGCCCGGCCTGACGGCTCACTTCTGGCAACTTTCAAACATCACTTTCGGCCCGTCTACTTTTATCTTTGCCTTCCTTTCCCTCTTCTTCGTCTCGTCTTATTATTCTTTTTTATATTAGGGGGAAGTAAAGTAAAGAAAAAAAAAAAAAAAAAAAAAACAAAAAGTCAACAAGCTGACTCAGCCACTAGTTAGACAAGCACTGGAACTAGGCCCAAAGCGGCAATTTCCGACCTCACCGGCCTCGGCGGCAAAAAGAGCTCGCGACATTTCTTGCCGGCGCTTTAACCCGCACCAAAAGCGTCGACTCTTGACGGCAAACAAGGAAATCCAGGAGTTTTTTCTTTCGCTACCGTCGTCTTCTTCTTGTTCTACCATCTCAACGTCGGCCAGTGCTATGCATCGTGGACGGGAGAAGCAGGCCCTACTCGAAATCTACACAGGAACCAAGCTGTGAAACGGTTGCGCATTGCTTTCAAATTCGCTAGTTCGTTAACCAACGCCTGCCAGAGCTTAGTTAACTCAGGTAGTTAAAGCTCGTCACAGGCCTGGATCAACTCCCCGCTTTTTCCCACCAGGCAACCCATCTCCCTCTGGAGTTCCATCGACCGTCCGTCTCGCAGTCATTAGGACGCTGAAACAGTTTTGAGAATAACGTACTGCCTGGCTGTGCACCCTCTTAGTTTATCACTCCGGCTCATCCGTTCGCTAACTTGGTGGGCACAGTGGAAGTGCCTGCTGCTTGTCCTCCTAATGGCCGGCAACAGCGGGGAGTCACAGCAAGCCGTTGACGGCATGGAGGGTGCCATGGCGAGTTCAGCACAAGAGTCCTACTCGTTTCCGAACGACAGATTAAAGAAGGTCATGGATGATCCGTCAAAGACTCCCTTGCTACTCGTTGCCTGCGGTTCATTTTCGCCCATTACCTATTTACATCTACGTATGTTCGAGATGGCGGCAGACTTTGTCAAATTCAGCACCAAGTTTGAGCTCATCGGAGGCTATCTGTCTCCTGTATCAGACGCATACAGGAAGGCTGGTCTTGCCTCTGCATCACACAGGTTGGTTTTCCTATCATCCGTGGTTTGATCGTCGTCCGAACTCCAGTGATTAATACGTGAAATGCTTTTCGTGTATATAGGATAAACATGTGTCGATTGGCCGTGGACAAAACCTCAGATTGGCTGATGGTCGATCCCTGGGAGGCTATGCAGAAAGAATACAGCCCAACCGCAAAGGTTTTGGACCATGTCGATAAGATCATCAATCATGACTATGGCGGTATAGACGTCGGAGATGGCACAAAGAGACCAGTGAGGGTAGCTCTACTTGCCGGAGCTGACCTGATCCATACTATGTCGACACCAGGAGTTTGGAGTGAGCAGGATTTGGATCACATTCTTGGGAAATATGGGGTAGGTCCCCCCCCCCCCCCCCCTTCTTAAAATCTTAATTAATCCATGAGACTAACGCGGTTACTATATTATAGACATTTATTGTCGAACGTAGCGGCACCGATATCGATGAAGCCATTGCTGGCCTGCAGCCATGGAAAGAAAACATCTATGTCATTCAACAACTCATTCAAAATGATGTTAGCAGCACCAAGATCAGACTATTCCTTCGACGAGAGATGAGTGTTCGCTATCTAATTCCGCGCCCCGTGATTGACTATATTGAGGAGCACCATCTCTACGAAGACGAGGGTAATAGCGCTTCAAGCTCAAATCTCCAGGAGAAAGGGAAAGGGAAGAGTACCCCAGCAAGCTAGAGTTGTTTTCTTGGCTTCTCTTCGCTTAAAATTGCAAGCTCGGGCCATGGAGGCTCCTGGGCTTCGTGCTTTGACCATTTATCAGTTAGACTGCTGTATCAATTTGGGAATTCCGCCACAAAGGCATTTGTGGTCGTTGGATAAAGGCTTCCTTTCTACTTTAGAAGTGATTTGATACCCTATGCGGTAGATTGGGTTGCCCATTACATTCATACTGTTCAATTTCCTTTCCTTGCCTTAACAATCAGGTGCTTCTACAACACTTGCAACACCTGTTGACCGATATATATTTAGGCCGTTGCCTCAAACCCATCTACGAAAAAACAGGGAGAAAAAAAGAAAAGAAAAGCCACTCTTGATATGGAAGTCGTTCTGACTTTTTTGAGCGGTTGGTGGCCTGGCTGAACCGCTCTGACAGGCTCGACGAGATAGAGACGAATAGTAACGGACCTCCTCTTTCATCCTCAGGGAGTCGCTGACCCATCGCGTGGTCTCATGTTGGTCTTCTGGCGAGTGATTGTTCTGCTCCACATACTACTGCAACGGCCTAGCTAGTATACCGTTCCTGCCAAAGCATTTTGTACTACCGAGCAAGTACTTGCACTTCAGCTCTGTGTTTTAGTAGCTAATAGACTTTGCTTCAACTTCATTACGCCATTTCGTAATCTTTTCTTTCTGCGCTGTCTAACGTTCATTGTCGGCTTTTGCTGCTCTCGCGGCAACAACTGAGGGCTTAGGCGGGTCGGGTCACGGGACCACCACCGTCGGGTTCGTCTTATCAAAAGATCTTCCGCTTTTTCAACATCCCACTTACGACCACCAGCCTCAAACACACGAGCAGTGTTTTCACGCCTACAGACCACCGGATAGCTAGATTTATCCTCGCTGAGCTTCATATCCATATCCCCGATAACGCCTCCGGTCACCAATATGTCTGCTCTCGACTCGTGGGAAGACGACCCCGCCGCCCAGGATGAGAATTTGTCCAAGGAAGCACAGCAGAGCCTGAACCTCAACCAGGCGCCACAAGCACAGCAACAGCAACAGCAGAGCTTCCGCCCCCAGGTTGCCTCATTTCAGCCTGGCGCTGCTACATTCCAGCCCGGAGCTGCTTCATTCGTGCCCGGCCAGCAGTTCCCGCAGTATGGTGGCTACCAGCAACAATACTATCCCCATGCTGGCGGATATGGGGGTTATCCTCAACAACAATATCCTCAATACAGCCAGCATTACATGCAGCAGCAGGGGGGCTACCAGGGAGGTTACCAGAGTGGGCAGCATGCCGGTTACAACCAGGGCTTCAACCAGTATCAGCAGCAAGCCCCTCCCCCGCAACAGGAACAGTGGCAGCCACCGTCGACCGCTGAGAAATCCAACCCTGCTCCCTCTGATGCCACCACCGATGCCACCACCGATGCTGCCGCGGCCGCGGCTACCCCTAAACCGAACCCACCAGAGTCTTCCAAGCCATCGCCAGCATCCCAGCCACCCAAAGCTAAAGTGTTAACGATCGGCGGGGATATTCCAAAGTCCAAGGCGCCTGCAGCCAGCGCAACGTCTGCTACGGAAGCGCAGAAATCCACTGGGCCTGCAGCCGCAGCCGCAGGAGCCAAGGTTACTGCCACGAAAGCTATCGAAAAGACGGAGAAGAAAGGCGCTTCTTCGCCAACTCCATCATCTGGTCGATCATCTCCCGGTCGTGCTGACAGCAAGGCTGCAAACCGTGATGCTGATATTGTTGCAAAGGAACAAGCAGCGGATGTTGATGAAGCTACCCTCAAGGAAATTTACGGAGAAAAACGAGAGCACGTTAACCTTGTGTTCATCGGCCATGTCGATGCTGGGAAGTCGACATTGGGTGGAAGTATCCTATACTGTACAGGGATGGTTGACGAACGAACAATGGAAAAGTACAAGAAAGAAGCCAAGGACGCTGGACGTGAGACCTGGTATCTTTCGTGGGCCCTTGATTTGACAAACGAGGAGCGATCGAAGGGTAAGACCGTAGAAGTAGGCAGAGCCTTCTTCAAGACGAGTGGAGACACACCTGACGGACCTATGACACGACACTATACTATCCTGGATGCCCCTGGACACAAGTCGTTTGTTCCTAACATGATTGGAGGTGCTTCCCAGGCTGATGTTGGAGTTTTGGTCATTTCTGCTCGAAAGGGTGAATACGAAACTGGTTTCGAGAGAGGTGGCCAGACCAGAGAACATGCACTGTTGGCCAGAAACTCCGGCGTGAAGAAACTGATCATTGCAGTTAACAAGATGGATGACCCAACCGTCGAATGGAGTAAGGCTCGATATGATGAATGTACGACGAAGATTGGCAAGTACGTCGAAGCTTTGGGTTACAAGAAGTCAGACCTTCATTTCATGCCCATCTCCGCTCAGAAAACTATTGGTATCGATAAGCCGGTTCCCAAGGATATTGCTCCATGGTACGATGGCCCCGGATTACTTCCATACCTTCACAACATGAAGATGCCTGAACGAAAGATCAATGCACCTTTCATGATGCCAATTAGCGCCAAGTACAAGGATATGGGAACCGTCATTGAAGGCAGAATTGAATCTGGTGTTCTTAAGAAAGGGTCTACCTGCATCCTTATGCCTAACAGAACCGAAATTACCGTCACAGCGCTCTACGGTGAAACTGAGGATGAAATCCAAACCGCCACCTGCGGTGACCAGATTCGAGCCCGCCTTAGAGGCGTGGAAGAGGAAGATATTCTCCCGGGCTTTGTCATGTGCTCGCCCAAACGACCCGTGCATTGTGTAACGGCCTTTGAAGCAAAGATCCGTATTCTTGACCTGAAGAGCATTCTCACGGCTGGATTTAATTGTGTGATGCATGTTCATTCTGCCATTGAAGAAGTTACTTTTGCCGAACTTCTACACAAAGTGCAAAAGGAAACTGGACGCAAGAGCAAAAAACCACCTGCGTTTGCTAGTAAGGGTCAAACTATTATTGCTCGGTTGGAGATTGCTAGTGGTGGAAGTGCGGTTTGTGTAGAGAAGTTTGAAGATTACAATCAGCTTGGACGTTTTACCCTACGTGATCAGGTTCGTTTCTTCAAAAATCTCTTCACCTAGTCTCAAATGACGCTGTTCAGCTAACCTTGAAGTAGGGTCAAACCATTGCCATTGGAATGATCACCAAGTTGATCACCGATCCCAGCACCACTGCTTAAGTGAATCAACTACCGTCACCCAAAAAAAAAAAAAAAAAGGGGGGGGGTGGGGGGCTCCATTTGGTTAAATAAATCTACCAGTGGTATCTATGATTGATTCTTTCACATCTCTTTAAATTTCTTTTCTTAAGGGACTGGGGCATAAAAAACGGTGGGAAGGGGTAACGAATGCTGCTTTGTACTCAACTTTGTCACCTCTCACGTCTAGCGAAATACACGGCAAATGCTATTAGAGAATAGTTTCTGGCCACCATACTGTACTTAGGGAGAGGCCCAGCGTGCCTTATATATCTTTCTATTCTACCGGGATAAGAAGCCAAGTGGGCTCCTTCGTATAACATGCATATATCCGCAACCAGGCTGCATTAGCTCCACGTCAAATGAAGCTTCCAAAAATGAGTGATTTCACGATACTGTCATCAATTCATTGTGCATCGTGATAGAGCTGTAGGTACCAGATAGAAAGGTAATGTTTATTCATTTCTTAGCTACACCAACCAGTCTCTACTATAGCTTTGCAGCCTCCAGCCTATTCTCAGTAGCATGGTGGGATTTCTCCTTTAACCATTTCTCAATCACTCTGGAGAGTAATAGTACCTGTTCCACATCATTTCCAGAATGTAAACAGACTCGTACTCTCTCGGTCCCTACTTGCACCGTGGGCGGCATGATTGCTCGGACCATCAGGCCTGCGTCCTGGCATGCCTTGGATAGTTCGCGGGGGTACTTGGTTTGGAGGGAGAAGATAGGCGACGTAGGAGAGTGCTTTGCTTCAAATATGGAGGTATCGGATGGGGAAAGCTGCATGAGCTTCTCATGGAAGAGCTGGATGAGGTCCTGAAGATGGAGTTGCAGCTAAAAACAGACGGGAAGGAGTTAGGAATTGAAGCCAAATGAAAGCGGTCGGCTAGTAGTTATGGTCAGATAAGATATATATTACCTTTCGTGTTTGCCCTTCTTCCATCAATTCGTATGCTGTGCGGACTGCGGCGAGGGAGGGCATGCCCAAGGCGCTGGTGAAGATGAGAGGCCTGGCATAGTTGATTAGATATTCTCTGACAAGCGGGGAGCAAAGGATGATAGCTGTGGTAAATCGTGGTTGTCAGCTGTGTCTGATCGCCGGAATTTTCGCCCAAGCCTAAGATTTAAGGTATGAGAGAGTACCTCCATTGCTAGCCAGCGCCTTGCCGAACGTATGCAGTCTGATTAGAACACGATCTTCCACGCCTAGCTGTTGCACAACACCGGCGCCATGCGTGCCAAATACTCCGGTTGCATGAGCTTCATCCACTATAACGTGTCCGTTCCCGTGCGGGAGCTTCCTCTCTAGCATGTCCAGAACCTCCCGTATTGGGGCAAAGTCCCCGTCCATGCTATATATCGACTCCAGAGCGACAAACACATTCCGTTGGCCGGCCAGCAGCAGAGGGTCATCGATAAGGAGTGCTTCGAGCACCCGTTCGAAATCCTCGATCGAATTGTGAATGAAGGGAGCTAGTTTCCTGGCTCGAGAGAGTCGCATGCCGTCATGCACGCTGGCATGAATCAGCTCATCGTAGATGACTACATCTCCAGGCTGGGGGATACATGAAAACACCCCTGAGTTGGCATCGAAGCCTGAGTTGAAAATTAGGCCGCAGGGCGCATTGTGAAAGCTGGCAATCTGCTGTTCGAGCTGCTCTGCATAAAGGGAATTGCCGTCCAGCAGCCGTGAACCGGTACTTGCGAGAGGAAGCGAGCTCGAAGCTCTGGCGAGGTTGCTTAGGAACCGGCTTCGAAAGGTCGGGTTAGTCGAGAGAGAGAGAAAGTCGTTGGAAGAAAAGTCAACAGCGCCGGTTGGTACAACCTTGAGCGAACGAAGGGTTCCCTTTGATTCCCGTCTCTCGAGAGCTTCTCTCAGCGATCGCTGCAAGTTGCTTCCTGGCGGTCTTAGCATCGTCTTATGCTCTCTTGATCTCTCTATCTTCTTCGCATTGGCCTCCTCTCTCTCTCTCTCTCTCTCTCTATCTCTCTCTCCCACAACGGCGAGACCTGACCGCGGTGCCTGCAATGGGCTTGATTAAATAATATATCCATCCGATGCACGCAAACAACCCTGCTGGCTTGTGTTTTATTTAGTTTGATGCTCCTTTCTTTTTCTCGTCCCTTTGACTTGGCTGTGGACCTGAGATATAAAAATTACGTCTCGAAACCAGAATTGTAAACCTTCGAGGGAAACCGGCACCTTCACGAACAACGTTCTTCTTTGCTTTTTCCGTTTCTCTTGCTGTCCCTCTTTTTCTTCATCCATGCGTATTTTCCATGCCGGCTCCCATTCGTCCTAAGGCGCTTTCTGTTGTGCTCGGTCTTTGCTTTTTCCCCTTCTGCCTGCCGGCCCGGGGGAGGGACGTCATCTCCGCAATAATATAATAACGATAACGCCAGCCAGCGCAAGGCTCTATCCCCTGTACCGGCCAAGTTAGCTCCAGCTTTTGTTAAGCAAAAAAAGAAAGAAAACAGACTAAAGCCAGAAAAATACATGCGTAACTCGTTATCGGCTGTCAAGGGCCGCACAGAGTAACTCAAATCTGTTGGGCCGCAGAAGAAGAAGAAAAAGAAGAAGAAGAAGAAGAAGAAGAAGCAGCCCGCCCCGGAGACAGGCCCGCCTTACTTGGAGCCGAGGATGCGTGTCTGGAGCCGGGAAAAAGGTCCCGCTGGGTGGAGGGAAGGGAAGAGAAAGCTGCCAGGAGGGATGTCTGGCCGGAGGATGTGCGCTTGAGATCTCCGGAGGTTCCTCTTCTTTCTTTCTTTCTTTCTTTTTTTTAATTCCTGCTAGCTTGACCTGTTGTTTTAGTTAGTGGGCTTTTCTGTGTCTCAGGGATCCCGCTGGAGAGGAGGACTTAAAACAGCTACAGGGAGCGTGATACCTGCAGTGCAGCGCACAGTGCGGGAGGGGGTCAGTCCAAGCAAGCCAGCCAGCCAGCCAGCCAGACGGAGGATGGATGTCAAGGCCCAATTGACCGAGTCTCAGGCCTAAGTAGTTGCTCTTCTTCTCCTTGCTGCGTTGGCCGTCGTCGCTGTCCGCTGCGGTTGTTTTGCGGGCTGCCTCGAGAGTCGCGATAGTTGAACTGCGATGCTGTCGTCGTCGACGGTGGCCGCAGGGCTCTGGCGGTCGTCCCGCGCATACCAGGTGTACGCCGCAAACACTGACATCGGCAAGACGGTGGTGTCGGCGGTACTCTTCAATGCGATTCCTGCGTACCGGCCGTGGGCGAGCAGTAAGCTTCGGTTCCTGAAGCCCGTCAGCGCTGGGCCGGCCGCAGAGGCTGATGACAGGTACGCCGTAACGCTCGCCAGCGAGATGTACCACAACATGCATAGACAAACACACACACACACACACACACACATATTGCAGGCGCTGACGGTTGGACAGGCACATATCTCGATTCACCAAGGGGGTCACGACCGCGTGTTTGTACGGGTACGACCGTCCCGTGAGCCCGCATCTCGCTGCCAGAGATCTCAAGGTGAGCAAGCACGGCAAGGGAGACGGCGAGGGCAGGATAGAGGGAGGAGAAGGGCCTCTCTAGATGCATAGAAATGCCGGCTGACCATGGATTTAGATACCGCATAATGATGAGCTGCTGGAGAGCATCAAGTCTACCCTCGACTACTGGGACCAGGATGGACCGAGTTTTGCACTGGTAGAGTCGGCTGGCGGCGTGTTGAGCCCTGGGCCGAGCGGCCTGGTGCAGGCAGACCTGTACCGTCCCTTACGGTTGCCGGTGATTCTCATTGCAGACCACAGGCTTGGAGGCATCTCTGCGTCTATATCAGCCTACGAGTCATTGTGTATCCGCGGGTACGACGTTGAAGGCATTATCCTCTTCCAGGATCAGTACTATCAAAACCACGAGTACTTGAAGGATTTCTTCAGCCAGAAGAACGTCAAGGTCTTCTCGCTGCCTCCTCCTCCTCCTCGTAAGGAGAAACTAGATAGTGAGACTGCTCGGTTAAGGGACGAGGAAGCCATGGCTTCGTTCTACGAGAAAACTGCCAGGCACGATGAGGTGTTTGGCCTGATTGACGAGCTCTCTAGCAAACATACTGACCGCTTAAATCGGCTCGATTCAATGCCAGCAAAGGCCAAGGAGGTCATCTGGTACCCGTTCACCCAACACAATGGAATGACACCAAAGGATATAAGCGTCATTGACTCTGCATATGCTGATTGCTTCCAAACCCTGGCTCGTCCTGAGAGCAGCACTTGTGAACATGTACTGCGACCAACATTTGACGGATCCGCGTCATGGTGGACCCAGGGCCTGGGGCATGGTAACCCGGAATTGGCTCTCACTTCGGCCTATGCGGCGGGTAGATATGGACATGTCATGTTTGCAGGAACCATCCACGAACCAGCTCTCTCCCTGTCTGAACAATTGCTGAAAACCTCGGATAACCCTCGTCTGCAGAAAGTCTTCTTCACGGACAACGGTAGCACGGGTATGGAAGTTGCTCTTAAAATGGGGTTACGAGTGTCTTGCACTAGATACGGGTGGGACGCAAGCAAGGAGGACATTGGAATAGTTGGTCTCAAGGGTAGTTACCACGGTGATACCATCGGAGTGATGGACTGTTCAGAGCCTTCCACATATAACAAAAAGGTGGAATGGTACAGGGGCCGTGGCTATTGGTTTGATTTCCCAATGGTTCAGATGACAGACGGTGTTTGGAAAGTTTCTGTTCCCCAGGGGCTGAAGAAAGAGCTTGGAGACGATGTATCATTTCGAAACATCTCTTCTGTATTTGATTTGAACGCTCGCAAGGAGTCCAGCATTGCCGGACGATATAGAAATTATATCAAAAAGACACTAGAGAACGTTGTTCAAAGTGGCCAGAAGCTCGGTGCACTTATCATCGAACCTATCATTCTCGGCGCAGGAGGGATGTTGTTCTGGTATGTCTTTGTTTTGTTTTTTCACACCCGCTCTTAAAACTCCTGTTTCTCTGCATATACTGACGTGATATTAGCGACCCCTTATTTCAACAGTCACTTGTCCAAGTAGTACGAGAAAATCCCCAGATATTCAGCCAGTGTCACCAGCAGCCTCCTACCTCTCCAGACTCATGGTCTGGTTTGCCCGTTATCTTTGATGAAGTTTTCACTGGCTTGTACCGTCTTGGCCGCCGGACTGCTGCATCATTTTTGGACGTGGATCCAGACGTTTCGGTGCATGCAAAACTACTAACCGGCGGCTTGATGCCACTCTGCACAACTCTAGCCAGTAATGAAGTCTTCGAGACCTTCGATAGCCCACACAAGTCCGATGCACTGCTACATGGCCACAGTTACACAGCTAACCCTGTTGGTTGCTCAGTTGCAATGGCGTCACTTCGGAAAATGGAGAACATGGAGAATGCCGGATATTGGGATGAATTTGTGCAAGATTGGAAGCGAACCACGACAACACCAGCCGGCAACAATGCAAGGAGCCTTGCCCAGCCCGAGGTATGGAGCTGTTGGCCACAGGCTCTTATCTCAGATTTATCTTATGCAGATGGCGTTGAGAGCGTATTTGCAATCGGATCTGTCTTGAGTATTACACTCCGAGATCAGCATGGCGGAGGTAAATCCAATCCTATTATACTAAATATAAAGGAAAATGTTAGCTAATCTTTCTACCAGGATACACATCCAATGCCGCAAGTGGTCTGCAAAAGAAACTGACGGCTGGTGAAGGGTCATTTAATATCCATTCCCGAGTTCTGGGAAATGTACTCTACCTTATGGCCAGCGTCACCTCAACGCGAGAAGTGCTGTCCAAGGTAGAGACTTTGTTGCGGAAATCTCTGGTTGAAGAGAATAGAGAATGCAGCGTTCAGGAGGAGGTTACTGTTCGATATGCAACCCTAAGATGTTGAAAGAATAAAAAAAAAAAAAAAAAAATGGATGAATAGGATAAAAGTACATAGCCTTTCCCTGGATGGCATAAAAAAGGGGGTTTTCTATAAATGTATAGATATAGCCTACAGGCACGAAATGATGATATATTTTGGTCATGAATATACAAATCAACGGCTGGACACAAGTGAAATGTAAAAAAAGAACAGCCCAAGTGAGCAAGATGGAAAGGATTCTATGAAGCTGGGGCTGCAGCAGGCTGGGCCGGTTCGGCGACGTTGCTAACTGAAGAAGATTGATTTTCCGCAATTCCCTTGTATTCTCCACGCTCAAAGCTCTTCATGGGATAGTATCCCCATTTGTCGAACATCTTCTTATCCTCATCCCAACCGGTACAGTCGGTAGTAAGCATTCGCTCACCAGTGAAGATGGCATTTGCACCAGACATGAAGCACGTAACTTGCTGCTCCTCTGTCAAGGAGATACGGCCAGCTGCTAGACGAACGATGGTGGCAGGAAGGACAATTCTAGCCGTAGCAACTGTTCGCAGCAGCTTGTCAAATTCGATCATCTTCCTATTACCTAGAGGAGTGCCTTTGATAGGCACCAGGGCATTGACAGGGAAAGATTCTGGATGAGCAGGCAGGGTTGCAACAGTATGAATCAACCCCACACGGTCAGAGTCTTCCTCACCAAGGCCAAGAATACCGCCAGAGCAGACATTTATTCCAGCATCGCGGACATGGCCAAGAGTCTGAATACGCTCATCGTAAGACCGGGTAGTGATGATGGAAGGGTAGAATTCTCTGGATGTATCGACATTGTGGTTATAGGCAGTCAGACCAGCCTCCTTCAGCTCCTTTGCCTGTTCGCCATCAATCATGCCGAGTGTGACACAGACCTCCATGCCCATCTCGCGCACACCGCTGACCATCGCCTTGATGTTCTTCAGGTTGGACTTGCGGCCACGCATGTCACGCCATGCAGCACCCATGCAGAATCTGGTGCTCCCATTCTCCTTGGCAATGCGAGCAGCCTCCAGGACAGAGTCAACACTGATTAGTTTTGTTGCCTTGAGGCCGGTATCGTATCTTGACGATTGAGAGCAGTATGAGCAGTCCTCACTACATCCACCGGTCTTAATGTTCATCAACGTGCACATCTGAATAGCCGCCGGATCATGAAAGTTACGGTGAACAGCGGCCTATATTAAAACACAAGAAGGAAGGTTAACCATACAATTCTGCGCGTCACCTCGGCTCTTCCTAGTTACTGGAATGGGTGACATACGGCAGCAAAAGTCAGCTGGTTAAGGGGAGTCTGGTATATCTGGGTGATCTCCTCGCGGGTCCAGGAGGTACGGGGCGCGCTGGCCGCAATCGCATCCTGCAGTGCTGCCGGCAGCGAGCTCGTGGGAGATGGTGCGACTGCGGCTGGAGACGAAGCAGAAGCCACCGGCTTGGGGATGCTGCTCTGCACCGTTCCATAGGGTCTGACAAGGGCCAGCTGCCTCGAGAGGCTTCTGGGGAGAGATCGAGCAGCCATTGCGACGCTATGTGTCTGTCCTCCTCGCTGCCTGCTGGCGTCGAAAGGGAAGAACGATGGTTGTCGATGCAGATGCGCCGGTGAAGCTCGCTGTTCGTTCGATGGAGTTGGAGATGTCTAGAAGTCGGCGGGAAACAAATCAGGCCAAAAGCAAAGGTAAGCAGACCACGTGAGCCGAGTCTTTTTCGACGTCCTCCCTCGTTTCTTCTTTTTCTTCCTCTCCTCCTTCGTCGTCCCGCGCAGCCAGCGGGATAAGCAGCAAATCGAGGCGTCTGCGTGCAAGATCCTAGCGGCCCCGGCAGACAGCTAACTAGTTAGTTAGTCCACCAGTTGAGTGGAGAGGAACAGAGACAATGGACGTATGAACAGGGCGAGAGGATTCGGGCCATTTAAACTATGGCCAAACAGTTTTGTGCCCTTTCATGGAGGGGCATCGATCCCCTGGCTGCCTCGCCTGTGAGTTCCAGGGATTCATTCGTCAGCCAGCTGGCTACAAAGGCTGGCCTGAATGGAGTCGTACACGAGGGGGCCACTGACAGCCCCAGTTTCGAGCTGGTACACGCAGCGAGTATCAAGAGATACTCAAGTATAGACAACTCAGCATCCCCTCAGATGCTGGCAAAAAATCCGACTGTAGAGAAATGGTCTCGTTGACCCCTTCAGTTCATTCCTTACCCCACGGCGGGTCATGGACATGGCATGTCCCAGGCAAGGCCCTTGCTGGACATTTCAGATTTCTAATTATTGCTTTTTCTTTGCGTGATTTACCGGCAGCGCTTTGTTCGCGTTGGCCCTGTCGGACAGACTCCGTGGAGGAGCCAGCATTGTAAGAGGCCCTGCCGACTATCCGTGACCGAAGGTAAACAAGTATTTGGTCCGCAGAGAGCATAACCATTTCATTCTAAGGACTTGGGACACTCTGTGGTGAATTTGTTGCATATTTTGGAATTGGTTGGATGTATACGTAGAGCCAAGGTTGAATTGCCCATAGATTAGGCAAAACCATAACCTATACCATGTTGCATGCCCAGTTACAAGGATAAGGAGCTGTTCTATGAACACTTTATCAAACTGAATGTTTCTTCAGCTTCTTCAATTGACATTGTTGGCTCAGCGGGATCAAAGAACCGTGTGCGTATCGTTTGTTGTATTGATATTGTAAATTACGACCAATCATTTTTAGCTTTCAAAAGAAAAAGAAATATTACCGGCGTTTTCGGATTACAATACAGTCGGGTTGCTTCCCCGAAAGCTTAATTTCCATGTGAAAATTATGGAATTTTCTTTTCTTTTCTTTGCTTTCTTTTCTTCTTCTTGCAGGAAGCGAAGACAGAGCTTTAACTATATTATTGAAGGATGAATAGAATTATTTATGATGATTTGGATGGGAGTTAATGCTTATATCAGTTCATTAATATATCGCTCTATTTATCGGCCAATTTCTTAGTCTAGCCATCTAAGTATATACTCAATCTAATGTAGCCTCCGTTCCGAAAACAAACTTGCAATCTAATTCTTCTGTGCAGCTTTCAAATATGTAGTAGATCCTCTTCCTCCAAAGGGCCATGACATTTGGTTGGCAACTTTATGGTCAACCCCCAGCTCTTCGGCAAAAGACCATACAAGTGAAGGATGCTTTTGGAACCAGCGACCAACGAGAGCGTAATCCAGGCCGTCCTCCTCTAATAGTCGGTTAGCGGTTGTGCCGGTGGTGATGTTTCCGACAACGCCAACGAGCATCCGATCACCAACAGCTTTCTTGACGGCCTTTGCCATCGGAGCATGATAAGGCACGCCAGGTAGTGCGCCCCTCACTTTTTGGTCTGGGTGATTGCCGCCAGAGCTGATGTCGATGAAGTCAACCTTGCCGCCTTCAGCCAGTACCTCGGCAAAGCGAACTGTGTCCTCCACCGTCCAGCTGGGTAAGTCAGGCCGGGACTCTTCGAGCCACTCGGTAGATGAGACACGGAGAAACAGAGGCATGTCTTCAGGCATATTTTTGCGACAGATATCGACGATCTCGTTGGTGAGGCGCATTCGGTTCTCAAACGAACCACCGTACTCATCAGTTCGGTTATTTGAGGTCGGGGACAAGAACGACGACAGTAGATATCCGTGGGCATTGTGGATTTCAATAAAGTCGACACCGGCAGTCACAGCACGACGCACGGATGCACCAAAGGCCTCCTTGAATTCTTCAATATCTGCCTTTGTCATGGCCTTCGGCTTCCCTAGTCGCGGACCCCAAGGGATATCACTTGGGCCTTTAATATTATCTGGCCAGCCACCCACATTCTCGCGGGCAAGGTCGCCAGACGACAGCCATGGAGCAAACGTGCTGGCTTTGCGGCCAGCATGGCCAAGTTGGATGCCAATAACCTGGCTCTGGCTATGAACAAACTCGACGACCCGCCTTAGAGGCTCGATCTGAGAGTCTTTCCATAGCCCAGAGTCTTCAGGGGTGATCCGCCCTTCTGGGAGGACAGATGTGGCCTCTACCATCACAAAGCCAGCCCCGTGGATCGCAATACTGCCAAGGTGAGCCATGTGCCAGTCGGTAAGATGGCCATCTGGCGATGAATATTGACAGAGAGGCGCAAGCTATGCCGCATATCAGCAATCCACGATCTTGTATATATACATTGCTTTACTCACTCCGATGCGATTATGAAGAGTCAGTCCTCTTATCTTTAGAGGCTGGAAGAGCTTTGGCGGGGCCGAGCCATTACTCTGAGGGTTCGCCGCCTGGCCTGCCGGGGGATTCTGATACGGGGTGAAATAGCTGATGCCAGGAGCCGGCGTGTTTGAAATGCTTTTGATATCGATATCAGAATCGCCCATTGTTAAGCTCTTCCGCTTCGTATGTCCAAGTAGATTCGTTCGTAGTACAATGGCTTTATAACACGAGTAACTAATTAGCCGGTTCTCTTGAATGCAACGGCCTTTTTAACTAGTTAAGTCACGGAAGGAAAAAAAGGCAAGATTGACAGGCAGATAACTAAGAGGGAATTTAGAATGATAACATAGAAATAAAATCAGCGCAAGAGTCTGCGACTGGCGTATGGCTTTTTATAGGGAGCGACGGGGCTTCAGACTGAGGTCGCGGAAAGGAAGAGAAAACCGATGAGCCCGAGACGATGATGTGATTGCTTTGAAATCAGGTAGTTATTACTAATGGCTAACTAGCTAACTAACGAGCAACCAAGAGACGGCGCAAGATAGGGGCAAACTGGCAACTGGCAACTGGCAACTGGCAACTGACAGGATTGAGTGCCCAGCGTCGATGCCCTGCTCCCAGAGCCGTGGATGGCTCTGCTCGACTGAAAAGTGCAAGGCCGTTAACTAACTAGTTAGTTACTGGGCTTTTCTCTCTGGTTATCATCATCGCCGTGGAATGGGCAACTATGACTTCTGCCATTCCAGCCTCTGGGGCCTCATGTAGGCCTCACTCCTAACCGTCGCCAACGAAGGATAGCTAGACCTTAGTGCTGATGGGCTGTCCCTTGAAAACGAGAAAGCACGCTATCGGCCTATGGATATCTTTCTCTGGCTTCTGCCATAATCCTCTCTTCTGCACTGGCCAGAGGCGTGTACGCTCTGTACCGCACACAAAGCTACCGCCCGCCCGCCCGCTGGCCAGCTTGTTTTTCTTGTTTTCCAAATTGCTCGGTAGGACCAGCTTTGCTTCGCTCTGGCTCTCACCATTGGAGGTGCTTTCTTTCAACGAAGGCGTGTTTGCCTATCAGGACGGCCAGCTGGAGACGCTCAATAAACTTGCTTCGCTCTCGAGAGTTTCCTAAGCAGCAATTCTCCCAGAAGATTGAAATGCAGAGGCCCTAAGCCACAAACGCCGAAGTAGGATATACGCCTGACCTATCGGCGAATTTGGAAGGCGTCAATGTTCATATATGCCCCATAGAGCTTATTAGAATAGTAGGACGAATTGGAAACGGCAAATCATCACTCACTCTTGCATTTTCCAGGTCCCTCGCAGCAAAGAAGGGTGCAATCGAGATTGATGGTGTGGATAGTTCACACATTAAACCGCATGACCTGCGCAGTAGTCGCGTAGCTATAATACCCCCTTAACTACCCCGTTCTATCCTCAGGGACTACTGGTTCTAATTCATATCTTATTGACCAATATCCTGGTTCCGTGCTTCAAACAAGCTCTGTAACTGATCTACTCTGCCCCAGCAGAGCGTACTTCTGCGTTTCAGAATCTTCATTCTCTTATTTCACGCGAAGGCTAAAACCTAAGCTAAGGCGAGAAGCAGTTGCACTGCTTTTGCACGAGCCATGATTACGCCCCCTGATATCCTGGTCTTAGATGAGGCGACAAACACTAGGGATACTGAAACTGATGCCTTAATGCAATGAAGTATTCACATCGAATTTTGCGGCGTCACATTTCCTTCAGTCGAAGCCCTATTCTCTAGCTCTTCTCTCTTATTGCACGAGTTAATTTCCTACACGTATTTGAGATTTTGGGAGAGGGAGGCAAGGGAGATGTAATCTCGCTAGTAAGAATGAAATATGAGCGATACATTTCAGGCCTGTTTAAAGGCCAAGGGATTTTCTTAAGGCTATATAGACGGTAATAGGAAAAGACAAAGCAACAAGGGAAATATATAGGGTTTGCGAATATGAATTTGAACTCCCTGAAGAAACAAACGGCTTCCAAGGATTAAATTTTTGACAGGAACGGGCAACCGCCACCAGAAGTCCTGTAGGGGCTTCTGAGTACATCGACTGCTGCAAATTCACGGGGAATACCAAGTTGTCGATCAAGGTCTGCACAGGCTGTCAGCGCAATTTTCAATGATACAAACCGAGAGATAGCTAACTGTTTGGGATAACCAGTTGTGCATAGCAAATAAGCAGCTTAAAAGGCCTAATGTAGGAGCTTGCCACCCTGTAGGACGAGTGCGAGAAGGATGTTTCCAAATTCTTTCATTTCATTCTCCTTCTCGATATCCCACACTCGTACCTCGTGCATCTCCAATAGGGATATGGTGGCCACTGCATTTGCAGTATTTTTGAGGTAATTGACATAATTACTGTCATACTTAGCTATGACTAACCTGATTTCCTGGCGTTCTTGCAGAATCATTGCGCGTCTAACAAATCATATATTAGAACTTTGGAATGAAAGGGAAGTGCACTTCAACTCTGAACTCACCGATATGGCTCTTGGCTTCCCGGCTCATCTGGTTCCTCATATATCCAAGCTGCCATTTGGGCAGTGGCTTGGTAAATGACACGATTGTTATAAGCCCGAAGTGTTGGTTTGACCTCGACGATCACCGTAGATCGTATGTCTGTCTTTCTCAGCACTGGCTTCGATAGATGGCCATCAGTCCTTGCTTCGAAGAGGAATGACTTCGTTTCCCCGGCTGTGTCCGGAGATTTGCCAAATTTGAACCCCTTTCTGACAGGGGACCACTCGAGTTCCACCTCTGGGTGATGCATACAAAGTGTGGCCAGGAAAGCAATCAAAAAGCCGTTCACGATTTGCTCATCTTCCACTTTGGGGAATGCCTTGCGGAAGGAGTTAGGGCTCATCTGTACCCAAGAATGTGCATGAGAGCTATCACTGCCGGTAATAGAAGCTGATTCGTCCTGATCGTCTTTCACCTTCCCTTTACCCTTTATATCCTCGTCCGAGCTGTTGTCACCGGCGCCTTCTTTGATGCTTAATTGCTGTAGCATTTGTGCAAATTTATTGGTACCCATAGACTGGTCCAACCTTTTCCTCTCCGCAGCCGCTTTTGTCGGACTTTCAAGAAATACCTTGTAGTCGGAAGATCGAAGCCGCGATGCAATTGGGCTGAAGTTGACGTTTTTATCCTCTTCCTCTTCTTCATATTCCTCTGGAAGCCTGGTTACCTGGAGACGGGATAGACAAACGTAAGAGAATGAACCGAGCCGTGGGACAGGCATTGTAGCTTGGGAGCCCAGGTTTTTGAGATATTTCTGCCAATCATCGTATTCCCGGAGCCACTCCGTCGCCTTAGGTATGGTTTTTATTCCCCAGCTTTCTATTGTACCTGGCGAACGAGTCACCCAGAAACTGCGAAGCAAGAGATACTGCTCTTCGGAGATCTTTGATGCTGAATTGCAAGTTTTACTGTGGATACTCTCGTTCTTCAGTTTGCATTTTGTTGCTGCGGAGGTCCAATCCCCTTTGTTGACCGGAAAGGAAATAATATCCGTTGAGCCAGGCATATTTTTGGATCATGAAAGGAACGTTTTATGGGCAATATAGAAGTGGTAGAAATGAGTTTTGTGGAATTTAAGATTAGAGTAGATATTAGGAAGGGTTGCCATGTTTTAGGGGGAATTCCATCCTGCTTAAGTAGCCGCTCCAAGTGTAAGCTCTGGCTATCCTGGGAACAGAGTATACGCGCCTGTGTGGAGTAGATATGCATATTCTCTATGGTGGTCCCCTCGCCCTTCTTTGCTTCTGAACGCTGGAGATCAAAGTATTATTCTCTTGGCTCGAGAAACGCTTGAACCCTGGCTCAACTTCAGCGCTAAGATATTTCTCATACCTGGGCTTGATGTGCGTGGTTGGCTTCCACCGCATAGTTAATGATCTTATTACTGCAGTGCGTGGTTTCAACAATCCATGTTTCCTGTACGAATATAAGCATGATTGGAGTCTAGGAAAACTTCTTTTTATAGCCGGCGCTTAACACACTAATTTTAGCAACTGATTCCTGCCGAGAAGTTTAATTAAGGATTTCTATGACGAGTTTGGTATCAGATCCCAAATATTATTGGGTGCGTTGGAAGTCACGTTACGTTGCCAAGCCGCCATGCGAAGATAGAGCGCGTCTTGAAGTTATTTATTTTGATTTCTCCAGGCACCACCATCTTATCCACTCCTATAGCCCCAACTCTGTCACTGTAGACCTACCTTCAACTTGAATTTCTCTATACTGACGTCCGCAACATCTTCATTACCTGCCATGGCTGACGCAACTGAACCGGACTTTGCAACGTTACGCGCGATCGTTAAACGCAAAGTTGATGATCATGAAAAGCTCAAACCGCTTTTCAAGTACTTACGAGGGGCGCACGATGAAGAGAGCATCTACATTTCACAAGAAAAAATGGAACAATTCCGTATACGCTTGTCAAACATGGACCTAGATGAAGGTGGCCGTTTCTTTAAACCTATTACGATGTCGGAATTCAAATCCTGGAACTATGACGAGAGGCATGAGAGGGAGATCGACTGGGATTGTGAGAACTGGCGGATGCGAGATGCTGAAGCCATTTACCATAAGTGCTGGGACCTAATCAAGTCTGAAATACCAGAACATGCTCAAACTGAGGAAAAGATCCTCTTTTTGGATTATACCCCATGGCGCAGCGTCATGTAAGTCTCCATTTTGTTATATCACTGTGTGCTAGATTTCTTAATCTAATAGCTTGTATGAATAGAATTCCTCATACACGGATGGGGGGTAACTTTGCCAACTTCTTTCCCGACGAACGGACAGACTGGGTGGCCCAAACCGAACTTGATCTTTACGAGAGCCGCCCGTCTGATAGTCATGTCATCTCGTTTTCTACACATGGCCTTCGCCCTGATAAAAGCATGGAATCAAGGCTTGCTCGAAGTGAAATATTGGTGGCCCTTGATATAATGATGCAACGGATGCTATGGCTCCCACATATCACTAATCATATTTTTCCAGTATGCTTATCAATCCGCTCCAACTTTATCTTTTCTAACTGGTTTTAGGTGCTCATGATTTCCTGCTTTAACCGACAATTCCGTGCAAATGAAGTATACCTTGAAAATGGAACATTGCACTTCAACTGTACTCCGTTCATTAATTTGGAGACATTTGACCAGTATAAATATCAGCTGCTAGTCCGCTGGTCATTGGCCCAGCCAATTGGTACAACAACTACATATCCAAATTTACAGAAACTGCCAGATGGCTTTGAAAAATTCATAGCTCTGGGAGATGGCAAGCGGAAGATCAAGAAGCAGAACGCAAAGCCAACACCTAAACCGGCGGTAAAGAGACTAGAAGAACTCAAAAGGAAATAACCCAATATGGTTCCCCGCCATTTCTTGATTCATTTGATGCTTCTTGTCTACGAATATGGGTGGTGTTTTAATTATCCGGCATTTTCATTTTTATAGCCGAAATGAGCAGAACTCGGGGCCAAGCAATTGGGGTTATGTTTCGGTGCAATTCGTTTGGATACGTCTGTAATAATTTTTATACCCCTTTTCAGTATGGATGTTTTCCGAGTAGAACTATGGCGTCGGCAAGAATTCAGGAACCTTGAATTAATAGACTTAATGAGGCACATGATATAGAATCGTCGGGTCCGGTGGGTGCATCTGCGAAACGAAGCTCCGGGGGGTAAGCAGATCCCGTAAGATTCATGATAGTGTTTGGCTCAAAAGAGACCCACTGACGGACCCGTGGCGCAATGGTAGCGCAGCAGATTCCAGATCTGAAGGTTGTGCGTTCAATTCGCACCGGGTTCATCTTCAGAGCTGTTACCTTCTTGACTTCTCGTCCACTATTTTTTTCCCCTTCGATTTTTCTCTATCTATTTGTTTATTTTGTCGACTGTTTTTTTTTTTAATTTGGATTTTGGCCGAGGGGCAATTGATCACGTGAGCGGGCTGCTGATTAATATAGAGGGGTTCATCCGGCAATACTCGGCTTTTGGCGGGTGATTAGGGACTCGCTCGGCTCTTTCCTGCATCTGACGTCTGCCCGGGCCTAGAGAGGTGATTTCAATTAAAAGATGCTGATTGTGTACACTATCAAAGAAGCAGCGGAATAAAGGCAGATAAAAACTTAGCTACGAACGAGCAAACAACGACAATGTCCTCGTCCAACGTCAAGTTTCAGCTCTATACATACTTCCGGTCTTCATGTGCTGGCCGCCTCCGGATCGCCCTCAACCTGAAATCGACGCCCTATGAACCGATCTTCGTTAACCTGTTGAAAGGAGAGCAGCTCTCCGATGAACACAAAGAGATCAATCCTAACGCTACTGTGCCGGTTCTTTTATCCACACACCAGGAGAATGGCAAGAGCACAACATTTAAAGTCACCCAGTCTCTTGCGGCATTAGAGTATCTAGAAGAATCACTACCGAACACGCGTGCCCTCCTCCCACCGGTATCTAACCCCAAGGCTCGGGCTCAAGCGCGTGAATTGGCGCTGTTGATTGCAACAGATATTCAGCCCGTGACTAATCTTCGCGCTCAGAAGAAAGTGAAGCAGTTGGATGCCGATGCGACCAAGTGGGCACTGGAGTTTTCCGTTGCCGGATTCACGGCATTTGAGAAAACCGTTGTTCATTCTGCCGGGAAATTCTGTGTGGGAGACGAGATTACGCTAGCTGATGTGTGTTTGGTGCCTGCTGTGTGGTCTGCAGAGCGGGTGGGCTTGAAGCTTGCCGACTACCCAACTACCAAGAGGATCTATGACTTGATGTTGGAGGAAGCAGCCGTCAAGGAGGCATTCTGGCAAAACCAACCCGATACGCCCGAGGAATTGAGGATGAAGTAAAGTATTGCTCGCTATCGAACACTGTGCAGTTTCATTTTTCATATCAACTTCATATCTATACTTGAAGGAAAATTGCAGTTATAGTTTCGTTATACAAACACAGGAAGCAAACGCTTTAGTTGATAACGTGGGCAGGGAGAATGGTAGCAGTGCAGTTTCCAAACCCGACATAGCTTCCCTCTTCACCACACATGCCCTTGAGAGTAACCTCATCGCCGTCTTCAAGGAAGACACGCTCACTGCCATCGGACAACTTCATAGGCTGCTTTCCACCCTGAGTATTTTCGAGCAAACTTCCAAGTGTGCCAGTCTCCTTCCCAGAGATGGTTCCACTGCCAAGCAAATCACCAGTGTTCATGTTGCAACCGGTGACAGAGTGGTGGGTAAGCATTTGGGCAAAGGAGTAGAGTAAGTTCTTTGCATTAGTCTTGGCCACGGTCGAGGTGCAGCTGCTGTTTGCTGGTTTGAGATCAAATTGGAGTTGCATGTCGTACACGTTCTCCGCTCTCTTCTCACGAAGATAAGGCAGCAAATTATCGAGACCTTCGTCGGCAGCGAGACCAGTGGAACGGAAAGGCTCGAGGGCATCCATGAGGACAACCCAGGGGGTGATGGAGGTAGCAAAGTTCTTTGCGTTGAACGGGCCAAGAGGAACATACTCCCAGGCCTGGATGTCACGAGCAGACCAATCATTCATCAAGACAACACCAAACAGGTGATCTTCAGCCTGGTCAATGGGGATGGGCTCGCCTAGCTTGTTCCCCTTGCCAACAAAGACAGCCAATTCAAGCTCGATATCAAGTTTCTTGCAAGGGGAGAAGATTGGAACCTTGGGGGTGGCGGCTGGGTTAGCTAGGATCTGACCGTTTGGTCTGCGGACGGGCTGGCCAGAGACGATGACGGAGGAGGCACGACCGTGATATCCAACGGGGAGGTGTTTGTAGTTTGGCTGCAGGGCATTGTCAGGCCCGCGGAACAGAACTCCAACGTTAAAGGCATGGTTCAGGCCAGCATAGAAATCAGTGTAATCACCAATTTTCATGGGTAGATGGTTGGTGATATCCTTCAGCGGGACGAGAGCTTTTCCCTTGAGGTCCTCGTTGGTCTTGAGGATCTCTGGGTAAGGGGTAGAATCGCGGAAAATGTCCTGTAGGTAGCCCCTGACCTCACGGTGAACCGGTCTTCCCAGAGCGGCGAAGTCATTTAAAGTGGGCTTAGTGAAGACGTCGATGTGTGAAGAGAAAGAGGAAAGCTTGGAGAAACCACCAGCAGAGGAGAAGGCGAAGAGGTCCAGTGCATAGTCACCAATGGCAACAGCCGGTCGGGGGTCAGCCAGCGCCGCTGTTGAGATAATGCCAAAGGGAATGTTGGCCAGGGAAAATGGAGAATCCCGTGGAATCTGGAGCCACGATGCGTTCGACATCTTTCTAAACTGTGGTATGGATGACGGCGAGAAGCTGCGCAATTGACTGTGGAAGCGGGACGGTGAAGTTCGCAATGGTCGGAGCGGACAGAGAAGGAGCAGCAATAACACTTTCATACCACAAAGACGGAAGGAACGAACGGAAAAAAGAAAAAGAGGAAGGCAGTTTCCTTCTCCCGGCTCTTTCTTCTTTCGGGGGAGGGGCAGTTGGTGTTATTCAGCTTAGTCATCGCCTCTTGTTTGGTGTTTTTTGCCGGCGGGGTTGCGGATGGCCAAAGCTTTCTGGCGCCTGTTTGGTGCCAAGACGCCCTTCCATGTCTGCGGAACCTTCCCGCGCCGGCTAATTCCGGGTTCCGCTCGCTCGGGAGACTGGATGGGATAAGATGACGAGCGAGTAACACATTAGACGACCAACTTCTCTCGTTCGAGGCCGCTGACAAGGGCACATATAAACTCCTCGAAGAGCGTCGCGATATCTTGTCTTCTTCATCAGCAATTTGGGACATTCGGATCCCTGCATACGTTCAATTCTTCTCTCATCGCTAGTTAAACGGTCGGACAAACGCCACAATGCCCGTCACAGCCTTCTCCACGCCAGAAAAGTACACATACCAGAACGGCTTCGGCTCCTACCACGAGTGAGTGATCCCTATCTACTTAATTTTGTCATGATAAGTACAAGATGAATAAATGATTGCTGATTTGCAAAGAACCGAAGCCGTTAAGGGGGCCCTGCCAGTTGGCCAGAACTCTCCCCAAAAGCCTCCGTTTGGCCTCTACGCCGAGCAGTTATCCGGAACAGCCTTCACGGCTCCTCGACATGAGAACCTGCGAACATGGTTGTACAGGATAATCCCCGCAGCTTCTCACCGACCGTTTGAGGAGGTTGATGCCTCAACCTATCATACCAGCCTGAGCAAGGATGCCACTTCCCTCCGCCAGATCCCCAACCAGCTACGATGGAACCCCTTTGACCTTGATGAGAAAGTTGACTGGGTTCGTGGCCTGCACCTGGTCGCTGGTGCTGGTGATCCCGCTACGAAGCATGGGCTGGGTATTCTGCTCTTCGCCGCGGGCAAAGATATGGGAAAAGAAGCCTTCTACTCTGCAGATGGTGACTTCTTGATCGTCCCTCAGCACGGAGTATTAGACATCCAGACCGAGCTGGGCAGAATCCTTGTCCGTCCTAATGAGATCTGTGTTATTCCCCGAGGTGTCCGGTAGGCCAGACTAATTCTTTCCCGCATCCGGGAATATATGGTTGAACATGGACTGATATTTATGATCGTACATAGCTACCGCGTTACCCTCCCCGAAGGTCCTGTCCGAGGATACATCTGTGAGTTGTACCAGGGACACTACCAACTCCCCGAACTCGGCCCCATTGGATCCAATTGTCTGGCCAACCCCCGCGACTTCCAAGCTCCTGTCGCTTCCTTCGACGACGAAGAGGAGCCTAGCGAATACACCATCCTCAGCAAATTCAACAACACCCTCTTCCGCGCCACCCAGCCTCACACACCCTTTGATATCGTCGCCTGGCATGGCAACTACTATCCTTTCAAGTATGACCTAGGCCGATTTAACACTATCGGATCCATCTCCTACGACCACCCTGACCCCTCTATCTTCACTGTCCTCACTGGCCAATCTGACCACCCCGGCACCGCCATCGCGGACTTTGTCATCTTCCCCCCGCGCTGGCTGGTGCAGGAGGACACCTTCCGGCCCCCATGGTACCACCGAAATACGATGTCTGAATTTATGGGCTTGATCAGTGGAGACTACGATGCCAAAACGGCAGGAGGTTTCAAGCCGGCTGGTGCAAGCTTGCATAATGTCATGAGTGCCCATGGCCCGGATGCGGCCAGCCACGAAGGCGCTTCCAATGCCGAACTCACTCCAAAGAAGGTTGGCGAAGGCAGCATGGCCTTCATGTTCGAAAGGTGAGCTAACTTAAATACGTAGCTCCATTTTCCTCCGTTCTACTGCTCACGTCTTGACTAGTTGCTTGATGGTTGGCGTGTCTGAATGGGGTCTGAAGACCTGCCAGAAAGTCCAGGACGACTACAATGAGGAGAGTTGGACGCCACTGAAAAGATACTTCAAAAACCCAAACAAGAAGTAAGCTAAGAAGAATGGCTCAAGCGGTATATCACGGCTGTTCCAGTTATCCCTGACCTGTTTTCTGTATGATTGTTCGAAAGACCCTAGCTAGCACAATAATGACCAATACTCCATATCCGTTGAGACAACCAACATTTCAGTGGAGCCATGGATAGAACGACTTAAAAATATAATCTCATAACTTCGTTACATTCTTTTTTTACATCTAAAGTGATAGTAATCAAAATATTTACAACTGGCCCAGCCTGACTGGGGTTCATGCGGAGTGCAGTTGGTTCTAGCTGGCCACCTCATGTCCGGCTTTCATTCCATTTGGCAATCTCGGCTTGAATGGCATCTTTCACAATAGCACCGCACATCTTTGCGTATGGGTTGGTGCCGACAGCCATCTGCTTGGCTGCCTCATTGCCACACCGGCCACCGATCTGGAAATCATAGCTCGCAAGTTCCTCCAGGCGTTCATCTGAGACATCCTGAAGCTGTAGTGGTAGCAAGTTTCGTCGATGGTGTTCCTTCTCCTTCTCATCCTTCGACCGAGCTGCCTTGTAGAGTATGTATGCACGGTGGGTGTGGGCATTGGCCAGGATGCGAGAGTGGAAAGGCGAGATGGCATCCGAGGACGACGAAGGGGTCAATAGAGCAATTGTTTTGGCCAAATTATCAAACAGTTGGTTCGAAGGTGCCGGTGTGGTTTGAGGCCCGTCCGGCTGATTCTGGGAGCCAGTGTCGATCGACAGGCGTATAGCTTGTGCCAGATTTAGGTAAGCTGGCGCATAGTTAGGGTGTTCTTCGATAATCCCCGAAAGCTGCGCTATGGCCGTTTGAATTATCTCCGGTGTTAGGTTCTCGTTGGTGGTCTGCAGGGGTCGGAGAGCGTCCAACTCCCGTTTTTTTAGCGACTGGACGTCAGCATCTGCGATATTGGGGAGTTGAGGGAGAGTCGAGTCCGTTTTGATGCCGTTAGAAGGAGATGATTCAGCGTCGAACAGAGCCTGAAGCACAGCAGAGTCGTTTGATGTGAGTGACGGCTTTGCGGCCGCAATCGATTCTGGAGTTGGAGCCATCGTGTCGGGGGTGGTTAAAGTGTCCTGCTTGGTACTGCCTCGCTTTTGTTCTCACAAAGAAGACGACAGCCAGTCTGTGTCAAGTTGTCCAACAACTTCGGCGACGACAGGATCTGATATCTGATATCTGATATCTGATATCTGATATCCCTTCCGGTCGGCGTTGGCTAGGATGTTTTTCGCTGCTGGGGTCAAAAAGACCCGAAGCGTGACCAGGGTGCCAAGCGGAGGCTGTTTGATGACGTAAAATTTGAGACCGTTGAAATAGCCGACCCGGCAATGAATATTATTGGGTGAATGCGCCCCAGGTTCAAAATACCCGTAAACAGCCGGGCGACCGAAAATAGCCTGGCCCAGAAAGACTGCAACAGCCAGCGGAAAAAGCAAAGCGCAAAGAATGGACCATAGGAAGTTTAAGGCGGCTGCCCGCTATTTTATTATTGAGGCACAGGAGGAGGATCAAATTGCCTGGCCTGCAAGGAAGCCGAATCCCCGGGAAGAAACTGTGCGCAAGGGTCGCTGCTGACCATTGTGGCGTCTATGAGTCGGTTGTTGGTTTGGGGTTAAGGAACCGTACAAAAGACTGCTCGTTCGCACAGAGTTCATTCCTGATCTTATTCATTCCTTCTTTATTTCAGCGTATATGCGGGTGCAGTCGTCAAGGAAACAAAATCAATACTCTCACCACCAAATTTCGAACACCCATCAACATGGCTCCCGCTGCCGACATTCCCCAGGCTGCTGCTGCTGCTCCGGCCGACCTCTCCCAATACAAGGGCTATGATCACGTTCACTGGTATGTTGGAAACGCAAAGCAGGCTGCCACCTACTATGTGACACGTCTCGGCTTCAAGAAGATCGCCTACCGTGGTCTGGAAACCGGCCTTAAGACTATCGCCTCTCACGTTGTTTCCAACGGCTCCGTCACATTTGTCCTCACCTCACCGCTTCGATCGCTCGAGCAAGCCGCTCGTTACCCTGCCGAGGAGAAGGCCTACCTTGAGGAGATCCACGCCCATCTTGAGAAGCACGGCGACGGTGTCAAGGACGTTGCTTTCGAAGTCGACTCCGTTGAGGCCGTTTTCGATGCCGCTGTGAAAAACGGTGCTAAGGTTGTCTCTGAGGTAAAGACTTCTGAGGACGAGAATGGTCAGATCAAGTATGCCACTATCCAGACCTATGGTGAGACCACACATACCCTGATCGAGCGAAAGGCATACAAGGGCCTTTTCCTGCCTGGATATCGTGATGAGACCGCCACCCCAGACCCAATCACCCAGTTCCTTCCGGAAGTCAAGCTCGAGCGGATCGACCACTGTGTCGGAAATCAGGATTGGAATGAGATGGAGAAGGTCTGTGACTAGTAAGTCTTCCCTTTCTCATGCTCTTTGCTAGAGTTTGTGAAATTAGAGAATTGACACATCGTAATAGTTACGAGAAGGTGCTCGGATTCCACCGTTTCTGGTCTGTCGATGACAAGGATATCTGCACGTATGTATCAGACTCTACCCTGTACACCTTATCCAAAAAACAGCTAACACATGAATAGTGAATTCTCTGCCCTCAAGAGTATCGTTATGTCTTCCCCCAACGACATCGTCAAAATGCCCATCAACGAGCCGGCCAAGGGCAAGAAGCAGTCCCAGATCGAAGAATACGTCGACTTCTATAGCGGTGCTGGTGTTCAGCACATCGCTCTCCGAACCGAAAACATCATCGACACCATCACACAGCTCAAGGCCCGTGGTCTTGAGTTCATCAAGGTCCCAGAGACGTACTATGACGACATGCGCATGCGTTTGAAGAAGCAGGGTATGGTTCTTGAGGAGGACTTCGAAGCCCTCAAGAAGCTTGACATCCTCATTGACTTTGACGAGGGTGGCTATCTCCTCCAACTCTTCACCAAAGTATGTTTTTCCCGTAATAATTTCCCATGCATGTGTATGCACACGTTGCTAACTCTCCGTCAGCATCTCATGGACCGTCCTACCGTCTTTATCGAAATCATCCAGCGACGCAACTTCTCCGGATTCGGTGCTGGCAACTTCCGTGCTCTCTTCGAGGCCATAGAACGCGAGCAGGCTCTCAGAGGAAACCTGATATAGATATGGGAAAAGCGAAATTTCCTTGTCACGAGTCTTCTACTTCTCTTTTCTTCTTCCGTCTCGATTGTTTCAATAATGACCCTGATGCCAGCTGCCATGTCATGTATAATTCTAGTTATATATATCTTCTGTTCGGAATGCATTAGCAGTTAATAGAGCAGGAGACATTCAACCATTCGTCAAGACAATATGCCTGTATTCCCGTAGTAGCCTCCGAAATATTAAAAGTGTTGTCCTCCCTGTATTGCGCCTCGAAGCAAAGTTCATTTTCGCTCAAACGCTTTAAAATCTCCACGAAGAGAAATAAAAGCAGCTATCTTCAGATATGTAGCTACTAAAGAGTTTGACTCGACTGACACTTAACGTCAGGTGGTTCGTTCTTGACGTCTCTCTTTCCGTTTTTGGCTCCAAGAAAAACTCCGACCTCGGCGGGCTCACAAGTGATGACTAATCAACGGAATAATAAAATCCCGTAGACGAGTGATTACCTAATCATATAAGGTTTATCGCAGCAAAGTCCAATCAGGAGAGCTTTATTTCGTGCCTGAAGACGAGAAGTTGCTGTTAAAGAACTTGAAGCAGTCGAAGCAGTTGAAGAAATTGAAGAAACCCAAGAGCCGACAGTCGCGTGAGCTTCCTGGTCATATCTCTAGTAAGCGGTCTGCCCAAAAACGATGCCGCCCGCTACTCCTGGGCGGTCAATATTGAGGCAGTCGCTATCACTCTCACGACTCCCACGAGAGTTCTTCACTTGTCGGCAATGTCTACAGCGGCCTCAGCCGGCGAGAACTGCACGGCAATGGATAGGGACAAGTCAATTTAGAGACACTTCGAAATACACCTCTGGCTTGCTAGCTGCGTTTCGAGCCCAGCCTTCCAAACCAGTGGTTCCAAGGTCATTTTTCACAACGGCAGCTACTCCAGCAGTAGGAGAGGCTGTTTCTAAGTCAAGGTTTCCTGATATCAGCTCCAAGGGAGTTGCATACTGGCTGCTGGCGAGCGCAGCAAGTGTCTTTGGCATTGTTGTGTTTGGCGGCCTAACTCGTCTTACCGAGTCTGGGTATGCTGATCCCGAGGCTCCGACACCTGGTGTTGTGTTTCAACTGCTGACATCTGTATAGACTTAGTATAACAGAATGGAGACCTGTAACGGGCTCTATACCACCACTGAACGAAGATGATTGGGAATCCGAGTTTGCCAAATATAGGGCATCACCAGAGTTCAAGCTTCTCAATCCCAACATGACTCTCCAAGAGTTCAAGTCGATATATTATATGGAATGGATACACCGTATATGGGGCCGTTTCGTTGGCCTTTCTTTCGTTATTCCTGCCGCTTACTTTGTTGCCACAAAACGGGTCTCAAAGCCCATGAGCCTTCGTCTTGCTGGCATTGCTGGTCTTATTGGCTTCCAGGGCTTCCTGGGTTGGTGGATGGTCAAGTCTGGATTGAAAGATGACCTGTTCGCGCCAGGTAGCCATCCTCGCGTCAGTCAATACCGGTTGACTGCACATCTTGGGGCTGCCTTTATTTGCTATGTTGCCATGTTGTGGAACGGATTGGCTATTCTACGCTCCCATCGCCTCCTCGCGGACCCAGTCAAGGGCTTAGAAGTCCTTCAGGCGCTGAAAAATCCTAAACTAGCCGTCTTCCGTCGCTCTGTTGCCGGACTCGCATTGCTTGTGTTTATCACCGCCATGTCAGGTGGGCTCGTCGCAGGCCTCGACGCTGGTTTGATCTATAACGAAATCCCATGGATGGGCAACGGTCTAACTCCTCCGAAGGAAGAGCTATTCGATGAGTTCTACTCTAGAAAAGAAGACCGATCCGATCTATGGTGGAGAAATATGCTTGAGAACCCATCCTTTGTACAACTTGACCATCGAATCCTGGCCATGACTACCTTCACCTCCGTCATGGCGCTCTGGGCGTACAGCCGTATGCCCGCCATGAAAAGACTTCTCCCTCGCGCAGCAAAAAAAGGTATTCATGGAGTTGTAGGGTTCACCGCACTTCAGCTGACCCTAGGAATCAGCACGCTCCTCTACCTTGTTCCAATACACTTAGCATCTGCCCACCAAGCAGGCAGCCTGTTCCTCCTCACCTGGGTTATGGTCTTGGGCAGCCGCATATGGCATCCTTCTCGCACGGCAAGGCTCCTTCAGCAGGCTGTTAAAGCTAAGCCGCTATCTTCGACCTCACATGCTGCTTCTCCTCTTGCAAAGAAAGGTTAATGCCTGCAAGGCCTACCATTTTAATTCTTCTCCCCTCTGTATTAACATTAACTAACTATATAATAAAATGTACTATCTCCGCTAAAATTGGCAATTTGGAAGAAGGTGAAATTATTCTGGTATTATCTCGATGCTTCTCTCTAACTAGTAGTAGCTGTGTGGTTGTTCAAATTAATTCACTTTGAGCAGCAGCTAAGTGTAAAATCCTTGCAAACAGTACCAAATCAACCAGGATTGAGAGCGAATAGTCATCAATAAAAGCAGCAAGAAGTAAAATAGAATGAAAACCAAACAACCACGTCGGAAACTAAAAGAATTTGACTCCAAATGATGCTTAGTCGTATGCTGCTATGCGAGCTATTATGATAGTGATGGCCGAGGTTATGGTTAATAGCAAACACAAGAGCATCATCACTGAGCTAAATGAAATGCAGGTGCAATAACTAGTTAGTTAGAAATCCAGATGTTTGTGGGCCCTGAACAACCCAACTTGTTAATCACCATAAATGCCCAGGAATAACATCCAAATTTCCACGGTCTATGACCCTTCTTGATTGTTTTCCGTTATTCATTATCAAAGCTCCCATGCCCTGCCATGGGCTTTCAATATTCTTTTCTCTGCCTCATGTCGCCCCCGCTCTGAGGTTTCAGTTTTTTTGGTTTCTCCATCTCCAGGGAGAATATCTCTCAGGCCAAATGGAACCTCGCGCTGGTGAAGTGGCATCCGTGGATGACGGGCTGCTGACGGGTTGCTTACTGGCCTAGGCTGATCGATATCCATGGGATCAGGCCTAGGTATCAATTCTGACACTGGCACAGCGGGAGGAGCAACGTACTCAATCAGATCCAAGGGTTGGACCAAGATTCGTCGTTTTGGGGCTTGCACAATACCACGCATATGCTCCGGAACTGGTGACGGGGATCGGAAGTAAAGCGAAATAGGAACGGGACGTACGACGGTAGTCGCACCTATAGTTCGAATTTGGGTAGGAACCGGAGTGGAGGGAGGTGGTTGAGAGGCAGCAGCAACAGTGCTGGGTTCAGGAGCAGGATCTTGCTTAGGAGCTGGAGACGAATGTTGAGATGGAGTTAAAATCCAGCTACGAGCCGGCGGGTCAAACTTACGGGTAGCTGGCACAGGGGTTTTTGGGCCCTCATTTCTCTCCCTGGACTGCTTCTGGTCCTTTTCCCGTTCTTTGAGAGCCTGCTCTGCAGCGATGAGAAGCCAGTTCATCCGGGTCTGAGCCTTGGGGTTGAGGCCTTTGAATACTCGTTTTTGATACGCTCTGCCATCTGCGATAAGGACATCCTCGTTTTCTGGGTCTATATCCGTGGCATCGTCATCTTCTTTTTCATTTTCTTCATCACCTCGATACCCACAGTCCTCCTCAAGTGCGCCGAGAGAAGTCAGGGAGGATGAGCTCGACAGATTATCAGCAATCGCTTGGCGAGTATTTTCAGGAGTTCGGGGCGCTTTACTACAGCCGGCTGTGGCTTGTCTTGGAAGATTGTTGCGGGAACTGGCTGGCTTAACACTGGCCGGGCCACTGGAAGTTGAAATCTTGAAACTACCCAGACCTCTTTGGAGTACCTCCCTGGAATCACCTGCAGCCATCGGAAGCTGGCCAGGAGAACCATTTGCACTCACGGTTGAAGATATGGAAACGACGGAAGGGTTCCAATGTCCTTCAATATCTGGGTTCGGACGCGTCGATGTAGAAGCTATATCCTTTGCAGCAGCTTTACCCTTGTCAGGAGGAGTATCCTTTGCTCCATTATTGACATTTTTCCCTTTCTTTCGAGGTTTTTTCTGTGGCAGTTCATCATCTGAGCTGCGGTAAATGGTCCCGGTGAATTTTCTGACGCTGCCATGGGCACCATTCCCACCCCTGGCATTCCAACAGGGGGTGCATATCTGCCACCCACAATCAATACAGCGCTGCAAGGTGGACTTGTTATGCTTATTGCAGACATCACACTTCGCAGTGTGGATTTTTATTGGTTTGAAAATTGTATGGGGCCCCTGAGAGCTTCCAGCTGGTGCGGCTGCAAAGGAAGAAGGGCTACCATGCTGAGTGTGCATTGGTTGTTGAGCTGGTTGCCCCTGGGGTGGTCCTGGTCCTGGAATTCCCTGAGCAGATGCAGGATTAGTGTCCTGAGGAGACGGGCTTGAAGATATCTCAATCACCTCGACTTGCTTGCCGTTGACGGTGATATGTGGGACGTTTGTATTTATCTTGGGAGGCTGAGGCCGAAATGGATTGGTATCGGAGCTAGAAGTCCTCTCAGGAGTCGCGAGACCCTGTCCACTTGTCGGAAACATGATAGCCGTCCAACTTCGCGCTATAGAAGGTGTTCAAGCTTGTTTGATATCAAGGTACTTTTGGTCGAAGAGCAAAAGAGGTAAAACTGGTCAAAAGATGATGTGCCAGGAGCTTCATCTAATGTGTAACAGTTTGATGTCCAGAAAGCAAACAGAGGACCTGTAGAGAAGAATGATGACTTGTTATACCAGGGAGGACTTTGCATGGACTAGTGGGGAAGTTGGTGGTTAAGCGAGGAAGAACTTGGAGGCTTTGCAGAGAAAGAAAAAGATAACCAAAAGCTCTCACTACGGTTTCTTCCGTTAACTTTGGTATTGAATAGGACATTCACTAGTAGAGTGAGTCAGGTTCAAAGGAAGAGGAACACAGTAATGGGCACTTCCGTAGTGACATTTCTGCAGTCACTTTGTTAGGATAGAGTCTGATAATGGTGCTATATGTGAAGTGAATATTCACATATAATATAGGCTTGAGCTTATAGCAAGATATCTCCTTCGTTATTTTACTTATGACGGGATCCTTATGGTATCAAGAGATTGGTAGGTAAAGTCCCCTGCCATCTGAAGTAACCACGTCTATGAGAGTATGTAGGAGGGCTCCTATATCAAACTAATCTGAGCTCCATTAAGACTTGAAAGGGTGGAGAGAACGGCGAATACTCGAAGACTCCAGGTTGAGAGAATAATGCTTTTTGTATTTCATACGACTCAGGGGTGAGATGTTCCTAATCCTAACTCGTTAATTGTTCATGAATCTGGAAGAGCATTTAAGATCGCAGGTACAGGGACAAAGATGGCCTAATTTATTTATGGGCTAAGGCGTAGAAGTTAGACTCGTTCAGAGAGGATAAGTTATCAGTTTGGGAAATATGCTTGGGGAGAACAGTAAGGTGACTTACGAATGCCCTCAACAGGGGTAGGCTCAACACCAACAACCTCCGCCGCGAGATGGTCCTTGTCCTTTACAGCAGTCTTGTCCTCCTTCATGAATGGGAAAGCTAGAACCTCCTTGATACTGTAGTTGTCAGTCAAGAACATCACCAGTCTATCAATACCCATACCCCATCCACCAGTGGGTGGAAGACCATATTCCAAACTGGTACAGAAATTCTCATCTATCATTTGTGCTTCATCGTCACCCTGTTCCTTCTGCCTGGCCTGCTCCTCAAAGCGTAGTCTTTGGTCGAAAGGATCGTTCAACTCGGTGTAAGCGTTAACTATTTCCTTCTTGCAGACAAAAGCTTCAAATCTCTCACACAGACCCGGATGATCACGGTGATACTTGGCCAGTGGAGACATCATTTGTGGATGTCCGATAATGAACGATGGGTTGATACACTTCTCTTCAATGAATTCACCAACAAGCTTGTCAAGCATTCGGGCATTGGTGAGCGGTGGGGTGCATTCGACGTTGACTTTCTTCAGGACCTTCTTCAAAAACTCATTGGTCTCCTCAGTGTGAAGTTGATCGCCTGGGGGAAACTTTTCGCCAGTGGCTTCTTCAAGAGCCGGAATCATTTCAATTTTCTTCCATGGGGCCTTCCAGTTGACGTTATACTGCTCGCCGCTCTGGGTATGGAATACAGTTTCGTAGCCACCAGTAACATGCTTGACAAGGCCAGAGACAAGATCTTCGGTGACATTCATGAGGTCATATACATCGGCATATGCCCAATAGAACTCACAAGTGGTAAACTCCGGGTTATGAGTAAGGTCGATACCTTCATTTCTGAACTGACGACCCATCTCGTACACACGCTCAAGGCCTCCAACAATCAACATCTTGAGGTACAACTCGGGGGCAATTCGCATGAATAGGTTCATGTTGAGTTCGTTGTGGTGGGTAATGAAAGGCTTAGCGGTAGCACCGCCAGCAATAGCATTCATCATTGGAGTTTCAACCTCAACGAAATCACGCTCATCAAAGTATCGTCTGATATAGCTGACAATCTTGGAGCGAGTAACAAAGACATTTCTTGAAGAGTCATTCATGATCAAATCTAGATATCTCTGTCTGAATCGCTGCTCCTGGTCCTTCAGGCCGTAATGCTCTGAAGGGATCTGATGGAGGCATGGCGACAGAAGGATGACCTGGCGAGCAAAGATCGAGAGCTCACCATCGTCCCGGTTCTTTGGGTTAGTGCGTCCAGGGAACCCAACGATACCAACGATATCTCCTCTTCGTAGCTGTTCATGCTGGGCTTCGAAAGGCACATCACCGGTGGCCTCTTGGGCCTGACACGCGACTTGCACCTTCACGCCCTCTGCACGGAGGTCGTAGAAGATAAGTTTGGCTCCCGAAGAACGCTTCGTATATATCCTTCCGGCAATGCGCACTTCCTTCTCGGGCTTCTGCTCTCCCTTCTTCAGCGAATCGAATTCCTTGAGGAACTGGCGGAGGTCATCCGTGACCTGGAATTTGTGGGGGTATGGGTTGGGCTCCTTGGTCTGCCGAAGCTGGTTGATTTTGGTACTTCGGATCTCGAAATATTGCTGCCCAAAGACACGATTAGAATCGCTCACTCCGTGCAATGTAGTGCATCGCAGTGTTGAATAGAACCACTTACGTTGGGCGTGAGTTGGGATTCATCTTCTTCCTTGTTCTTCTTCTTGCCCTCTGCAGGTGCCGCAGCGGCAGCAGCGGCAGCCTTCTCGGCCTTCTTTTCCTCTAGAGCACGCTGCTTCTGTCTTCTCTTCAATTCCGACTTGGACACTCTCTCGCCGGTGATTTCGTCAAGCTGGAGGTTTGCGACAGAAGCCCCCGCCTGGTCAACGGCAGCTTGGTCAGCCATAGTTCTGTAGCAGTTCGTCCTGTGTTTTTTTCCGAGTGTATCAGAATTTCTCGAGCATGAACTACTGATTCCAGGAAGCGACCCTGGAGTTCCTATTTATCGTGTAGATAATTAATGAGTCAAAGACGCGCAAATGGCGGGGAGTTGGAAGTTGTTACTCTTTTTTCTTTTTCTGAATTTTTTTATTTTTTTATTTTTTTATTTTTGCACACAAAAAGTTTCATGTCCCACATTTGTTAACTAGTTAGTCAAACAATCGCTCTACTCCCGATGAGATATCTGTATGATGATAGTCATTAGACAAGAGGCCAGGGATAGCTTGCAAGAGAATAGCTGTATTTGATGAGTGGTCCAGGTAACTACATTCTATATCTCTGCGAACATCCGTCGCAAGGGCCAATTCAGACACAGACTATCAAAACCACAACCCATGCCTTCTTTCAAACACATTCAATATTCAATTGAGGACACAGGTGCCACATAGACTCTGTTTCTATTGAAGGCTCGATCCCAAAGTTTCTTTTGAGCCAGGTAGCCATGAGAGTCGGCGATTAAGAATTGGAGTCGTAGAAGAAAAGGGGCTCCGGGGTTTTTTCGGCGACCTTCAACCATTCCTGAGCTTTATCGAGCTTCTCCTTTTCCTTCAGAAGATGAATTCTTCTCAACTGTCTTTCTCGGTCCTCGGCCATTAATTCCGTGCAACGCTCGGAAGCTAGGTTTCTTTTCGTTAGCGGTGGAATTATCACATTTGGTAGACGCGTTCATACCATTCTCATTCAGAATTCCGAGCTTCTGCTCGATCTCCCCTCTCAACTCATCCCTACAACGCATGAAGAGCTTAATATGGATACCCTGGCACGTAGTGTCCACAAAGCGAGACGATGCAATATCGTAATAAGCGCGAGATGCCTGTTGTGTTTAGGTTATTTAGGTCAATCCCGATACTGAGAAGAGAGCATAATGGGTTAATATCCTTACACTCATTATTTCCAACTCCTTTGCAAATTCGTCAGGACCGAGTTCCTTTTCTGTTACCTTGCTTAGGTCTGTTCGCGAGGATCTACCCGTGGTTTGCTGCTGCTGTGCGTCAATGAGCTTGGTATACTGTGAGACCCTTGCTTCATATCGTTTATGGAAGAAGTATCCATAGGCCTCCTCTTGACCACGTCGGAATAAATCATTCGCCATTGTAAAAGGCTTCAAACATTCAATGTTGAAAACTGATTCCGCCTGCTGGAAATGTTCGATGCGGATGGATTCGAGGAATCCCATAATGATGACCTTCAGCTCTTCAAACAGGGCTGTTTGCTCATACTGGCCAAAAACATAACGCATCTCATTCAATAGCACCCCAGCCATCAATCTATATGTAACCAGAAGGAAAGTTTTCATCGGATCCTCCCAGTGAGAAACACTTATTCTATTTAGTGCCTCAACAGCATGGGGGTTCCCTAAGCCAGGAACGCCGGACGCGTACGTGTCAGCATTGATGTTTCGGACCTCGGGGAGCGTAAAGGATTTTGCGGGCTCTTTCAACGTCACAGCTTAGCAATTTGTGATTACCGACCAGCTTTTTTATCAACTTACTAGGGAAGTGGTCAAAATGACCATGAACTTTGAATTCCGACACATCAGGTGTTGAACCATTGGAAAGATCTCCAACTTTCATTTTCTTAAGGTCACCTGTACCGTTTGTTTGAGGGGTATTTTTCCGCTTCTGGGCCTTTGAGCTTGAAGCAGAAGCGTCCCCCTTGCTTTCAGGGATAAATTCGGATGGGGTATTCAGTTTCAGCCCTGGTCTGGAGGCAGTGAGGTACTGCTGGAATTCAGAGGCGATAATACCCCATTGCTTCAGGAAAGGGTACTGGGCTGAACCTCCATCGACATGCATTTGAACATTATTCATGAAAGAATTAAGCTTCTGGCATAAGATGTACGATACGTTCGCTGACGGCGGATTGGGCAACTTAGCAAGTGCCTGATCGACATATTGAGCTTGAATGTTGATCTGGTTGATTATTCTGGGCAAAGAGTCCTGAATTAATCTCAGAAGTAACTTTGATAAAGCCGTCTGTAGACGACGAGTACCAAATCTGTCATTGTATTCAGCCAATTCTGTTGTCCATGGGGGTTTGAGAAGAAGTAGCCTTCATCTGCACGAGCTGTGGCATGATCAATCCTCGGATCAGGGTTGTTTTGAACCACGAAGTAGCCATGGCCAGTTGCAAATTTTTCACCACGCAGTATCTCGCGCCACTGATCATACTCATTTCCAGTCTTGAGCTCAACACGATCAGGTTTGGTGAGAACTCCAACAGTACGGTCCCTAGCCCCCGAGATGTCGCGGATGATACGGGCAGCGCTAGAATTGGTAGCATCATCAGTCATGGGCAAAGCAAGAAGGATAATGCAGTTTTGTGCTTTGATGTATTCCTTCACGAGGTTCTCTACCAGCCCAACTAGGTAACGTTCTTCATCGAGTTCGGCAACGTTGATCACTCCAGGCAAATCGTAGAAGGAAAGATTGGGAAATCCTGGTGCAGAGATGTCAAGCCGGACTACATTTGGAGAGAACTTGACCTGACTGTAAGTGCTATCGGTCTCCTGATCTTCTCCAGGAATGAAGTCGGTGTGGCTGCGCCCCGGGTTAAGTGTGGCCAGCTGAGCCCATTTAAGGTGCTCCTGGAGGAGAGTCTTGTCGGTCAGAGTCGCGAAATAAAGCTCTTCCGGGTCTTGTTCAATCCAAGGACCTAATGGCCGAGCGTTCGTAGCTCTTTGAGTTCTTCCAGCCGCATCGTACATGTACTTCTTCATCAGAAGAAGCCGGCACGTCCAAGGCCCGTCACTCTCGGACAAGTTTATTTCAAGCGGGCATCGCGTACAGCATCCTGCACTCCTTGGGACTTTGATCTCACTCATGCCCTCAATGAGTGAACTTTTCCCAACGCTTTGATCGCCAACGACTACAATCTTTGGTAAGGGTAGGGTATGGTTTTCGATCCCTAAATGTCTAAGGTCTTGGATCTTCTTGACCATTTCTCTCATATTCTGAGAGAGAAAGTCAATAGATGCATTTTTTTCTTCAATTCCCACGGTGCCTGTAATATCAATCGTAATCATTAGCCCAACACAGGAAAAACGGCAAATAGCAAAGACAAAGCCTTACTGGGAGACGAGTGTATTTCGGATGCCATCTTCTACACACTCTTGGTTGGCTTGTATCCGCGCCCGGCAAATGATGAGCATGCAAGGGTTTCAGGGCGGATGAAAATAGAATGATTGCTATAGTTACAGGAAGGCTGCAAGTAGCTGTGGCCGCAAAACCAAATTTCAAGTGTGTATGTGTGGGAGAAAAGAGATGGAAAGAAAGTAAAGTTGGAAGAAGAGGCACTGTTTTAATAACAAACAGCAGGGGCAGGAAAATAGAATTATGTAAGGCAAGAGTTGGTATAAGTGTTCCTGGAAGATAGCTTTACAAAGAAATAGAAGCAGTCTGCTGCTTCAGTCAACAGGACAAATCAGCAACACAAAAAAAGGCAAAGAATGCTCCAGCAGCAGCCACCCTGCTGCTGGCTTCATAGGGCAAACATTCTGCATTCCATGTGTCCATGCTTTATGTGCCAAAGAGTAATGAAAAGGGCATATGTTAAAAATCCAATGATTCTTTATGGCGTAAGATGTCCGCAATGAATAACTACCACCTAGTTAAGAGAGCTTGACTAGTTAACTAGGTAATCAGGCTGTTGCCAATGAATCATCTCATACTGGGTATAACTGAACAATGACTGGCAAGAGAGAGTAACTAGTTAATTGACCACGTACAAGGCGCTGTTACTATCGATGTTGTTCTTCCATCTTATCTGCATCTTATCTCCTTTTTTATGCTCTAACCTTAAAGCGACGTCAAAGAAAAAAGGACCACGTGGTGTCACGGGAGCCGGTGGTTCACCGCCCAGGGCAGAACACCGAAAGAGGAATAGCTCCCTCCTGGGCTGGCGCTTCGACCTCTTCTCGACGTGTTTGTGTCTTTGGTGGTAGATTTGGGATCCCAAAGTCGAACTGTTTGCTTGACCTAGCTGCCGCAAATAGAGATATAGAGTGAGGAGGACAGAGTACATTGAGTCTGTTCGGTGATATTTTAGAGGAATGCTAGCAGTGCCTTCTGCATCTTCAAACATGGCGTCTACAAAGGCCGTTATCTTGGTAATTACCTGCCCGCATCCTTACTATAACAAACCCCCTCCTCCCCCTTTTATATTCATTCTTATAGATCACAACTAACGCGTTTATGTGATGTTACTTACAGGTTGGTGGACCATCTAGAGGAACTAGATTCAGGCCTCTTTCACTGGATATGCCCAAAGTGCGTTCTCTCAGCTGCCCGCCAGGCTTAGTTTGTTCCAGCAGCTGTTGAGACGCTAACAACTGTTGTAGCCCCTATTTGAAGTTGCCGGTCACCCTATCATACTACACTGCCTGAAGGCTGTTGCCAAAGTCCCTGGCATCCGCGAAGTCATTCTCGTTGGATACTACGATGAGACCGTGTTCCGAGACTTCATCAAGTCAGCCAGTGTAGAGTTCCCCCAGTTCCGCATCCAATACCTCCGCGAATACCAGGCCCTCGGCACTGCTGGAGGTCTCTACCACTTCCGAGATGCCATTCTCAAGGGTCGCCCTGAGCGCTTCTTCGTCCTTAACGCCGATGTCTGCTGCTCCTTCCCACTAGGTGAGATGCTCAAGCTCTTCGAAGAGAAGGATGCAGAGGCTGTCATCCTTGGTACCCGCGTCAGCGACGACGCTGCCACCAATTTCGGCTGCATTGTCTCCGACACCCACACGAAGAGAGTCCTTCACTACGTCGAGAAGCCAGAGTCACACATTTCGAACCTGATAAACTGCGGTGTCTACCTCTTTGCTACCGAGTGCATCTTCCCTTCCATCCGCAGTGCTATCAAACGCCGCACCGCCCGCCCTCGTCTACTCTCATATCCATCATCCGAAAATCTTGAATCTTCTTATGTAGCCCAGGACGATTCCGCTGAAATGCCTGAGGTCCTACGTCTCGAGCAGGATATCCTTCCTGACCTCGCAGACAGCAACCGTTTCTTTGTCCATGAAACCAAGGACTTTTGGCGCCAGATCAAGACCGCAGGCTCCGCTGTTCCAGCTAATGCTCTCTACCTCCAAAAGGCCTTCCAGTCTGGCTCTGAAGAGCTCGCTGCCCCCTCCGCCTCCATTGTTCCACCAGTTTACATTCACCCCTCCGCCACTGTTGATCCTACCGCCAAGCTTGGACCAAATGTCTCCATCGGTGCACGAGCCGTTGTTGGCCCAGGCGTCCGTATCAAGGAGTCCATTGTCCTTGAAGACGCTGAAATCAAGCACGATGCATGTATTTTGTACTCCATCATTGGTTGGAGTAGCCGCGTCGGTGCATGGGCTCGAGTCGAAGGCACCCCCACCCCAGCTGGTAGTCACTCTACGACCATCATCAAAAATGGTGTCAAGGTCCAAAACATCACTATCCTTGGCAAGGAGTGTGGTGTTGGCGATGAAGTTCGTGTTCAGAACTGCGTTTGCTTGCCCTTCAAAGAGCTCAAACGGGTATGTTTCTCAGCCTCCTTCGTTGAATTGCCTCAGTCTAACTTTCTCCGCAGGATGTTGCAAATGAAGTCATCATGTAGACTTCTCATAAGTACATCATGTCTTATGTCCTTTTTATCCCGTTAAAAATTTTCTTAAAATAGTGACGAAAAAAGAATGTCGAATGTGTGATTCCACTAACGACCTGGCTCGGTTTTTGAAGTGTTAGCTTTTCTGTCTTACGTCCGCGATGCGATGCTGAATAAATGATATACCACGAAATCGAAATATTATCTGTGATCTCGTAACTTTACATAGCATTGGATTTCTGGATTTGTTGATCGTAACACATGCCACGCCAATTCTCCAATTGCCATTGGGCTAGTGCTAAAACATCAACTGTCATGACCTATCTTTCTCAAAAGCTGCTACGTAGGAGCTGATTTTTCGGCTCTTACCAGCAATATATGCTTTCAAGATAGCACAGTGGTGAGTCGAACACCTGAGTCATTATGCCATGATTGGCACAAGATGATTCAGGTATGACAGGATATTCGGCTAGTAGATACGTGGACGCTATAACTAGGGCGTTTTTAAAGTTGTAATTGTTCTCGAAGGCAAAAAGTTATCATTATTGGCTCATAACTGTTATAATAAATCTACACAAAGGGTGTGGTGCCTGGGAAATGAAGTATGCACGGAACGTAGACGGTCATTTTAAAATATTCATTGAATAGATCAACCTATTGGCAGCGGTTCCAGTATCAATTTCCCAATCCAGTCAATATGTGCATTCTTAATGGAGGTTAGCTATGGTACCCAGACAGTAAGAGAACTAAATTTAAAACATACAGATTCAAGAACTTATTTTGGCGGCTGAGCGCAGAGAGTAAGGGTGATATCGGCATCTCTTTGGCAGGCAGAAGTAAACTTCTGGCCGGTTGGTGGGACACCGTTGGGCCACCAGATGTCGGGGCAGTCGGGGTTGGAAGTAGAAACCAGCAAGCCGCTGGTTCCGGCAAAGGCATCACCGAAGACATCGGAGAGATCATAAAATGTGTTTGTGTCCGTCAGGGTGTAGGCAAAGATGGTTTGGGGAGAACCGTTGTAGATGCCATCCTTAACACGAGTGATCTTGAGAGCGATACCTCCGCTAACTGGGTCGTATCTGAATTGTTCAGAGTATGTGTGTCCGGGAGTGATGGTCTGCTGGGGACCAACGGAGCCACCAACGGACCAGAGGTATGCGTTGTTATCACAGTGGTTCTCGACGATGGCGTGTCCAACAGCAGCAGTGAATGGGGTAATGGCCGCGATGGCAGTGAGAGCAATGGCTTTGAACTGCATTTTGAAGGAGATGTTTGGTAAAGGCTTGGAGAAAGATGTTATGGTTGCTTGGATGTGAGAAGTAGGAGCTGATAATGGAGATAATGGGCTGATCATAGGGAATTGGACAGCGTATTTATACCTTTACTGAGCAATTCCATGGGAAGAGTGTATGGCAGTTGATGTCTTAGATTGCTTCTGGACTCCTCGACAATCCATGAGCTATACGAACTTGAGGCATGAGGGCCACTGCCACAGATCCACTGGTACCATTGGCTTAAAGCAGCCCTCATCTGAATCATGATAAGCCTAATATCGATGTTAACCTTTACTCTAGCGCAGTGAGGGTTTCTTTCTTTTTGACTCTCAGGGTATGAAAGAGGGGGTATAATTCCATTGCATAGCCGACTGGCAGGCAACTCCATGCTTCCGACCAATAAACAAGGATCAAATCATAATTGTGCCAGAGAAGACATTCATAATAGTAACAGAAGCACATATTACTCCACAGTTAAGTAATATGTCTGAGTAAGTTTATTATCAGCATACCGATGCACACTGGATTCCGCGAATGTACAGGAATAGGATTGGAGCTGAATATCAACCGTTGGAGAGGTTTCAGATCCAAGGTACGCTTAGTGGCTGCAAGAGCATCTGCTTAAACGGGGCCGAGCGAAGCAGATAACCAAGGTAACATTCATTCAATACTACCTCGTTCTTCGCAGCATGCATAACTTCTGGTTGTTCAAGCAGTATGTTTCGTCTTGCCTTTCCGCCAATGGATATATTTGTTTTGTAAAGAAACATGCAAAACTCCACTCTAAATGTCCATAGTGGTACGTTGTTCAGAGCACCTGTTGGACAACTATGTCTTCGAGATCCAGTGACCAAAATGCAACCAACAGACAATGGAGTCCATATCTAAGGTAACCAGTGAAAGCAGTTCAGGCCAGCGTTGCGGCGTAGCGATCTGATATCCACTAGTGAACCAGCCGGTGGAGCCCGTTGTAAGACATCACAGGAGAGGAAGAAGAATATGGCCAGGTGTAATATGTGTCTGGACTTTGTCTGCGGCAAAGTCGGATAGAAGTCGATGTTGGCTTTCTGCTGGGATGTCGATCATCCATCGCGGGTCCAAAGGCAACCACCGCCAAGCAGGTTAACAATCACCAGCACTTACATCTGGGAACTGGGGAGAAAATGTCTTAAAATACGAAATCCTTGAACAATTGGCATAGTTAGTTAATCATCGTAGCATTCCTGCATCGCTAGTCAAAACTTTGGCGTTTCGCCCACCAGCAGGGAGAAACCATGGAACTCTGCCAGGCCCTGGGGACTAGCTGGTTAAGGTAGCTCGGGCGGTTTCTATTATTAGCTGGCCTCGGCGATCCATTGTGGGGATTTTTGGTCCATCCCATCGTTAGGAGCTTCCCCGGGTTTCCTTGAGGTTGATATGAAGAAGACTTGTCTCTGAGATGGAAATCGATCTGACCAGCAGAAGCGAGCTTGCAGAGGCCGTGTCTCTCGGGCGGCCGGGGGGCAGGGCCTTGGTGCCTTGTCAGTTGGGAGTCAAATCCCGTCCCCGATGCAGAGTTATCTAAATAGCTTCTTACCAGGATGCAGAATGAGAGCAGTGAAGTCTCTTTTCGTCTTTTCCTTCTCCATTTTTATCCTTCGTCCGCCTGTCCGCCCTGTCCGTCCGCCATGCGACTAGCATGGATGTTGTTGGTTGGCGTCGCTTTAGCGTTGTCGCTTCGTGTTCGTGGAGATGACGTCAGAGCGCAGCTCGAGGTTGAGGCTCCGCCTCGTCTCTCTCCCTCTCTCGTTTTCTCCTGCAGAGCTAGCAGTTGAAGACCTCAATCCGGCAGATGGAGCGCAACTGTAAATGAACGGTTTACTGTGAGATACGTGCAAATGGCGGATGCTGGCCACCCATACCCGTCCAAGTCCGAGATGTCTTCCTCTTCGCCACCTGCCTACGAGGATGTAGCAGGCGAGGGCTCTCAGTCTTCAGCCCCAAGGCCACAGCAGAGATCCAGCGGTGCAGTGACACTGACTATACATGGCAAGGAAATATATTCTTCTGCCAGTCAGGGTGGCCAGCCAGTCTACAGCTTAACTCATGCTCTGGATGGCCACGAGTTGAATCAGTACGGAGTTTTGTTGACACGTATTGAAGATCGGGCAGTCTCATCTACTTCTTCTCGAGGCACGCCAACTACCAAGGCTGTCAAGCGGGATGTTTTTGCTCTTCGTGATGCGCCAGTCCTTCACATAGGGCATGCTCGTTACGAGATTGATGGCCGAAGGTACTTGTCAGATAAAAGGGGTCGCATGAGCAGGTCATCCTTTGGAGTCGGATCAGGGTGGACCGCCTGGGGTAAAGGACTGCCGTCATTCTATCTTCAGAGATCAGAGAGTGGTAATGCTGCTCAAGTTGGTGAGACTACCGACTCATCCTTTTATGAATGGCGTGAAAAAGAGAATGGCCCCTTGATAGCCATGGAGACACGGAGGCGTTGGGATATGGAGAATAAAGTGGAGATATCGCCCCCTCGACTAGAATTGATGAAAAGTTGGGATGATTTCGACAGGGAATACTTGGATTTTATGATTGCCGCATGGTGTATGCACAACTGGAGAGAGGCCAAAGATATCATCAAGGAACCCATCACATGGGATGAGTGTGAGTTGTGTTGACATTACCAACAGTAGTATGGATTCTTCTATGCTAACCCGTATAATAGTCAAAGAGCAAGCCCGAGTCACTGCTTCAAAGCGAAAACAGGTCTTAACTGGTGGAGGTCGCTCGACTGCCTTTGGACTTGCTGGATTTGCAACATAATATGTGGCATCCCAACTGTTGTCCCATATTTGTTTTTATATTATGTAACTCAATGCTTCGACTTTACTAGATACCCATGCATCCTGCCGTGCTGCTCTGGTTTGAAACTAGGGCCTCCGGGGCAGAAAGCTTCAATCTTTGTACATATTTATCACGTAACTATTGTGATGCGCCTGCTTGTCTTTTGATTGATCAATATCGTGATTTGGTTTAAGAGTCAGCAATTATATTATTAAGTGGAAGTTTTCATAAGAACTTTACCTAAGTGAAGAAGATGTTCCAGAGTAAGCGCCGTGCTGATAAAAAAGAAGTCTAAAAAGGAAATTATTAAAATATGAGCCAAGAGGGTGAGATCACACTAGTGGTCAACATACACAAAACTAGATCTTTATAGCTTCTTCCTCAAAAATTTCCTGCAGTGAGAAATCGATTCTTACAGTTATGGATGTCCAGGTTGTGATATCATGCTGCTCGCTTGTTGAAGTTGGAAACGAAAGGAACGTGCGGAATAACCGATTTATTGTTTTTAAGCCCTTCAGTTTTTAGCTTAACTAGTTAAGGGGAGTAAAGGGGCCCCGAGGTTCTCGGAAGTTGTGGATAATAAGGCTGAGCGAGTTGAGACAACGCCCACCTTGGGCACCCCGAAATTAGGAGGTCAGGTACCCCGAGATTAGATTAGATTAGATCGTTATTGGAAGTGCCTCGGCAGCCCGGGCGGCCCCACTCAGATGCCCGCACGGACCCGCACCGTTTCTGGATTAATTATATTCCGTATTATTAATCAACACTCATGCCGCCGGGCGGCTGCCCGGAGGCGCCCACGACCTTAGTACCTAATGACAAATCAACCCATGGCTTCGGCATCGCTCTGAAGTAAAATGGGAGGACACGACGACAATGTTTCAAATACTTCAACATAATATGCTAAACCCTCTCTCCTGGTAGGCATGCTGAGTGAAGCTCGTAAATGAAACCAGGGCGAGCACGATATCCAAACACCACTGCGCTGACCGCTCCCTATATAAACCTCCCTGGATACTCTACCACGACGTTAATCTAACGATCAAAGTAGCATATTATCCACAGCTTTTCCGGATATACAAGCTAATTCCTAATATTTATCATGGCTTTTGTACTAGCCGGAGAGGTGCAGTGGCATGAAGGAGAGAAGAAGATGCATGAACTGATGCACGTTCCGTACGAGGAGAACCCAACAGCCACTTTCTTGAGCCCTGGAGCAGCTGCACTAGTCCAAAAATGCCCTCTGCTTGCACTGGGGACACTGGATAAACAAGGCCGTCCATGGAGTACAGTATGGGGTGGCCAGGCTGGATTCGTTGGTCCAGTTGCTCAATCCATCATCGGAATAAGAAATGTTATCGATGGAACCCATGATCCCGTCGCAGAAACGCTACTTGGCGGCGAATTGGCTGGAACCATTATCAAGGAACCCCAGCCAGGAAGACTGATGTCCGCATTGCCTATTGACATGGAGAATAGGAGACGTGTTAAGTTGATGGGACGGATGGTGGCAGGCTCTATGGAAGAGGATACCCAAGAAGACTCTGGAAGCAGAAGCATAAACGATACTACCCTAGGGAAGTCTGCCCAAATACAGTTAGTTATGAAAGTTGAAGGAAGCTTAGGTGAGATAACTATTTCATCTCCCGCCCCATTTATCCCATGCTCGAATTCTACTGACCTTTCGCCTAGGAAATTGCCCCAAATATATTAATAAGAAACACATCACACAAGCACTACCACATCCCAAACTAATATCAAACTCGCCTCATCTCCCCCAGGAGGCTCTTGAACTTCTCGGTCGAATAGATACCCTTTTTGTAGCCAGTTCCCATGGAAATGACTCTATGGACTCTAATATCCGCGGAGGCCCACCAGGCTTTGTTAGGGTGCTCTCCAACGATAGTACGGGCGCCGTCATAGTATACCCAGAATATTCAGGGAATCGTTTATATCAGACTCTAGGCAACCTCCAAACAACACCCCTTGCAGGGTATGCGTTTCCGGATTTTGATTCAGGACACATTCTATATATCACGGGAAAAACGGAGGTTCTGGTAGGGAAAGATGCAGCGAAGATACTTCCTAGATCAAACCTCTCTGTCAGAGTTAGTGTCACTGCTGCCAGATACGTAGAAAATGGCCTTTCATTTCGTGGGGAGGCAATGCAGCGATCCCCTTACAATCCAGAAGTGCGATATCTGGCTTCTGAGAAGCCAGCTCCTGGCAGCCAACTCCCCGATAATGAGGAGATGCGAGTCATCTTGGTTAAAAAGGATGTGATCACCCCTACTATTAATCGATTCAAATTTAAGGCTTCTGACCCATCCGCTGTTCTCAAATGGATACCAGGACAGTATGCTACTGTTTCGTTCCGAGACGAACTAGACATGGGATACAGCCACATGAGAGATGATGACCCCACAAGTATCAATGATGACTATATTCGCACTTTCACAGTGTCATCACATCCTGGGCGCAATCTTGCCAAAAACGAATTCGAGATCACCGTCAGGAAAAAGGGAAGTGCCACTAGCCACCTATTCAGAGCCAGCGAAAGAAGTGGATTGGAGCTATCGCTTCGTGGGTTTGATGGGAGTTTTCGATTCGAGTGCTCTGGACCAAACCGGAGCGTTGGTCATGATAGCTGCCCTCTTCCCTTCATTGCCGGTGGGATAGGAATCACACCCCTCCTAGCGCAGCTCCCGGATATTGATATGTCCCGACTAAAGCTTTTGTGGTCGGTGTCAATGAAAGATGTTGGACTTGTACATGACGCTTTTGAACAATATTCTAACCTTCCAAATGCCACTACCGTGTTTCTTACTTCCGGCTCCGCCGCCATTGAAAAGGATATGAATGAAGATGATAAGAAGACGCTTATCTCGGTGACCTCTTCAGGGGCGAAAATAGAGCGCCGACGCTTGACAAAAGAAGATCTTTCTGCTATGCCTGAGGCGGACGTCTGGTATCTCTGTGCTGGCACTGAGCTAAAGACGGCTGCTACTAACTGGCTAACAGGGAAGAAGCTTATCTATGAGGACTTCAACTATTAAAAATTCAGATTAGTTAAGTATGTTGCAGATATGGTAGTCACGAAATTCATTATACAAAATCGAATTTGAGATATTCCATCATGTCCGCGCCGTTAAGTCCAGTTATTTAGTTATATCCTAGCGCCATCACTTGCAAACACATAACTAATAATTACGTCCAAATAGTTACTAAACCTCCTAACACTCACGTATTAAGATGCAGATAGCGTTGACTTGATCTTCTTTTCTTCCCGCCATATCCATATGCACTGTAGACATACCGAGCTCTTTGGCAGTTTCCCTTAGCTATTGGTTAACAAATAGTCAACGAGCTAACTAACTAATTAGTTAACTATCCGCTTAGTTAGTTAGTTAGCGCCGCTCTCGATGACGCCAAAAGCGCTGCCTGGCGGGCCAGGGTCTCCGATAAATTCAAACATCGTCCACTCCCGCAAACTCCGCGCAACACTACAACCAACTGCTTACAGAGCTCGATCAACCGTTAACCAGAGGAGCCATACCAACCCTACCTCTTCGCTATTCATACGTCTGCTCTCTGGTCTCTACCTACAATGGCTTCCTACGAAGGTATGTCTGAATAGAGCGCTCGCGGGGTGGATACTTTCATCCTCTCAAGCTTGCCTGAACCTCTATCAGAGCTTAATAGTTAGTTATACGATTTCTCACTCAGTGGAAACTAATAACTGTCATAGTCGAGCACCCCACAACTGGCGATAACAGCTCCTCTACCAATAACTCCCGGCTAACCAGCTCTCGTCGCTCAGCTCGCCCTGACCTGTCTACATTCTTCGCCACACTCAATGAAATCAGTCCTAACCAAGGCAGTGAAAGGACACGACCCTATGCAGTGCCGGTACCAGGCGATGTGAGCGCTGCATTTAGGTCTCTTGCAGAGGCATTCGATGTTATGAGACGCAGCGGGGATAATGCGCCGCTACCAGTTTATGACGGGCGAGACCCTGAAATGCCCGACGCTGGGCAAGGACAATTGATAGAAGAGATGATTCGGGCCCTGCTTCAGGACGCAGAAGCTCCTCCACGAGAAGTAGAAGGTGTATCAGAGGAGTTTTGCGATAGTATGTGTGACTCTTTTGCTGGATTGCGAATAGCTACTCACCATGTGCCCTTCATAGTGCTTGACCGCGTTCCTAAGACGAGGCTAAAGCAATCCCAAACATGTCCAATATGCAATAACCCATTTTTAGAAGATTCGCATCCTTTAGTTGTCAGGCTCCCCTGTCATACATCGCATATTTTTGACTTGGAATGTGTACGCCCTTGGCTCCGACTTAGAGGAACATGCCCTCTTGATAGGACAGATTTTGGAAAGAAGGAGCGCCAAAAGGAACAAGAGAGGTTGGAAAGACTCATGAAAAAGTCTGGCGGGATTGATGACGATGACGAGGAGGGGGAGTGGGATGGAATGTATGCGTAAGGACTTGGATTTACTAGACAAGAGGATTATTACACTCAACATTTGATCGATATGATACCTTTTATCTCCTTTCCAGAGGCACATTTTGTTTACACCTCTTTGCATTTCCCCTTGACTTACCCACCCATACATACTCTGTCTTCCCGAAAATGCCGCCCTTTAGATACCCCTATGACATCAACGGTATACGGTGACACTTTTACCTATTCGTTCTAGCCCGACTCTGGCTTTCAAATAACCTTCTTTGAACGACATTGAGTAGCCGTGGCTGGGCTGCGATTGCATACTAGCTAGAGCCTCACTACACTGTTTTTCATACCCGTTTCATTTTATACCCCCATTCTGGTTAACTAACGGAATTCTCCGGCCTGCCCACATAAGTGTGACAGTTTCCTTGCCGCAGTAAATACCGCTATGCAATCCACCGTTACCTAGCCAGTTCCCCTTGACAGACAATTGAAAGCTCAAGAGTCTATAGACATGTGAATCACCCAACAAAATGTCCTGCAGCAACCTTAAAGACCTCGATCCAAAAACTGCAAGATTAATTATTCAGCTTCAACTGGACGGCTTACAAGATATCAAGGACCAGTCGAAAGGCACAGCTCGCTAAGAATTAGCTGACCCTGATTTATCATTAGAGCTTTATGGCGATGAGCTCAGTAAATAAGCAGACATATTCAGAGACACCTCGATAACAAGGAGTATTGCAACTGCGATTTACAGTGATCAAGAAGCCCTACGTGAATTTCTCAAATCCGAGAGTCGAGCATACCAGGACCACCAGCTAGCGTGCCATCTGGGCGAAATGAATATCCTCTCCAAAGAGCTTCCAGCTTTAAAAATTCGCCCTGGAAAGGCCTCCACGCGAATGACGTGTGAATCCTCGCCTTCACAACCTACCAAATATCAAAAACAACCGGGCCCCGAAACACTTGGATGCGAAATATTCTGCAAAAACATTCACATCTTTGAATCTGCGCGGCTTCCCTGTAGCCATATATGCTGCCCTAAATGTCTCCAAAAACTATTCTAGGAATCCTTATTTGGCAACGCACAGTTCCCGCTCCAATGCTGTGACGAACCCATCATATTCGAGCATGTTGCAAGATTCCTAACGCCTGACCTGGCTAAATCTTTTCTAGCCCAAAAGGCTCAACTCGAAGCGGGTGATAGGACCTGCTGCTCTTCTCCTTTTTGCTCAAGAGTTATACCTCCTAAAAACATTAAAAGGCAGGGTTGCTTCGTGTCCATACTGCAATACAGTCACCCATACAATTTGCAAATCGTATACTCACGAAGGAGACTGCCCGGATAATACTACAATACTACAGGCTCTAAACCTGAGTACAAAGATTACACGCCTATAATGCTACCTCTGTAGCAATATAGTTGAGTTGGCCCCTGGGAAGAATCATATAACGTGAGAATTCCCACTCCCCCTATTCCGTTTCCCTCACTAATAGAATGTTTTTCATTTTTGTCCTCAGCTGTCCCTGCACTGCCTAGTTTTTGCAATATTGCGATGTCAAATGAGAGGGTTACCCGTCCCTTTGAATATTGAAACTAAAACTAGCTTATATTCAAGGGTAAATTGACTTAGCTGCCAACCAATTTTGAGATGTACAGTCAACCGAGAAACGATGACAACAAAACAAACCAATAGATCTCCTGTCCATGATTATAAGTGATGAAGGCATACACCGGAAACAACCCCCCATGCATCAACAGACGCGACTGATATTGGCAAATTGCCTATACCACCTGTCTAAAATGTTTAAGAAAATTACTACACTTGCACCTGATTTGATTCTATTCTAGTCATGTAACCCTTCTCGAGCGAATTCAATTTCTACGCGTTGTCCCGCATATTCAGATAAACCCGTGGAGGGTCTGGTTTGGTTAGAATGATGATGACCACAATGTAAAGCAAAGTTTGTTTCGGAGGTCTGGAACCTGGCCAACGGAAAAATATCCAACTCCTCCAATTCTAGCTACCCTGTGGTGGAGGCGGAGGGCCATTGACCTCTTTTGTACGAAGCGAAAGTTTCCCTGTCTGGCCCAAAACTGCTTCATACCCGCTCTTCTCTAGTATCTTGGAATCGTCCTGAACCACCTCTCGGGCCTCTAGCTGCTCCACTAGCTTTTGATTTTCCCGGTTTCCTTCAAGCAGGAACTTCAAACACATGACAGCATGTTCTTTGATGTATGGATTATGAGCATCGAAGGCAGTACAGGATAGGATAGTCTCAATCCCACTATATTTTCGAATTTGATTCTGGACCTGAGGACATTTCCAAACCAGAGAGGAGAGCACCAATATAACCAGTTTCTTTAGGTTACGCCATTCAAATTCAGCTGGGTCTTCGTTGCCAATTGGTGGCGAAGGTACCCTAGACTCTGGGCCAACGGTGGCATTATCGACTGGCTCGGAATCATTTGGATCATATGGCCGTTCAACTGCTACTGGGGCAACGACTGCACTGTCACTTTCGGAGGGAGAAGCCTCGTTGGACGGGTTTTGCTGGGGAGTCCTTGGAGCTGCCGCCGCAACTGCTTGGGTCAGTGAGCTGAGAGATCCCTTAGGAATGCTAGCTTCCAACTCTTTGATCAAAGTCACCAAATCGTATACAATCTCCCACTGGACGAGGAGGTTCTTCCATTCGGTATTTTCCGTCAGAACCGCAAAGAATTCAAGAAATTGGTAAACTCCTTCATACACTCGTTCCATGTCCCACAAATTCAGTGGGAAATCTTCAGGAAGGGCATGACCAGCTCGAATTTGTCCCTGAAGATAAATCAAAGCGCATGTCTCTGGAATGATATTTCCACGGAAGATAGTGAAAATATAGCGCACCGTCAGAACATCAACTTTAGTAACAGTAATAGAACTTCTCCCGGTTGGGCTTTCTGCCGTAGATGCAATGTTTGGCGGTGAGTATTTCGACCGGAAAATATGGGTGAGAATTTTTATCACAACAGCTTGCGCAGGGGATATAATATCCTTGGCCTGTCCGAAATCAGAATAGGCGTGCGACATGAGTCCATTGTTCAGGACGGCTTCCATAATCTGAACCATCATTTTGAAGTAAAGCTCGTCGTCGGGGAGATCCCATGCAGCAATAAATATTAGGAGCTCTCTAAGCAGATTCCGCCCAGTTTCTTGGGCAAGCAGGATATGACAACGAACAGCTTGCATGTTTTTAGATCCCGTTTTAGGACCACCTTTGGGTCCAAAACTGTCCACAATTCCAGCCTGGATTAACATTGGTAGAGCTTCAATTTCAGCAGGCCCTAACACCAAAGGGATATCAGTCAATAGGCCGCGCTGCTGGTCTCCTGGCCGCCCCCTATAATCATCGTCATCGTCTTCCTCGTCTTCTTCTTCCTCAACGCTACCATCCGCTACTGCTTCCAAGCTTCGTGAATCATCATCAGCAACACCAGTACGCTCCATACCATCATAGTGATGCTCGCCCTCTGTAAGGACAGGTGAGGTTTCTTGTAAGCGCGTCATTAGTTCATCTTTAGCTTCTTGGAGAGTTTCAGCTGCAGACTGTGCTGAGCGCGTCATAATTCGGTCCTCCGGGGTTACTGGAGCATCAACCGCAGATATAACACCATATTCATCAAGATTTGGGAAATCTGTCCAGCATGTGCGTGGGAAGCCTGCCGTAGCGCTTCTGTCGATGCTTAAAATAGGCTTTTTGCGCGTAGGCTCTTCCTCAACTCGAGATGGACCTGCTTGACGGTCGTTCAAGTCCGCCCAGCCGTCCACTTTTGCACCTAGAATGGCAGTGAGAGCCGCCCGAATTTCCTTGACACGCTCGGGATCTTTACCCATCTGCTGGATCTCCTTCAAATTTCGACCAAGGAGCTTTTCCATATGGTCCTTGATATTAGCTAACAGTAGCATAGCAGCCTCTTCTTTTATGGTGGCAGGCTCCCTTGGGAAAGATGAAATAGTCTCTAATAATAAGTCCTCGGCAGTTTGGTCATAAAGTGTCCTAAGCGGCGGATTAACAAGTCGCTCCCCGGCTCTAACAATGGGCGCAAGTCCTTGGGCAGCATTGTTTGATTGATCCAGAGGTTCCATATGGGTAATGATGCTAGATTCACCATTTTGGTGGTAGCCGAACAGATCCAGCCAGAGAACGAGCTTTCGGTGTTCATTGTGCATAATGAAATTATGGAGAAACTGAAGGCACGTAATCAATAGCCGTTTATAGAGGCTGACAACCTTTTGCCATCTCTCTTCATTTCTCGCGTTGCTTTCTCCGTCATATCCTCTGGCAGTCACTCTAACGCAAGTATCAATCAGCATCAAAATCTTCTGATCAAATCCCTTTTCTGCAGCCAGATTTTGCGCCTTTTTGGTTGTTGCAAGTAGGTTCCGAGCAATTGTACAGAGATCATTCAATCGTTCAATGTCTTTTACGAGGGGGAAGTAGTTATACGCAATCAGGTTCGATGAGGAGCCGTCATAGTTTGCAGATGTCGGATTCTTCCACGCAAAAGATTGCGATTCCAGTACCGGGATAGCTTTGGTGAGCACATCAGTAAGCCCCTGCCATATCGCAGGTGAGAAACCTAGATTTTGTCTGCAAAGTAGGTAAAAATTAGCTCAGAATTTATACTCGTGGGGTAACTATTTTCTTTCGCCCTCTCTCCTCTCAAGAAGACGAGATTTAACAGAAAACGGTATGCCAACAACTATGGGGAAAACATATCCTACCTTACGTCACTTTCCTGGTGGCTTTTGTACAGTATTTGCTTGCCCGCAAGTAGCATGTGTTCCAGTCTCTTATCATCAATCATCCCACGAGTTTCGTAATGGCTCAAAGTTCCAATTAATACCACCTTCAGCAGAAGCTCTGGAGCGGTACATTTTGGACTACTTTGCGTTCCACCGTCTTCTGTGGTTTCTTGCACCGTGGACGAAGCCATCTCTCATAAGTTGTACCCACGAAATCCTCTGTTGGTTCTTCAAGTGAGAAAACGAAATAATGGAGTTGTCACTTGGTTTTGCGATAAGCAGGAGCCCGCGTAGCTTTCGGTATTTCAGTTTTGCCGACTCCGTCTTTTTTTTTTTTTTTCAATTTCATTGGTGGAAACAAAACAATTGGTGTTACATGGATATAAAGAGCTTGAAGACAGCAACTATCTAATTTATTCTAATAATCGATAAGCATGACTCTATTATCGCTTTGAAATAGAATCCCAAAGGTTCCCTAAGAACCCCAAATCATATATATTTACTATTTCCTTGAGACTTTGTACCTGTGTCCACCTTGTGTCAATCGGGGCATCGTATCTGGCAGGCTGTTTTATTGAGTTTCTTTCGTCAGTGAATGTATATCCTACCCTCGGCGGTTGGCCGTTGGTATATATAAGTGTCTGGTCACTTCGTTTCGGCCAGATGATATCCTCGTCTCTCGGATGTATGTCATGTTGTGGGCGGACTTCCTTAGCCTTTGCTATATATGCAAAGCCATCACTAATATCGTCACGCCATTCTCCCCACTTACTACTTTCATTCGTAGTCATCCCAGACCATATAAGATAAATATGGTAAAGAAACATTGCTGAAGATAAAGGGGCGCAAAGTAGTGACAATAAAGTAATGGCGCCGATTCGAAGATCATCCGTAAGGGCCAGAAGCCAAAGGTCTAAGAACACCATCATGGGCATATCTGCGCTCCAATGTCGGGTTGTGGTAGGGCTAACAGCCCGCTGTAACGCCCCATCCATAATAGAATATCCAAGAAATGAGCCATAAAAGAGGAGCACTGATGTAAATAAGAGCAGCCCTAGGAAGTAATGATAGTTGTTCCGGCCCACGCAGGTGCGCAACCATACGCAATGATGATCGTGTCGTGCAACACAAGACTTGCAGAGGCTGCAATGCTTGCTGCGGGCAGGTTTCAAATGATGACATGTTCTACATGTCATGTTCGGGTGAAATATCATATTATCATAAGGGTATTCATGAAGATATTTCGAGTGATTCTCGGGAGTAATGGCGGAATTTGAGCTGACACTGAGATAGAGAAATGCGTAAGGCAAAACAACGACGACAGGGACCATAAATTTGTGGATAGTATTCAGTCTTGCCCACGCGGCCGGTATGAAAGTAGCCTCAGAGATAACGAGCAAGCCGACAAAGAAGATCTTTTTTCAGTTAGCCGTCAGGATGCAGTGGGAAAACCGACAGAAAGAGAGGTACTACATACCAAAATCAACGGATGGTTTTCGTTCATGAGATAATTGCCCGTCCTTCCACAGCAACTGAGTAACCTTCCTCCCAATAAATATCCATCTGCGTTTCGGGCGTATCTAGGAATGTGTATCCAGACAAAACGATATATATAACCGACTGGAGTTTTCCTGCTGCAATTTAGTAGCTGTCATACCAAGAATATAATGGGGAAAGGCATATAATTTTACCTAAAAGCTGGAATTCGGCCAAAGAGCGTGATAAAGACAAGCAGCGAGAGAGCTAGAATAGCCCCGACAATTTCCTTCAAAATCCCCATTTCCACACACCTTGCCCAGGGACACCAAATGCCCACGAAGAGGCAATCAAGACCTGCCCCCAGGTCCTTACAGACCTCCCTCAAGTTTAATTCTAGAAGGTGACTGGCATCTGCTTCTGCCTGGTTAACCTTAAGCCTTTTATTTCTGGGTCTCCTTGCTCGAGAAGGGCCGGGGGGCGCTTATCTTCACGTGACCACGTGGCGCTTCAGGCGCGCCTACTCTTGACGACCGCGAAGCTCAACGTTCTGAATCTGCAAGACTCCAACATCAATACGGCTTCCGATGTAACAATCGCGTTGGTATTTCAAATGGACGGATCAAGTGCCCATCCCCCTGGTAATGATGCCGACACTCTCCAGTCTAGCTCGCCCCCTCAGTTGTTTAAAGATATGAAGTTTTGGTTATCTATGACCGTTCCTCAGCGGACCCATATGAGACGCCAAATTGAAGTGAGTTACGGATAATTAACTTTTGACTTTTTCAAGTTGTAATGTCACGGTTTTTTTATACTAATTTCACCTAGGCACACGGTGGGCGAGTAGTGGTCCTGGAAAAGGATGCTGATATCCTTCTTGTTGATCATCTAAAAAAGGAGAACAAACCCGGCACGTCAGTGAGCTGCCTCATATACCCTATATCCGCTCGAATACTGATAACTGATACCCAGTAGTTACTCGTATCAGTTTGTGGAGCGTTCAATTCGTCAAAGGGTACTCCAAGAACCAGGTGAATTTTTAGTTGGAGCTCCTCGTGGAAGTGTCCGGCAGCCTACCATGGGTCCAGCAAAACGGTATAGGAACCCGTTCACTGCGGAAGATGATCAAATTCTATACGATTGGATGGAAAGATACAAACTGGCTGGTGGGGCAGTTTCTGGAAATAAGATATATCAACAATTAGAACAACAGGTACCCAAAGCTATTTTCATCTATGAGAGAGAACAAATTCTAAACTTTCCATTTAGCATCCGAACCATACATGGCAAGCATGGCGTGACCGATATATAAAAAAGGTTAGTTACCTTCCACGGCCGGGACCATTCACCAAAGCGGACAGAGATGTCCTGCTTGAAAATGCGGAAGATATCTTGGAAGTTTCGCCAGATGCAGAAGGAAGCACAATAGATAGTAGGCAAAGAAACGGAAGAGACAGTGGCGCACAGATCCCTCAAGCAAAGAGAAGGCGTACCTTACCCGACTGCTTCGTCTCCAGTGATGTCAACCATACAGGTGCAGATCGCAGGAAGGACAGCAGCCTAGAATTAGAGTCCACCCTATCTCGCGGCTTCTCTATAGGGTTCTCTAAATCACCAGTTACATTCAGGGGAGAGTCACATAGGCAGCACATGAACACCAAGCAACAAGGAATACCCCCTCAAAGAGTCGTCCAAAATCCAAGGCAAAGCCCGCATTTAGTCGCGGAAGGTACACAGAACATCAACGTCGGACAATATAATGTCGAAGATGAAGCCGAAATGGTTGCAGAATGGATTAGATCTCGAGTATCACGCAGCCGGGGTGTGTTATCTGAAGAACAAGTTAAAATGGCTCTCCGCTGTACATCCCTGGATCGTATTCTTGCTGATGAAGTGCTCAAATATTTTCAAGCTGGGAAGGGTATTCCGCTCGACATGAAAGGGGTATGGAGTGAAGAGGACGATGCTGCACTTCAAGGGGTAGATCCCCGAGACATCGCGCGCATTGAACAGAAGCATGGCAGAGAAGAATTTGATGTTCGATTTGAATACCTGACGGATTTGAGTGAAGCACTTTATGGAGAACGGCATTGGACAAATCAAGCATATCAAGCATATACAACCTCACGAGATAGTTAACAATCTTGGTAAACTTCTGTGCTTCACCGTCGTCAACATAAATTTCTTATGAATCGTAGAAAATATGCAATTTATCGAATAAGTGTAATCCAGGCTAACGCACCGTAATACTCCAAGTGTACAAGTTAATGGGCATAAAGGGGATGAAATGTAAGAGAAACAACAGGCGATAATGCTAATAAAACAAGACAGCTAACTGTTCGTCACTGCCTAGCCAGCTAAATAAGTCGATGTTAGAGTTAAAGGGGGAAAGGGGGCGTTACAAAATGGTGAGCACAGATATCTGGGCACTCAGGTAACCAGTGAGGGAGAAATGATTCTAGTCGTCCAGGCTTGAAACGTGTAACAGAGGCTGGCGATGGAAGGTGGAAGACCATAACAATTGGATCAGGCTACATCCGCAGCTCACAAAATAGGTCATTATGAATAAAATCGAGGTCGGTGCAGGTCATGGTGTTGATGCCTATTAATAGTTAATGTTGACCCTGCAGCGTGCCATGACCAACCACAAAATAATATTAGATTCATACTTCTTTAAATACCCTACGGAAGGCAGTCAGCTCTCAAACCTCAGTACTAATGCAATTAGGAAATAACTTACAGGTGTTGTTCATAGAATTTAAGCATCTATTCGAAAAGGTTAGCATTGCGGTCTCTTAGCTTAGATATTTGACCATCATACCATCTGAGGGCAGCGTTCGTAGCAAGTCTGAATTGGGGCTCTCGACTTCCTTCCATTTTTCCATTCTAAATAGACAACAAGCCCATCACCATCGGGGTCACGTAAAACTGTGCTAATGTAGCTCAGCTCTTTCTCCCAGCCACCTGCAGGAGGTGCCCAATCCGTATCTTCAGGGGAAGCTTCCTGATCCGGCGTTCCAACTTTGATAGAGCTGGGCTTCCTGCCTCTCTTTGTTGGTTTGTCTGGTGTAGATGATGCTTTATCCGCTAGCGATTTCCGTTTCTTCGTGGGCTTTTCAGGTCGACCGCCAATCTTCTTAAAGTATTCTTCGAGGGCCTCTTGCGCTCCGTCACTATTAACTCAGTTTAGTGATTGGGCAGACAATTTCAGAAAGAAAAGTGAGGTAGATAGTACAGCAAGTTCTCCTCTGGTTCTACAGTCATGTCTGAAGGGTCATCGTATCCTTTCCACTTCACTTCGAATTGGAGCTTTCCCTGTTCAACTCGCAATGTTAAACTATGCATGATCAGAAGAGCACGGCGGCGCCTGAGGGTAATTGCCGGACCTTCTTGTCAAAGCTATGCCCTACAACTCGCTCTACAACATATCTATCCACCCATTAGCCATTGCCGCGCAACAAAAAGGTAGCCAGGTGATTGCGTTACTTACACGTCCTCGTCACCATCGTCAGCTTCGTCATCTTCGTCCTCTTCACTGTTCTGGTCGTCTTTCTCTTCATCCTTTATGGGTTTGGCTCCCTCATCCTCCTTGCCGTGGAAAGGAATAGCGTCGCCGACGGACTCATCGTCACTAGATTCAATATGTGCTTCAAGGTGTCAGTAATCCGGACATGGAGAAGCATACAAGCAACGGTACTCACGAGGCATGCCGACGACTTCTGCGAGATGAGACGAACAGCCAAGTAGCTAGTAAATGACAGGCGCAGTTTCCGCAATTAAAAGCCGACCAGGATCAAGTAATATCAAGCTTGCGCCGGCATTTGAAAACTGACAAACCGCAAAGTTCCATCCAGACGTTGTCGCGAAATCGCGTTTTGTTTGAGAGCAGTGTTGCGCTAGTCCGCTTTGGGAAATCACCTCCCACTAGGATGACTAAGCCTTCACAGCGCCTACTTTTGAATTTAATTATTTCCAAAGTTGGGAGGCTTCAAGTTCGCGGCTAATAAGACAGCACAACAGCATACTATCGCAGCCAGCTGAAGGGTGTCGACCTTGTTCTACCATTTGGGGGGCCCCGGAAAAAAGAAGAAACCCTTGTTTATAGAAATACCCAGTGGCGCAGCTTCAAGATGGCTATGCGTATGTCAACTGGAACAACCACCCCCCCCACTCCCCTCATTACAGAAGACTCACTGATGTGTTGGTATAATAGAGCTTGACATGTCCCAAGGTATTTGAGTGATTTCCTGGTGGTATTATTATCCATTATTTATCTAACCTAGACATATGAAGCCTCCGTGGTGAAGGACGAGCAGGGACGCCCGTTCATCGTTGTTCGAGAGTAGGCTGTTCCTCCCAAGCTTTGCAGCTACAAGTTCAGGTCTAACCCTGGCATTTAATTGATAGTCAGGGAAAGAAGAAAAGACAACATGGCACCGATGCGGTCAAATCTCATATTGTTGCGGCAAAGACAGTGGCTAATATTGTGAAGACCTCACTGGTAAATTGGCCTCTACCCTTTCTACAACGGCAGCAACTACGTGCTAATACGTCTTGGGTTTTTTTTTTTTTTAAAGGGTCCTCGGGGGTTAGATAAAATCCTAATTTCTCCAGATGGTGACATCACCATCACAAACGATGGCGCCACTATCCTTTCACAGGTCTGCGACGTTCCTTACCCAGCGATTTCTAAGTAGCTCTCTAACAGATACCCGGTGCTAGATGGAAATATCGAACCATGTTGCGAAATTGCTAGTTGAGCTTTCGAAATCGCAGGACGAAGAAATAGGCGACGGTACAACTGGTGTTGTCGTATTAGCCGGAGCTCTATTGGAACAGGCCGCGGATTTGATTGATAAGGGGATTCACCCGATCAGAATTGCGGACGGCTATGACCAGGCCTGTGATATTGCGGTAGCACATCTCGATAGTATCAGTGACAAAGTCGAGTTCTCACGAAATGAGCAAGAGAACCTGTTCAAGGTAGCAAAGACTTCCTTGGGCAGCAAGATGTATGCTCCCGACTATCCTTTCTACTTTGAACATTTATACCCGGACCTAATAAGCTAACGAATGGCTTTAACAGTGTATCAAAAGCGCATGACCAATTTGCAAAGATAGCAGTTGATGCCGTCCTCTCTGTCGCTGACTTAGAAAGAAAAGATGTTGACTTTGAATTAATTAAAGTTGATGGAAAAGTTGGCGGCTCCCTGGAAGACTCCCTTCTTGTCAAGGGTGTCATCGTGGACAAAGATTTCTCTCACCCTCAGATGCCTGACGAAGTGAGGGACGCAAAAATCGCTATCTTAACGTGCGCATTTGAGCCGCCAAAGCCAAAGACCAAGCACAAGCTTGATATTACCAGTGTGGAGGAGTTCAAGAAGCTCCAGGCTTATGAGAAAGATAAATTTACTGAGATGATAAAACAGCTCAAGGATACGGGTGCTAACCTCGTCATCTGCCAGTGGGGCTTTGACGACGAGGCCAACCATCTTCTCTTGCAAAACGATCTGCCCGCAGTCCGATGGGTTGGTGGCCCAGAGATCGAACTCATTGCCATTGCCACTAACGGCCGGATTGTTCCTCGATTTGAAGACCTCAGTGCTGAGAAACTTGGAACTGCTGGTGTTGTGAGAGAGATGACTTTTGGAACCACAAGGGAGAAGATGCTGGTGATCGAGGATTGCGCAAACACCAGAGCTGTCACTGTGTTCGTCCGAGGTAGCAACAAAATGGTATGCCAATATTTTTCCTGCAATCCATGTTGCATCACTCATTTTTTACTAACAATCAAAATAAAAATTTTAGATCATTGATGAGGCTAAACGATCACTGCACGATGCACTTTGTGTCGTGCGAAACTTGGTTCGGGATAACCGTATTGTCTATGGTGGAGGTGCTGCGGAAATTGCCTGCTCCCTCGCTGTAGAGGAAGCTGCCTCAAAGGTCTGTTTGCCCCATTGTCATATATAATCTATCGACCATATTCATCTAACGTATGTCTGAAGACCCCTGGCCTTGAGCAATACGCGATGCGAGCGTTCGCAGATGCATTGGATGCTATTCCATTAGCACTAGCCGAAAATTCCGGATGGAGTCCAATTGAAACCCTAGCCTCTATCAAATCGAAACAGGTTAAGGAGAAAAACAGCAGGCTAGGCGTGGATTGCATGCAGACTGGAAGCAATGGTAGGTTTATATAATGAGCATATATATCGAATAACGGCGGCTTTCTAATACTTCTTTTATCTTAGACATGAGAGACCACTTTGTCATTGACCCTCTTATCGGCAAACGTGAACAGTTACTCCTTGCTACTCAGCTCTGCCGTCTCGTTCTCAAGGTACCTAATATCCATTTTCAAGGGCTCCTTTTTCCTCTACAGCCCTGAGAACTATACATCTTACTCGGAGCTAACCCGGCCTCATAGGTGAACAACGTCATTATTGCTGGTGAAGACAACGATGAGTTCTAAATCCTGTCTTACCATCTCTCAACTAAACAAGATTCGTCCGGAGTGGTGTGTAATTAGATTGGTCGGTAAGCCGGTTTCCCTCAGTTTTTGATCGGAGAGCTTTCTCCCTTCTTCTCACTTAATAGAAACTGATATTCACGTATCGCTCATCTGCAACCCTGCAGGATTCCAATATGTGATACCAAAATAAATCTATGAGTGAATAGACAAAAGTGAAATAAAACAAACTTGATCATATTTCTCCCCCCACGCTCAGTTGAGGTTTATGCAGGAGAGGCCAGAACAAAAACTTTTCCATGAGCCTAAATTGTTTATACCAGCTGATACTGACTCTCACTTCCTGGCGTCTGCCCAACAACCAAGGGCCCTTGACCGCCAAATAATCCCAATACAAAAATTAAAAATTAACAAACTCCGTGTTTCAAGTGTCTGGCTCATGCACTTTTCTTCTTCTCTTCTGTCATTTCACTTTATGTAGCGGCCATCGCCCCCAGAAGCTACTGACATGGCAGCGAGTATATGCACTTCATAGATGTAGCCTGACTCGTATATGTTCAGGTGGTTAACCTGGCTTCTACCATCGCCCTGGGTTAAAGAAGCCAGCCCAGAATTCTCCTTGGCCAGGCGTCTAGAGATGCAATACTTTATCGCCCCCGGACTAGATACCTTTACAAACACACGCCTTTGTACGAAAAGGAAGCAACTCGGCATTATATGAACACTTCTGATTTTCGATATGTTGAATATTCCTGTCAATAATACCCTTACTACGGGCTCTTTCTTGCTCAATGCACCGGTGAGCTCGCCTCTTCTGTCAATGACCACCTCGATCTATGGCAGAGTTTTGGAATCCAGTCCCCGAATACTACCCAAACTGCAGCTGCCCCGTGAGATTCATGAGCATACCTATCCTTGGAGATCTTCCAACTTGACGATATCTGTGCCTTCGGACCTGGGCATTATTGATTCTCTCTACCTAAGGATCCTTGACCAACAAGCAATTCAATATTCACTCATCTCACCAGGCAGAGTATATATTTCCATATGGGAGCATTCGATGCCGAGATCTTGCACTTGTTTATGCATTCGCCAATGGCTGGCTGGCTATGAAGCTCTTCGGAGCAAAATAAGGTAAAGAATGTTCAGGGGCTCTTTGAAATATATCAGGTTACTTCAGTTGCTACCCATGGTTATCAGTAGGATAAACATCCCAGAGCTTTATGGCGGAATTCTACTCCGCACAAAAGAGTTAAGTTTAAAAAAAAATTTTAATTTACGTGCATTGAGAAAGCATCATTCTGTAGTTACTCAGTGTGTATTTTGAATCCAGCCTGCAGATACCCTGACCGCCACACTACAAGATGGACGACTGCATATCTAGGCCTACGTTCGAGCTAACTATTCAGATGTCCTGCAGCGCACCCCATGCATGCATTATTTTTCATTTCACAGGACACATGAAGGATAGTAATTCGTTATATCTCCCTCCCCGTCATGGTGTGTGTGGACGACGTATCCTCGCCTCCCCCCGGTAACAACACCGCACAACTCCGAAAGAAAAATATCATGCCAACCAGCTTGCTGACACCCTTTATGCCGGCAGCAGCTGCAAAACAGGGAAAAAAGAAAGGTTGTCTCTTCCAAATCCCAGCTTCACGATGCAAGACAAGTCATATAACTATCTATCTACCTACGCATTGACCTCAAGGCCTCTCTTGCAGTCGTCGATTTGACGGCCAGACAGAGACAGGGGAAAGGGACCCCGGTGATTGAGTTATTATCTCTTACAAGTCGAAAATGCATTTTGACCCTAGGGTTCATTGAGTCCGCTGTACTCCGTAGGTACCTGCTTTTCGCACACCCAAGTACCAGAGCAGACGTGACCTATGCTCTCGTGGCTGGAGGACGTGTGCACTCCGTACTAACTTGTTAAATTATTACTAGTTAACTTATAAAAAGGCCCTGTTGGGTGGCTTTATTCTCATTCTTCAGCAGCAATAAATCAATAACCTACCCAGGTCCCCCGCTGGTTAAGAGGGCCACATCCACATAACTAATCTGCGTCTAAAGGCCATGGTCTACGGAGTAACTATATTAGCATATTTTGGTAACGCCCCGGGTTTACGAGTACTCCGTATTACTTCCGTGAACCTGGGGTATCGAGGCAGAATCTGCACTTTACACGATGGAGTGTGTGGAGCAAAAGCATTCGAATGGAGCAAACTAAATAAGA